GCGTTTTCCCTATGAGAAAATAACATGGGAAATATTGTTTTCCACTTTATCTCAAATGAATCCATTTTTCCTATAAGAGATTAATTGCGCCTCAAAACACAACATATTGATGCATCAAACATTGAAAATACAGGTGTGGAAAGAGCTGAAAATAAGGACCACCTTCCCTGTCTCAAAGTCCAATTTTTTATCATCTCTAGTTAATGCATTAGCCTAACATATGCACATATTTAAATCCTCAGAAAATAGCCAAAATCCAACATATGACTGTCTGAAATCTGTTGCGATACTTTCCCCGCTCCTTTCATTAAAATCCATGAATAAATATAGAAGTCATGACAGTTTTTAATTCCTGAACATGTATGTCGAAGTAAAGAAAGGGCTAACGTTTATCCATCGTGAGCCTCGTATCAGTTTCCTTTGCATGGCAGAAATAGTCTGAGTATCAGAATGACATTTATCTAGTAATTAATGATAAAAGCTTTTAAAGGGAAATCGTATGATCTTTATGTTCTTCTGTATTTCTGTTATTAAAGGACTTCTTGGACACGTTGCAATGGGAATTGTCTAACAATGAAGTTGATCCACCTAGGACGTAGGCGGTCCCAATTATATGGCAGGAAAGGACGAGCCTAACTGAGAAGATACTACTGTTGATATAGAGTCTGAAACTATTGAAGAAGTGTGATACACATAGACAAAATGTTGGAGTGATGAAATTTCGCTTATTTTAGAAACCCAGCGTGTTGATATGCAAATAAATTATCATTGAAAGTGCTCTCTACGTGTGTATCTCATATAAATATTATGAAATAAATTGAATTGAATTAAAATTCGAATTTGAATTGAAAGTAATTTATTTTAGAAAAAAATCGATGAAGCTTCCTGATTGGTCAGTTCTTGTGCTGTACCAATCTGTATTGCTACTGAGATTGTCCCCGTTGATCATCTCAGTAGCAATACAGAGGATCACACGATAAAGACGTTATTGAATGATTTGACGTATAATACAGGATATATCCTGTCTCGATATTCTGTATTGGCACTCGACTTCGTCTCGTTCCAATACGGAATTTCTCGAGCAGAATATATCCTGTATTGCACTTCAAATCATTCAATAACTTATATTCTAAGGCGCGGTGCATTTTTTACAAAGCACTTTCTTTTTTGACAGCCTGTTGCTTAAAACCAACAATGAAATTTTTAACATTTGTCAATGAAATGGTTAAAATCCGTATTCGCTTCGGCATATGGAACAGACCCCAGGGTTGGATCTAGAATATAACAAGAGGGACCGAAGTTTCAAGTATAAAAAATCTGAAAATTAAAGGCTCGTTTTTATTATTTGGCCTAAAATTACAAATAAGGTAAAAAAAAACTTCAGTAAAGGCCCACTAATTGGGGCCCATCTGTGGGAGGGCTGGTTGGGCTTTGTTTTCAAGATATGGTGGCCAAAAGTCGGCAAAACTTCGACGAAACTTTAGAAATATTATTTTCCGTATCCGATTCCCATAAAATTTGTTAGTTTTGATCGTTACTTCCAGTGTAAAATAAATGGCTCCAACAAAATCAATACTAAATGAATTTTTCACGATCCAGCAAAATATTAATTTTGGCACACAATCACAAATGAACACTTACCTCGTCCCAAATCTATTCCTCAGTCTTTAGCTAAATCAACACGTTTTACATAAGAATCGGAATCTACAAGCTGGTTAGTTAAACATCGTGAAATCACCTCCAAAATCAAAAATATTAAGGAGTTCCCTTTAACCGATAGTAATGCCTCTTTAGTATTGGAATATACTGGAAATGTAAAGCATTGCAAAAATGTGGTCGTGGTCGGCAATATCATTGATACAGCTTAACTTTTTCCTTAATATTTGGAAATATCTGCAAACTTTATATGATATTGTAATAATGTTAATTCAAATTCACACATGGCTAGGCAAGGTATGTCAGATTCATGCCAATCCGAACACAGTGTCTTATATAAGTGAAGTGTATTATAAAACCAAGCACCACGCTCAAGGTTATTCATTGAATGCTTGTCAAGGTGGCAAACTAGACTCTACAGATTGAAATTGATGCTTTGCCAACTTGACCCCTGCAAAACGTTTCACGTTTGAAGATATGTTCTTTCAGTGATTTCGTATCTTTTAGGGGATTTCGTCGAAAACGTTTTGCTATGTGTAAAAATAATTTAAGCCCAATACTTGATGCATTGTGGCATGGTGATTCATTCCACCCAGGCGTTTCCTAATATTTGAAAACAATACTTCCAACAGGAATGATTCAGAGCCCAGTGCTTAAATTCTTCAATATAGGATAGTTTTAAATATTTTTGATGGGTAAGGAGTAAAATCGTTTACATCAACATGCATGACTTCTGAAGCAATTTGTCCCTATATAAATACATTTTAATTATCTAAAAATATCTCATTTGAATACTCTATATGTGTTTCTGTATTAATATTATTGAGATTATTTTGTTATTAAGTAATAAGGTGCAATGCGTGAACTTGCGGATGCGGATTTTTAGAAAATAAATACACCAATGATTGATTTTAGAAAAAATAATGAATTAGCATTTTCGGGAAAGTTGCTCTGTATTATTATGCCAGCACCAAGGTGACATACTGTTATTGTCTCCAAATTTTATGTGGATAGCTTTCTTGCAATAGGTTCTTGTATACACAATTTACAACTTCCAATAGCTTAACAAGTATTGTACATCTACAAAATCATCTACAGGGTGAGCCAAAAAGGCAACCCGGATAGGTGTTAATAACTCAGTCATCCAGGATGGGTTTTGAGTCATAATTCGCACAATTGAACCCTGTTCAATATTCTTTCATTTTACTTAGTTTTTCCATGTATTTCGCTTATGTTTTTCATCCAAAAACCATCACTACACTTTGGAACATTTTATTGACTATAAGATTGCACCATATAATCCCCAAAAATATTTCTCATTTTCAAGGATCATCTTTGGATTTACACCAAGGTATTTTCATTTTTCAAACTTCAGAGGACTGAGAATCATTGATCCTAGTCGCTTTTGGACAAATAAACAAATGATTTGGTCTATTTGTCATGAAGTTGGCATGTTGAATCAGGAAATGGGGTTGAATAGGAGTAGCGGAATATCGGAAGGAACCTATGCAAAATGAGGAATTAAAACGACCTTTCCAAGTTCGCAGACTGACCAAGTTGACTGACTTCTTCAAATATTTATTTCATCAATATTCGATTTCGCCACCTTCGATTACTATAGTACATTTATGTAAAAACTGCTTCCATTTTAAGGAGTTTAGATAAGACCTCATTATATGACACAATACAATTGGTTTGAAGGTACTAAGATAGTGCTATACAGGGCGCATAAAAACGCAACAAGCAGTTATCTCGTAAAATCACAAAACTAGTGATGACTACATCAATTTCATTCAATGTACCATGCAGCCTTGTCCCTCCTCTTTGCAATGATATGTCATTCATTCACATATGGTCAGGGTTGGGTAATAATCCTTCTGGACCAAGTTTCAGATATTGCAAAAATCAATGCAAGGGCTAAGTGCCAATGGAACTTCTCCTGACTTGGAATTGTTGTGACTGTTTCTTTCGAAGCCATCTCATGAGCATTTGTGCTCACGATTCCTCCACCAGATATGTTTAAAACTTGGGTACGAGCTGAATTTTGCAAAATTAATGATTCTTTGGCCAGCCATGCCTCCCTGTGAATGAATGGCATTTCATTGCAAAGAGGAGTATGTTTTGGTACATTGAATGAAAAGGATGCAGTCGTCATTGGTTTGATGTTTTCTTCAAGTATTGCATTGGGCCCCGTTGTTGCTGATCAGGAGTGAATATGTCTGTGCCTATCAGGAATCAGCATATCATTATTTGTCTTCAGAAAACCGCCTCCAAACATTATGATTTTATTTATTATTTACTTTGAAAATAAACACTTATTTTTTTAACTCTCAAATTAATAAATAATTTTGCATTAAATTTAACATCAATATATTGCGGCATGAGCGCAACTGCTATCGTTGCGGGAATACCGCAACCACTTTATGAGCATTGACAGTCAATATTCCCGCAACGATAGCAGTTGCGCTCATGCCGCAATATTGATGTCAATTTAGCTATGTTTATAAATTGGTCACATGCTAATTTTGGCCTACTTTGCAAAATGAATGATTACTCGCCCAACCATGACCCAATATCAACGAATGATATACCATTGGAAAGAGGAGACACGTGGCCTTATGGTACATTGAATGAAATCAATGCTGTTATCACTGGTTTTGTGCTCTTTGAGATAAAAATCTGTTGCGTTTTTTTATAAGCACTGTATAGGATGAACACTTAAACAGAAGTAAATAGGCCTAGATATAATTGCTTTCAACATTACAAGAAGTCGCGGTAAATAACATTATTTCAAATATATTTGAACAATTTCTCAAAAAATTAGAGCAGTCTACTATCTACTTGTCAATCAAGATACTTTTTCCATTATGCTAGGTTTTAGAAATCCTAAAGAAAACAAACGAATGACAAATCCACTCGATACATAAGCTATCAAAATTATACAAATGTACTATTTTTGTACTTGGACCATTACACTGTAATAGGACTTATTTTATTCATAATGTTTGTTCAAAGTTAACAACTTGAAGTACATGTTTCATAACAATTATAACACTTTGACTGATTCAAGGGTTTTGTTTGAGATTTGATCAGGTACATTCCGTTTCAATTAATGTCGGACCGAGAACATTAAGATTTGTTGGAGCTGGGTAAATTTGTAAAAAATAAACATCCGTTCCCAAAGAAATGCGGCCATTTTACGCGCATGTATATTTACCAAATTACTAGTTAGTGACAATGTAAGGTCAAACATTGTTATTGTCCCATGTATGTAAACTTAATTACCATTATTTACATTGTTTTGCAACAAGAAACGAACGAACAGAATAAGTACAATCGTACCCAAAATTTGTTAAAAAGCAACAGGGTTTCTGGGATTTATATCACTAAGATAATATCGATGAAAAGATAAAGCTCTAATCATGTTCTTCGCGACTAATATCGTTCGTATTGGATTATGTGGAGCAATCGTGTTTGTATTTTTAACAGGTAAAAACATTGATTTATATTTTTCGGGAAATAGTGATTTTCACGTTTTTATATCATTTATCCATTTTTTCGTTTCTGGAATCATGGATTTTTAATTTTTCAATGATTTAGTAATTCAAATATTTTTCCGATTTCGATATTTTGTGGGATGTCTGGATACGATTCCTTACTACATTTGAAGGGAACATTCACAATTGAAGTGTAAATTATGATTAGTTCAGTTTTGAAACTAAACAAATATATAAAAATAACATTGGTAGGGGTTTGTCACAGTGGGTTGAGATAGCTTCTTATCAAATATTGTTTCTGTTTTTAATGATTCTCGTGTGATTTTTGTTGATTCTCTCCCAATTCATGATTTCCTTAATACCAAAGGGAGAATCAGCTCCAGTAAGCAAGCTACATGTAAACAAAAAATTATATCTATTTTAGAGGTGTGTACCTTATTTGAGGAAAACTAATAAAATTTACAATGATGTATAATTTTCTCTTATTACGGTTACCATTTTTTAATATTTGGGAGGATTCAAACATTTCCCCGCATTTTTGCACTTTGAATCCTTTATGACTTCACCAATTTATAACATATCGCAGATCTTTTGGGAGACATTGTATTTGAGATTGTAAGGAATAGATTGGTAGGTCAATTGTACATGTTGTTCGCAATTTTGTCACAATCTATAGATTTCATTCTATTTAATATTTAGTTGTCGATGCTGGGCGCTTCAAGTGGACAAATCTGAAAACGAAAAAAGGGAGACCCAATGTCCAATCGGTTTTAAATGTAAGTAAATTGTATTCATAATATCATGTATTTGTTCATTTGATCCTGTTTTCACTAATTTTTCAGATTATAATTTTGTCTAAATATTAGAGAATATAGTGTTGCTTAAGGAAATACCTTTGGCTGCAATTCATAGTACTAAAATACAAATACAAATTCAAATACATAGTCTTTCACTTTTGTTATATTGCCGAAAGTCTATATTATTACCAATATTATTTTGACGTGGACTTATGACATATACATCAATGTAACAAAAGCGAAGTTCCCAAACGCGTATGTATTCTGACACTAAACGCAATTCTCTAAATTAGAGCCAAATTATCATGACTTTAATTCGAAAAAAAATACTCATACCTGATTCTACAGGTAGTTCTATCATTTTGTTACATTGACGATACGTTTTTTAATTGCTAAAGATGCCAAATTGCATGAACTAATATTGTAAAGACCACCTTGATTTTTCTGATCATGTGCGTATTTCTGTATTTTCAGACCGACAATGAATATGGTTTATTTGGGTCAATCAACCCTAAACGGCGCATGCGCAGGACTGATGACGATTATGTTGAAATGCTAACACGTAAGCTTAGATATCCGATTGACAACATGATGGGGAAAGGAAATGAAGATAGTAACCATGATGAATTGAAAGATACATTTGCTTATTATTTAGCTGAAGATACGACAAATCGAAAGTCAGACAAAGGAAAGACGGACGGTAAAAACAGATCATCCAGTAAAGATAACTCAGCAAGCAAAGGAAAGTCGAGCAAAGAAAAGTCGGACAGTTCAAGCAAATCAGCCAGTAAAGAAAACTCAGCAAGCAAAGGAACATCATCAAAGAAAGCAAAATCACGCAGTAAAAGCAAACCAGTGAGCAGTGGAAAGTCTAGCAAAGAAAAATCAACATCAACAAGTCAATCAGCGAGCGAAGAAATACTTTTACTAACTCCAACATCAACAATTCCAATGCCAACAGCTACATCGCCTACTAGTGCGCCAACTACTGTCGAGCCGACAGGGGCATCACCAACAACTACAGAACCAATAGTTGTTACCGCACAGATAAATAAGGAGTTGGAATCATCTCTAATGTTATTACGACTGTTTGGATTGATCAAGAGAAATTTTCCAGAACCCAAAGCTAATAGACTAAATAAACGTAGTGAAGATAGTACTGAGAATACACAATACACAAACCCATACACGTCTGTTTATGAAGGTAATCAGGTCTCCACGCCTGATATTTGGCAGTACATTACTAATAAGGTAAGTAACTATGCAAACTATCATATGTGTATTTATTTATATATGTCGCTTTTATTCCCATAATAAAATGGATTAAACATGTAAACATAAATCAATCAAACAATACAACAATAACCAAAACATATACAACGTTTATACACGTAATAAACAAAGAACAAAATATAACAAAACAAATAATTATAAAAGTTTACAAAGTTAAAAGCAAGTAAAAAATTGCACCTCTTGGGTTTTAATTGCACGTCATAACTCAACGGTTATAGCTTATTGGAACGGTGTGTTTAATTCTACATTAGAGCTTTTAATTATATTGCTAAAGTAAGGCAACACTATGTTTATCGTTTTCAAATTAACACAGTCGCTAAAACAAGAAAGGCCTTTCACTGACACTGGAAGAGGGGCTTTAACGAATTCTCTGAGAAAAATCCCAGCTTCAGACTGACCTATTGACCCTATGCATCAGTGTGACGTCATGCCTTTGTCCGGCCAGAAAATATTGCTGGCCGTCTAGAAAACGTCATAAGCAACCAGTGCTCAAAATGGTGACGAAGTGATGAGAAAAAGTTAAAAGAGTAAGCTTATATGCCTAAATGCTGCGTTGCTGTTGAATGTTCGAATAGAGAACAAGTCGGCATTACGTGTTATCGCTTTCCGAGTGACAAGAAGTCACCTGTAAAAAGAAAGCTATGGATAAATGCTGTAAAAAGGCAAAACTGGGAACCAAAAGAACACGATCGACTTTGCAGCGCTCATTTCTTGCCAGGTACAGTGTAGTAATCGAAACAGACCTGGTTTTCTAAATAATAAGTAAAATAAAATTTTATTAATTAGTTATCAGTAAATAATGCACATTCAAATACCACGCATTGTGTTAATAACGCTATCATTAAACACGAGGAAAGTAGGCCTATGTAAGTAATATTATGTGACTGTCGGTGAGCCACGTTGATTTTAACGGGTATTTATGAATGTACTTTTTATTGAGAAAACTAAGAACTTAAAATAAACCTTTGTAATATTTGTTTGGATATTGATGTGCGCTTCACTCGAATATCAATCATAGTGTTTGCAACCCGTTTTGATTTTTTAAATTGAGATCCCTTTCTAACATTGATATTTCACACAGAAAGAAATGATTGAGACCATGGCATGCATGATATGGATATATACATATCCACTTATTTATCAAACATATTTTCAGGACAAATGTCAAATTTTGAAGATCATCCCGACTTCATTCCCTCTGTCTTTTCGTACAAATCTAGCGAGGAGATCTATTCCATAATTTTCATTGTTGATGATATCACCACTTCTATCTGACTATGCTCATAATCCAATGAGTTTGGTACGTGTTATGTTATTTTGTATCTACCAAGACGGTAAACATATAAAAAATAGTTATATATTTTGATTGGTCTAAAATGTGCAAAGTTTACCCGTTATGCTCATTCGATCTCAATATTGAATAAAATAAGATATCAGTAGAAAGGCTACTAAAATGAAAAAAGATTGACCAGTAGAGATTAGGAACGTGACACATATTCATTTTTCGAACCTTGATTTAATTGCCTTTATTGGAAGGGTTACTCGTTATTGATACTATTGTAACATTTTGACCCAGACTGACACAACAGAAATTAGGTCTCAATATTGAATAAAATAAGATATCAGTAGAAAGGCTACTAAAATGAAAAAAGATTGACCAGTAGAGATTAGGAACGTGACACATATTCATTTTTCGAACCTTGATTTAATTGCCTTTATTGGAAGGGTTACTCGTTATTGATACTATTGTAACATTTTGACCCAGACTGACACAACAGAAATTAGGTCTCAATATTGAATAAAATAAGATATCAGTAGAAAGGCTACTAAAATGAAAAAAGATTGACCAGTAGAGATTAGGAACGTGACACATATTCATTTTTCGAACCTTGATTTAATTGCCTTTATTGGAAGGGTTACTCGTTATTGATACTATTGTAACATTTTGACCCAGACTGACACAACAGAAATTAGGTCTCAATATTGAATAAAATAAGATATCAGAAGAAAGGCTACTAAAATGAAAAAAGATTGACCAGTAGAGATTAGGAACGTGACACATATTCATTTTTATCCATAAATATGGATAATAATTGATTTAAATGCAATTCATTCGCTCTCAAGCTTGACTAAAATATCAGTACAACGGCTCCTAAAATGAAGAAAAAATCATTCATGATTGATTCCGCGCTTTTCCTATCCTACAATGTTGATAGCCTAATTTCTGTTGTGTTGTTTTCTGTTGTAACGAGTAACCCTTCCAATAAAGGCAATTAAATCAAGGTTCGAAAACTCCCAAAAGTAACACTAACACTATTCCATCATCAGCATGTCATAGACTCGACGATATAATCGGATCTCAACAGATTTTACTCAAGTAATGTTCGGATTCTGAGATCATTTACTCAATATATTTTCGGATCTTTATAATATTACTCGTCGATCACATCGGGTCCGATGTCCGATAACATCGGATCTTTTAGGACAAAGTTTATGTGAAGATTTTGCTGTTCAAAAGTGCTATTTTGACCTAATATTTTGACACTTAATATATTATACATATGACATACATTTACCGGCCCAAGTATGTCTTATGTATGGCTCATTATCAATTAAAGCGAGTATGAGAAAAACAAATCGAAAACCATTATACGTTAAACTTATCTCTTAATTTGGACATAACAAATATATTTTAACTATGATTCAAGGCCAATTCCGCCTGCTAGAACATCTTAGTAACGATTCTAAACATCCAAGGAATTGATAGAGGTCCAATATTACCTTTATTGTCCATCTACCTATGATATGTAGTTAACCAAACATTTGATAGGCGGTATATGCGTGTCTTGCTCGGCGGTAGGTTGTATATACACGGGTACACTTTCCCCTCGTGCCTTTTATAACATACAGTGTATGCAATATTTTTCACATTTCCCTATACTACCATATTTTACAAAAAGTTTGGATAATATTCAGAAGGAATTAACATAATGCAAGAATCCACGTAGTACCAACTGATAATCATACGGCAAATAGGCTGTACACAGGCCCGTAGCCAGGGAGTTCGGAGGGTTCCCGGTCAAAATTCTTTCAAAATAAGTGACTTTGGAATTTTTAAAAAAGAGCCCCCCCCCCTTGGGAAATCATGGCTACGGGCCTGGCATATGGCATATAGAGACTACTATATAGAGACCTGGCTTACCCCCATAAATGTGGGACTGATTTTTCAAATCACCCCCACAATTACTTGTGTATTGAAATCTTAGGAGTTAAAAAAACGTTGTTAGTACAGTAGTTGACACAGAGCTGAATTTTATCTAAATAACCACCTACCCAGCTTATGTTCAACCCTAGTAATTGTAGTTCAACGTCGTTAAACTCAATAACGGCGTTATTTATTATTAAGAATTTTCTTGGGGCCATTATTGAGTTTAACCTCTTTACTATTCTCTCCATTGATGCAAGTTTTGGATCCACCGAAACCATTTTTCCGCGATAACATGCAACTGATACTTGACAACAATATAAAAACACATAACATCAAGCGATTCAACACAATATTATTGTATTAAATGGTCATTTATACAAGTAAAATGAGGTTAAACTTACCAATCTCTAAAATGACATTTCCGCATGTCCTTCATTGTGTCTGTTCGTCCCGGGTTAAAATTTAAACTATTAAACGAAATTGTTGTCAAATAGATTGATAATTATCACGCGATTACTCGGGATAAAATAGCCATTTTTGAGGATAGCAGGTATCTTTGATTGATTTATATAGCGCTTGTATACACACAAAATCGTTATTAATTGCAAACCTACTGTTCGTTGATGCAGTGTCGCAATGACGGTTAATTCCTGATGCGATTTGCAATTTCGATGTTACCGGAGCTGACCGATATTTTCGTAAAATTCCAAACCTGTCTCCAATATTTTCGTAATTATGCATCAATATGGTCTAAGGGGGGTACGGGATGGTGTGTATGTATTTATAAGGTATGTATGCATGCTTGAATCACATTCTTTATGTAATATTACCATGTTTTCGGAGTTTAATTAGTTCCGCATGTCGAAACCTGCTGAACGATTAAATGATCGCAACAAGGGCAAAATCATCATGGAAGTTAGACCTAGCCGGGGGCCATAAGACATGTCAGATAAGAAACGAGGCCCAGGCTAGGTCTAATGTTGTTGGACTATAGTAATTGTGGAGGTGATTCAGAGAAAGGGAGTAAGCTGGATCTGCTGCATTCGTTCAAACTACTTTAAATTTCACAATAGGCTTTGATTCTTTTAAAATATATATTTATTTAACTTATACGATACCATATACGATAAATGTTGCCCCCTCTTATGCATATACAATAAATTGTCACCCTCCTCTTTTACGATAACCCTATACACCCCCCCCCTCATGAAAGCGAAAGAGTGTAACCGGGCACGAAAATGGAATGCGACGCCTGAATTATCCCACTGTTTGGTAAGACTTGTGAGACTATAACTTCAAATACAAAGAGTAAAGATATATAAAAGAGGTAATATGCGACAAATATACATTATATTAAGTCATTAGTCAAGTTATTTCAGTCAGGCCCCTGGCACAGATTTCGAAACGGGATTTTTCTCGCCGATGATCCTAAACCAATGCAATGAAATAGTGAGCATATTCGCATATCTGCGACCATTCATCTTGTAATTAAGTTGCTACTTTCTATTCTATCTTCCTTTTAAATCAGATAAAACACACTGACAAGCGATAATCTTTGCACAGTTAAAGCAGATATGAAATGGTATTTTTAACCTACAGGAATCAATATAATTTTTTGATAAATGTATTTGGACATGTTTTCTCATCAGTAGTGCGAAAACTATTTCACTCTAACGATCGTTATAGCTGCTTAATAAGCAATATTCGAATTGGTTGTGACGTTATTGGCCCCCACGTGATCTCTCACTGGTCCCCACGTGGCCCATAACGTCATAATGCCTAAATGTTTTGTTTTGGTTTACACTTCAATCCTATGGTTGCCGTGACGTTGTGATTACTAAGGAACCAACAAACCAAAGCTATATTTTGTATATGACGTTACTTATCACGTGGGGGCCAATTTGATTGATCAGTTAGTTTTGTTTCGTTATTTATGACCGTTAGCAGTTATCTAACATTTATTTTATAATGGCTATCGCAAGAACTCTACATTGGGCTTACAATGGAGAAAACCGCATTTTTGTAGCTGCAAGTTGAGAAAAGCTATTTCAGTTGTCCTTTAACGATCAAACATTGGGCTAATAACTCCTGTCTTCTGATACGCCACCTTATCTTTTCACTTACGCGATTTTATACATGTTCTCGGGCCTGTGGGAACGATCATTCTGAACAGCGCGTTAGTGCGATAGCGCGTTAGCGCGTAGCGCGTGTTTTCATTATAACCGATATTTGAGATGATTTCCTAGTAGAAGAAACAGTTGTTGTTTTGCTTTCCGTCATTTTTTATTTTCCCGGGCTTTTCTAGACGGCCAGCTGAACTGAGCTGGAAAAATGTGTATTTGTGACGTCACTCGTGCATAGGGTCATACAGTGATTCTATTCAGCATATTGTTTCGTTCTGGAGCAGTTTCCGTGCACATTGCTGCTCTGTGTGAGATAATGTCTCCCTCTAGTGCTCCACAATATTCAAAAAGCTCAGGTTTATTTGGGTCAAGTGGAATAGTTAGAAACTTTGCTATGACAGTTGCATATTTAAGAAGACCGGGAATCTTTCTTGAGTACAGCCATAGTGGGTTTGGTTCTAGATTGTTTTGTATTTGTCTTAATCTAGTAAAGCTATAATCATTTTCCGTTCGTGATTTCCATTCGTCATTTTGATGAGAATTTATGGCAAATTTGACGATACGTTTCCATATGTGTTTTGGAGGGAAATACCCTGTATCAATGTATTGATTTAATGACTCGATTTCATATTTAGCTAATAATAATGCTCTGTGTGAAGCCTTATTCCTTAACTTCCAAAGTACCCTAATGTACTTTATTTAATATTTACCGTTGCGTTTTTATTTATGAACCAGTTCTAGAACATTATCTTTAGATTAATTGGTTACGATATTGAGTGTTTGTTTGTTCGTTTTAAGTTTGTATCTTGTTTTGTGAGCCCATGATTTAGTCTGTTGGTAGAAACACAATCGCAAAAGGGCTCATTATTAATTCACATGGCACCACACTATATATCCGCAAGTTAATGACTTATCCAAAAAACGCAACACTGATTTTTGGATATCATTCGCATTCTCTCATTTTCAGTGGAATATGGACTCCTATCAGGTCGTCTTCACAAAGATGCTATTTGATATCTTGAGAGAATATCCCAACGCATTCGAACGTAATTTGCCTCCAAGCTACATGCAGCGTCCTCTTATGGATAAGGTTTGTGGACAGAAAGGGCCAAGAAATACTTTGCAATATTACTGGCTTACACACAACTAACTGTGCTTTAGGATATCTGTCACGGTTTATTTTCGCTCAATATAAAGCACTAGAAGCACAAGAAATAGTTAAATGATGTATTAAATGTGAATGAAATCATAATTCTGAAATAAAAATTAATTAAACAATTAAATCCATGAACAATAATAATAAATACAAAGTACCTATTCATTTTCAGTTCATTTGATGTTTTTTTGTTTTAATTATAAGTCGCTGGTTTGCTTTGAGAAAGTTTTCATTCTGTACCATGTTTTTTCAGTTGATGATCGATTCTGCTGACTTCTATGGCGCCACTGAGTTTGATGGGTTTAGTATGGATGACCACTGGTGGAATCTGGTGGAAGCGGCATACTTCGCAACCATCGATCTGACAGAAGATGGCGAAAATGAAGTATTATCTAGAAAGAAAAGGGGTAAAAAAGGTAATGCTAAGTCAGCGAGCAAAAGTAAATCTTCAAGCAAGGAGAAATCGGTGAAGCAAGCCAGCCAAGGAAAGTCTAACAAGTCGGGGGTGTCTAACAAGTCAGGAAAGTCTAACAAGTCGCAAAAGTCGAAGAGTGGAACAAAATCAGCAAGTAAGGAAACGTCAACCATCAAAAGCGAGTCTAATAAGTCGAAAAAATCGAACATCGAAAGCAAATCAACCAGTAAAGAAAAGTCATCTCAGAAATCAAAATCTGGTGGTAAAAGCAAATCAGCAAGCAAAGGAAAGTACAGCAAAGAAAGCCCAGAGGATGAAAGTAAATCAACAAGTAAAGAAAAAACAGCAAGCAAAGAAAAGTCATCTCAGAAATCAAAATCTGGCGGTAAAAGCAAATCAGCAAGCAAAGGGAAGTACAGCAAAGAAAGCCCAGATGATGAAAGTAAATCGGCAAGTAAAGAAGTGACAGCAAGCAAAGAAAGGTCATCTCAGGAATCAAAATCTAGCGGTAAAAGCAAATCAGCAAGCAAAGGAAAGGACAGCAAAGAAAGTTCAGAGGATGAAAGTAAATCAGCAAGTAAAGAAGAAACAGCAAGCAAAGAAAGGTCATCTCAGAAATCAAAATCTGGTGGTAAAAGCAAATCAGCAAGCAAAGGAAAGTACAGCAAAGAAAGCCCAGAGGATGAAAGTAAATCAGCAAGTAAAGAAGAAACAGCAAGCAAAGAAAGGTCATCTCAGAAATCAAAATCTGGCGGTAAAAGCAAATCAGCAAGCAAAGGAAAGTACAGCAAAGAAAGCCCAGAGAATGAAAGTAAATCAGCAAGTAAAGAGGAAATAGCGAGCAAAGAAAAGTCATCTCAGAAATCAAAATCTGGTGGTAAAAGCAAATCAGCAAGCAAAGGAAAATACAGCAAAGAAAGCCCAGAAGATGAAAGTAAATCAGCAAGTAAAGAAGAAACAGCAAGCAAAGAAAAGTCATCAAAGAAATCAAAATCTGGCGGTAAAAGCAAATCAGCAAGCAAAGGAAAGTACAGCAAAGAAAGTTCAGAGAATGAAAGTAAATCAGCAAGTAAAGAAGAAACAGCAAGCAAAGAAAAGTCATCAAATAAATCTAAATCTGGCGGTAAAAGCAAATCAGCAAGCAAAGGAAAGTACAGCAAAGAAAGCCTAAAGGATGAAAGTAAATCGGCAAGTAAAGAAGCACTAACAAGTAAAGGAAAGTCATCAAAGAAATCAAAATCTGGCGGTAAAAGCAAGTCAGCAAGCAAAGAAAAGGACAGCAAAGAAAGTTCAGAGAATGAAAGTGGATCAGCAAGTAAAGAAGAAACAGCAAGCAAAGAAAAGTCATCAAAGAAATCAAAATCTGGTGGTAAAAGCAAATCAGCAAGCAAAGGAAAGGACAGCAAAGAAGGTTCAGAGAATGAAAGTGGATCAGCAAGTAAAGAAGAAACAGCAAGCAAAGAAAAGTCATCAAAGAAATCAAAATCTGGCGGTAAAAGCAAATCAGCAAGCAAAGGAAAGGACAGCAAAGAAAGTTCAGAGGATGAAAGTAAATCAGCAAGTAAAGAAGAAACAGCAAGCAAAAAAAAGTCATCAAAGAAATCAAAATCTGGTGGTAAAAGCAAATCAGCAAGCAAAGGAAAATACAGCAAAGAAAGCCCAGAGGATGAAAGTAAATCAACAAGTCAAGAAGAAACAGCAAGCAAAGAAAAGTCATCTCAGAAATCAAAATCTGGTGGAAAAAGCAAATCAGCAAGCAAAGGAAAGTACAGCAAAGAAAGCCCAGAGGATGAAAGTAAATCAGCAAGTAAAGAAGAAACAGCAAGCAAAGAAAAGTCATCAAAGAAATCAAAATCTGGTGGTAAAAGCAAATCAGCAAGCAAAGGAAAGGACAGCAAAGAAGGTTCAGAGAATGAAAGTGGATTAGCAAGTAAAGAAGAAACAGCAAGCAAAGAAAAGTCATCAAATAAATCAAAATCTGGCGGTAAAAGCAAATCAGCAAGCAAAGGAAAATACAGCAAAGAAAGCCCAGAGGATGAAAGTAAATCAACAAGTCAAGAAGAAACAGCAAGCAAAGAAAAGTCATCTCAGAAATCAAAATCTGGTGGTAAAAGCAAATCAGCAAGCAAAGGTGAGTCCAGCAAAGAAAGCTCAGAGAATGAAAGTGGATCAGCAAGTAAAGAAGAAACAGCAAGCAAAGAAAAGTCATCGAAGAAATCAAAATCTGGCGGTAAAAGCAAATCAGCAAGCAAAGGTGAGTCCAGCAAAGAAGGTTCAGAGAATGAAAGTGGATCAGCAAGTATAGAAGAAACAGCAAGCAAAGAAAAGTCATCAAAGAAATCAAAATCTGGTGGCAAAAGCAAATCAGCAAGCAAAGGAAAGTACAGCAAAGAAAGCTCAGAGAATGAAAGTAAATCAGCAAGTAAAGAAGAAACAGCAAGCATGAAAGAAAAGTCATCAAATAAATCAAAATCTGGCGGTAAAAGCAAATCAGCAAGCAAAGGAAAGTACAGCAAAGAAAGCTCAGAGAATGAAAGTGGATCAGCAAGTAAAGAAGAAACAGCAAGCAAAGAAAAGTCATCGAAGAAATCAAAATCTGGCGGTAAAAGCAAATCAGCAAGCAAAGGAAAGTACAGCAAAGAAAGCCCAGGGAATGAAAGTAAATCAGCAAGTAAAGAGGAAATAGCGAGCAAAGAAAAGTCATCTCAGAAATCAAAATCTGGTGGTAAAAGCAAATCAGCAAGCAAAGGAAAGTACAGCAAAGAGAGCCCAGAAGATGAAAGTAAATCAGCAAGTAAAGAAGAAACAGCAAGCAAAGAAAAGTCATCTCAGAAATCAAAATCTGGTGGTAAAAGCAAATCAGCAAGCAAAGGAAAGTACAGCAAAGAAAGCCCAGAGGATGAAAGTAAATCAGCAAGTAAAGAAGAAACAGCAAGCAAAGAAAAGTCATCAAAGAAATCAAAATCTGGTGGTAAAAGCAAATCAGCAAGCAAAGGAGAGTACAGCAAAGAAAGCTCAGAGAATGAAAGTAAATCAGCAAGTAAAGAAGAAACAGCAAGCATGAAAGAAAAGTCATCAAATAAATCAAAATCTGGCGGTAAAAGCAAATCAGCAAGCAAAGGAAAGTACAGCAAAGAAAGCTCAGAGAATGAAAGTGGATCAGCAAGTAAAGAAGAAACAGCAAGCAAAGAAAAGTCATCGAAGAAATCAAAATCTGGCGGTAAAAGCAAATCAGCAAGCAAAGGAAAGTACAGCAAAGAAAGCCCAGGGAATGAAAGTAAATCAGCAAGTAAAGAGGAAATAGCGAGCAAAGAAAAGTCATCTCAGAAATCAAAATCTGGTGGTAAAAGCAAATCAGCAAGCAAAGGAAAGTACAGCAAAGAGAGCCCAGAAGATGAAAGTAAATCAGCAAGTAAAGAAGAAACAGCAAGCAAAGAAAAGTCATCTCAGAAATCAAAATCTGGCGGTAAAAGCAAATCAGCAAGTAAAGGTGAGTCCAGCAAAGAAAGCCCAGAGGATGAAAGTAAATCAGCAAGTAAAGAGGAAATAGCGAGCAAAGAAAAGTCATCTCAGAAATCAAAATCTGGCGGTAAAAGCAAATCAGCAAGCAAAGGAGAGTACAACAAAGAAAGCCCAGAGAATGAAAGTAAATCAGCAAGTATAGAAGAAACGGCGAGCAAAGAAAAGTCATCAAAGAAATCAAAATCTGGCGGTAAAAGCAAATCAGCAAGTAAAGAAATCTCAGAAGAAGCAGGATTCACACAACCAGTTGATGCACAAGGAGAATCCGCATTTACAGGTGATGCAAAAGGTGCTTCCAATCTAACAGTTGATGCACAAGGTGGTTCAGCACAAGGTGATTCCACCTTAACGGATGATTCAGAAGGAGGATATTCGCAAACTGGTGATGCTCAAGGGGGTTCCACACTAACAGGTGGTGCACAAGGTGGATCTAAACTAACAGTTGATGCACACGGAAGTTCCACACTAACAGGTGATACACAAGGAGGATCCAATCTAACAGTTGATGCACAAGGTGGTTCAGCACAAGGTGATTCCACCTTAACGGATGATCCAGAAGGAGAATATTCGCAAACTGGTGAGGCTCAAGGGGGTTCCACACTAACAGGTGGTGCACAAGGTGGTTCCACACTAAAAGCTGATGCACAAGGAGGATCTCAACTAACAGTTGATACGCAAGGAGGATCCAAACCAAGAGGTGATGCGCAAGGTGGTTCCACACTAAAAGCTGATGCACAAGGAAGTTCCACACTAACAGGTGGTGCACAAGGTGGTTCCACACTAAAAGCTGGTGCACAAGGAGGTTCTACACTAACAGTTGATGTTCAAGGAGATACCACACTAACAGTTGATACGCAAGGAAGTTCCAAACTAACAGGTGATGAACAAGGAAGTTCCACACTAACAGGTGATGACCAAGGAGATACCACATTAACAGTTGATACGCAAGGAAGTACCACACTAACAGGTGATGAACAAGGAAGTTCCACACTAACAGGGGATGGACAAGGAAGTTCTACACTAACAGGTGATGTACAAGGAGATACCACACTAACAGTTGATACGCAAGGAAGTTCCACACTAAAAGGTGATGCACAAGGAGATACCACACTAACAGTTGATACGCAAGGAAGTTCCACACTAACAGGTGATGAACAAGGAAGTTCCACACTAACAGGTGATGACCAAGGAGATACCACATTAACAGTTGATACGCAAGGAAGTACCACTCTAACAGGTGATGAACAAGGAAGTTCCACACTAACAAGTGATGCACAAGGAAGTTCTACACTAACAGGTGATGCACAAGGGAGTTCCACACTAACAGGTGATGCACAAGGAAGTTCCACACTAACAGGTGATGCACAAGGAAGTTCCACACTAACAGATGATGCACAAGGAAGTTCCACACTAACAGGTGATGCACAAGGAAGTTCCACACTAACAGGTGATGGACAAGGTGATTCCACACTAACAGTTGATGCACAAGGAGATACCACACTAACAGGCATTGCGCAAGGAAGTTCCACACTAACAGGTGATGCACAAGGAAGTTCCACACTAACAGGTGATGCACAAGGAAGTTCCACACTAACAGGCGATGCACAAGGTGGTTCCACACTAACAAGCGATGCACACGGAAGTTCCACACTAACAGGTGATGACCAAAGAGATACCACACTAACAGTTGATGACCAAGGAAGTTCCACACTAACAGGCGATGAACAAGGTGATTCCACACTAACAAGCGATGCACATGAAGGTTCCGAACTAACAGGTGATGCACAAGGAAGTTCCACTCTAACAGGTGATGTACAAGGAACTTCTACACTAACAGCTGATGCTCAAGAAGGTTCTGAACTAATGGTTGATATGCAAGGAAGTTCCAAACTGACAAGTGATGCTGAAGGAGGTTATACACCTACAACTTCCACACCTAAAACTGCTGCGCCATTTACTGCTGTTACATCTTCTTTTGCACCTGCGACTACAACTCCAAAAACTGCTGCTGCAACAACTGTAGCACCACCAACTACAGCTCCAATAACCGCTGCTCTAACTACTGCAGCACCACCAACTGCAGTTCCATTAACTACTGTTTCATCAACTCCTGCACTCACAACTACTGCTCTAACAACTGCTGCTTCAATAACTGCTGCTCCAACCACTGTACCAGCAACTACTCCTCCAATATCTGCTGCTTTAACAACTGCAGCATCATCAACTGCAGTTCCATCAACTGCAGCTCCATTAACTGATATAACATCAACTGTACGAACAACTGCTGCTCCAATAACTGCTGCTCCAACCACTGTACCAGCAACTACTCCTCCAATAACTGCTGCTTCAACAACTGCAGCACCACCAACTACAGCTCCAATAACTGCTGCTCCAACAACTGCAGCTCCAACAACTGCTGCTCCAATAACTGCTGCTCCAACAACTGCAGCACCACCAACTGCAGCTCCAATAACTGCTGCTCCAATAACTGCTGCTCCAACAACTGCAGCACCACCAACTGCAGCTCCAATAACTGCTGCTCCAATAACTGCTGCTCCAACAACTGCAGCACCACCAACTGCAGCTCCAATAACTGCTGCTCCATCACCTGCTGCTCCAACAACTGCTGCTCCAATAACTGCTGCTCCAACAACTGCAGCACCACCAACTGCTGCTCCAACAACTGCAGCACCACCAACTGCTGCTCCAATAACTGCTGCTCCAATAACTGCAGCTCCAATAACTGCAGCTCCATCACCTGTTGCACTAACAACTGTTGCTACATCACCTTCTGTACCAATCACTGCTGCTCCAACAACTGCTGCTCCAATAACTGCTGCTCCAACAACTGCAGCACCACCAACTGCAGCTCCAATAACTGCAGCTCCATCACCTGTTGCACTAACAACTGCTGCTCCAACAACTGCTGCTCCAACAACTGCAGCACCACCAACTGCAGCTCCAATAACTGCAGCTCCATCACCTGCTGCTCCAACAACTGCTGCTCCAATAACTGCTGCTCCAACAACTGCAGCACCACCAACTACAGCTCCAATAACTGCTGCTCCATCACCTGCTGCTCCAACAACTGCAGCACCACCAACTGCAGCTCCAATAACTGCAGCTCCATCACCTGCTGCTCCAACAACTGCTGCTCCAATAACTGCTGCTCCAACAACTGCAGCACCACCAACTGCAGCTCCAATAACTGCAGCTCCATCACCTGTTGCACTAACAACTGTTGCTACATCACCTTCTGTACCAATCACTGCTGCTCCAACAACTGCAGCACCACCAACTGCAGCTCAAATAACTGTTGCTCTTACTACTGCAGCACCACCAACTACAGCTCCAATAACTGCTGCTCTAACTACTGCAGCACCACCAACTACAGCTCCAATAACTGCTGTTACATCAACTCCTGCACTCGAAACTACTGCTCTAACAACTAAAGCTCCAATAACTGCAGCTCCATCAACTGCTGCTCCAATAACTGTTGCACCAACAACTGTTTCGCAATTAATTGCTGCTACATCACCTTCTGCACCAATCACTGCTGCTCCAACAACTGCAGCACCACCAACTGCAGCTCCATCAACTGTTGCACCAACAGCAGCTGCGAAATTAATTACTGCGACATCAACTTCTTCACCAATCACTGCTGCTACAATAACTGCTGCTCCATCACTTGCTGCTCCAACAACTGCTGCATCAATAACTGCTGCTCCATCAACTGTTGCACCAACAACTGCTGCACCATTAAATAAGGAGCTGGAACAATCTCTTTTATTGATGCAGATGTTTGGATTTGGTCCCCCTGCAAACGCAGATCTTAGTACTGCTGAAAGGCAACCTAGCGTTGAGACTGTCGCAGAGAGAACAACTGGTTCAGTAGCTCCGTCGACACAGACACCAACATCCGGAACTGGTGATAACAACCTTAACGGCGTTGCGGGATTTGACAAGCAGATAGGAAATGAAGATGAGAACGAAGCGGAAGAGCGATTCGATTCCCAAGTCCAAACAGATATCCCTACGTTGACTATAGCTATAACTATTCCAGTTGTAGCACTAGTTGTTGGAGGGTGTGTGGTCTTCTTCCTGTTCGGGAGAAAGCGCCTTCGTCGTCGTCAACAGGTCGATGAGGACCCCGACTGGATGGAAAAAGATTTGTTGAGTTATGGGTCTCGCCCTAGTACTGCATCAAGTGTAAATTCACAAAGTTCTGAGATGTTTAAGTTTCGTCCTGGGTCTGCGATGACAACGGGACATTGCTAACTATTTCATAATCAGAACTCTCACGATGCAACTAGAATGAGTACATCTTAATTCTTAATGACATTTGGCTTATATACTAAGTAAGGAATGAACAGTTGAAGAAAATGAACACATTCGTTTCTTCCTAATTTTATCTAATAATTCAGTACCCCCCTATCACACTAAACTCGTTCTTACCCGTTCTTGCCAGTCCTACGAAAACGTCGTAAAACGGGCTCAATCTGGCTGTGGTCGGGAAATATGTCTGAAATAATTAGCTTCTTCGTTCTTAAACAGTCTTCAATACGTCCATCTCGTTCGCAGTTCGTTCAGGTCGCACCACGTCGGTGTACAACGCCGTAGAACGCGTCCCTTAGTCTAGAAGGTCATCATGACCTGATAACAGAACGGTATGGTCGCCATCGAATTTTGAATCGATTCAAAATTCTAAAATCACATTCCCGTCTGAGAACGTTCATGAAGTTCGTAAATAGACCTTAGAAAGTTGCAGCTACGTTCATTCCGTTCGCACACAGTTTAGAACCAGTTTTGAAGAACGCAGTGGCAACTTGTTTGGTGTGATAGCTATATTTTTGCTAACTCGTTCATAAGCAGTGTTAAATACGTTCTTAATCAGTTTAAACCCGTTTGCAATGAGTTCTACCTCGTTCTCAACACGTCCTCAGACAGTTCAACTCGTTGTTAAAACGTCCCTGGTAGGATTGAAGTACGACGGTTCCGTTCGTAGTACGTCCAGCTCGTCGTTAGTACGTTGTCACTCGTTCTAATTGTAGAACGTGACGACCACGAGAACATTTTGAGCATTGTCTAAGTTCTAGAGGACCTACCCGTTCGAGTACGTTCGATGAAGTTTGTAAATAGATCCCAAACGGTTCTTAGTACGTCCAGTCCGTTCGTACACAGTTGAAGCCCGTTTTCGAGAACGTAGTGAGAACTAGTTTGGTGTGATAGAAGGGTAAATGGACAAAGCTTACAACACTAAATTGAGTAACAATATAGTCAGAGGTGTTTTTTATTAGTTTACTAATTATTGTTCTTTTATAGCTAAAGTTACCATAGCCGTAGGGACCGGGGGTTCGATGGGTTCGGACGAACCCCCGGTCGGGATTCCCCCCAAAAATATTTGTGGAAAATTCATTGCAATAACCAATTACATATATTCAATTTATATGACTAGTAGATAAAAATAGTAAATTTACACTTCTCTCCAAAAGATTGGCAACCTCAGGCACGGGGTGGGATTGTTTAATTTTGGGAAGACCCCGGAGCATTATGACATTATGCAAAGAAAAAAAATCAATAAAAAGCTGCTCCATCTACAGTGAAATAAACAAATTGTCTTAATACTGATGAAAACACATTTTCTTTCAAATCTATGCCCCTCCGTTTTGTTTTATTTCAAACAAAAAAATTCTTGCTAAGTCCCCGGGTCTGACAAGTCCTCAAAAGCAAATATTAAATAATATAAACATTTTGAAATGAGTTATTATTAAAAGCATATGTATCATTTATAAACACAAGTATTTGATCGAATGGGTATTTATTATCCATCACTTTTTAAGGAAAAATAAATCGATTGCGAAAAAATCAGTTTTGCTTTTTCAGATGCACGTTCATCTCGGAGATCATTTTAAGATTAAAATGTTGCTGTTTCAGTGTATTAAGTATTTACTCTATTTTCAAGAATATCAAACTTTAGTGGATCGCGTTTATGACATTAATTATAATATGTTTCGCAAATAAATGGATTAAGGGAGGCAATTAGGTGAGTATGTCTGTGTTACTAGATACAAGTGTAAAAGGTACACACATTACGTGCAGTGGAAAGTTCTGTCCAATAAAAAGGTCAGATGCAGTCATCTTTTGCTGAGGAAAGCAAAGGCGTAAGGAGGATTATATCAAATAAGTCTAGATTTATTATTTCAAATGAGTATTACATTCTCACAGTTATATGGAGTTTAAACTGCTTCTTTATTCGGTACATTAAATATTCCATGAATACCAAATAAAAAAACAATTTACCAAACCTTTACCAAATCTATCGAATGTTTTTTATTTTATCGAATGTAATAATCTATACAATTTATATTCGCTAAATAGTTTCACTTGTTCTTTGTGTTGGCATTCACATTTGATATTTATACACAGTGTACATGTATTTGTGTGATGCAGCGTATCCTTAACGCACGTATAATTCAATTAATTATTTGTACATTCGGTATTTAAATTATTTATATTCGATAAATACCGAATGCCACATTCGTTAAATTTCATTATTTTTCGATACTCTACGAGACTTTCAGTCACGTGATATATTTGAACGATGTAGAATAGCTGCGCGGCCATTTTGCAAATCTCGAGGTCACGTGACAAAATATCGAACAACAACGAAAGTTATCGAATATTACTTTATTGCATTAGGTAAATAGCAAATTAGCTTTCGGTAAAATGCATTAACTATGTCATAGAAAAAAATCCATTCGGTAAATATAGGCAAACTTATTTTGGTAGGGTTCAAATAGAAATTCAATATTGTGCATATAATGTGTTACTCTTAAGAAATACCTTAACAATTTACGCAAAAAACATATCATTTAGCGAATGAAATATGTAATTTAATGCACATGGTATTAAATGATTGGCTAGTTTGAAAACTTAATTTGCTGTAACAAACATATAAACGTTTTTACCGAATGGAAAATGATTTAGCGAATATTAATATTTCATATATCGAATATATTTGAATTTAATGAATAAAGAAGCAAAAATAATGCCATACAGTTAAGGGAAAAAGTTCATAATAAAAAATAAATCACATGGTGTACCAATATGCATTGCTTCCTGATAATCACTTTTTATTTTCTAAAAAACTGATCCACTGATAATCACCAGCGGATTAAAAAATTCAACAAAAGAGGTAAAAAAATGGGAAAATTTGGAGGCATTGGAAGTGAAATCAAATTACATTTTAATCAATATTATAAGTATTTTCCCCACAGGTTATGTAAATAAAAATTCAAATATAAAGAGGAGGCAGGGAGCTTAGGTTGCCAAACTTTTGGAGGGGAATGTACTTGCCAGAAAGACAGAGGATTGGCCTACCACAAGTTTCAAATCGTGTGTCTAAAAAGATTTGGCAGCATTCTTGAATAAAATAATAAAACGTTAATTTCTCAAAAACAAATCAAAGTCTATAATGATTCACAAGTTCATCTAAAATGTTTTCATTTCTCAGAACATTCATGATTCTCGTCATTAATGATAAAAACAGCGGAACGGTGATAGAATGTTTCATTTCATAATATGTAATACAATACTATTTGTCATCTGTCACTTTTATCGTCAGTACCAATTGAGAGTATTCGTGCAGCCATTACGACTTTTATTGTGCGCCATGATTAAATAAGTATTACATTCTTCAAAAATATTTGCTATGAATAAACTAGTTTTCAGTAAATAACTGTAAGTTCATGAGGTCTTACAAAATGAAATATAAATCAAATTTTTTTGATTTGGATTCTTTTCAAAAATCATCTAAAAGTGTGGGAAAATAGCATGTATCTGAATATCTTTGAATGAACTCTAAAACATGAATTGGGAATGACGATTTATCAATGGTAGCTCGTCAAAAACATGTTCCTCAGAGATATGTTATAATTTTCCCTTAACAAAAGTTGGCTCAATGTATGCTAACCCTTGATTTGGATTCCATTGAACAATTAAACAAGTGCAGTAAAATTTAAATGTATGATTTTGCTACCAGATTTCAATATCTTTTCAGTAAAAGATTCACCTAAAACTATTTCAACGTAGAAAATCAAATTGTTGCCAAACTTTTGGAGGGGTGTACATTGTATGTATGACAAATACAAAAAATGCTTTTTTGTGAGGTACACCGATGAAGGGGAAGATTTGTGGATACATAGAAAATCGAACCCCTGGTCACCATTTGCTGGCTACGCCACTGGTTACGGTATTTTTCCTAACTATCACAGTGCATAGAATTAGACAAGTGGATCCACTTAATTATGTTCGATTATTTTTACTTAAATTACTTATCACTTACAGCATTCTGTTCCTCATTGTACCTAATTTCTTAGAACGGATATTTGATTCAAAACGAAAAGATTCTCATGGTAACCACGATCGAAACAATTGAGTCCAGAAACGTACTGTTTCCTCCAACTGCCGTCCAACTGTTTCTGTATCATTTTTCTTCGAGCATGCTTTCTTCTATCATTCGATTTTAAATTAAATGTTTCCATCTAATACTTATACATATAGCCTCCGTTATAATTTGTCAGTCACCCTGATTATCTAATCATCTAAGATCTACTTTGCTATAATTATGAATATATTATGAGAGCTTATTTGATCATCTGCACTATACTATTTTGTAAACATGCTTATCGCATTTGTAAAAACCACACTCACAAAACTTTTGAACAGTTATGAGGGGAGGGGGTCATTATCCTTGAAAGTAAGTTAGCTTTCCGACATCGTTCCTGGGAATTTTATTTGAGCAAACTTTGTTTGATATAAAGTCAAGATTCTACAGTGAGATAAAATACAAAAGATAATCTCATGCTCAGTGATACTTTCAAAAATAAAGATTGGAATAATTACAAAGAATTGCTAGAAATTAGTTTTAGGGTGAGAGTAATTCATATCTAGAAGAAATTGCTGAGTTATGTATTACATACACATACAAATGAACTACAAACATTAGTGATATTTCAACATTTATATTATGATAATTACATGTACTTAATAGAGTAATTCACATCCCAAAAATTACACGTCTGAATAAATGTAGCTATTAAACATCCTTGTAAGCAGACACGAGTGTTTATATTAGATTACACGAGTGCATTAAGTTACCCACAATTCATTTAGCCATGTGCTTTAATTCTTTTCAAACATAAGGAGCTGAAGATTTTGACCACTAAACACAGGATCCTTTTTTGCAAGGTCAACATTTTGGCCTACCTAAGCACTTATCTTGGGTGGCTATACTGTGTTCTGATTAGCAAGGATATATTTCATGCCTAGCTATCCGTGAATAATATTTATATGTCTTACATAAAAGTGTGTCCATTACTTTTGTATCACCACTCGTATACGAGCATTTGTTCTCAAATTGTCTCAATACTTTCTTGATGTTCTTATAGATTTTCATTTGCTTCTCTGTACTGAACAGTGAAAATATCACATTTTGCATCACCTACCATTACTTCGCCTGTCTCCTGCTTTATCATAATGCCGCAGGGCTCGTTCATGTCAGGTGCGTTGTCTTTGTTGAGCAGAACACGGTTGAAGGTACAATCTGGATTCAGCTGAACAACGCGGTTGTTACCACTATCTGCAAATATTATGCTGCCACCCCTATCGATACAAATACCATGAGGTCGGTCTAGATCTACTCCATCACAGGAATAAACCGTATTACGTATGGCACCTTGCTCATGGAAAACAAATAGAGCTTTTCTCATCAAATCGGTAACAACCAGCCTTACTTCATTTCCAAGTTGTTGAACTGCAACATAATTAGGTGAAGCGAGCTCTCCCTTTCCAATGACCATAGGAACCCCACCATCATAGATACCATTTACAAAACGTATTACAAATACACAGTTTTCCACGCAGTCACATATAGCAAGCCTGAAGTCATCAATTGTTCCACCTGGAAACACAGCTAAACCTCTGGGATCTTTCAGGAAGTTTAGCGTGACCTCCACTCTACCCTCGTCAGCATTGGCGCCATCCTGTACGTTTTTCACAATCAAAAGTTTTTTCTTGTTGTCAGTCGCGAATATGACTTTTCCATTGCTTATTTGGGCCACATAATTCAGTTGTGAATTAGGTACGTTAAACGTGTATTTCATTGGTGACTTGACTCCTGTTTCGTAGCGTACTTCCGCAGGATTAAGGTTGTCATCATAAAGCCTTGCGACTCCATTCCCAGGTATTACTATGATTAGTCGTTCGTTCATGTGACACATGTCATACGAGATCCCCGGGGCCTTCAATGTTGCGTTTTGTAGCTTAGTCTTCCTCACAACTGGAACTGCCATCTGGAATATCAAGTTACAAAATTAGAAATTAAAATACTGTAACTCCTGAAAAAATAAATATACAGGGTGTCACGAAAGTATGCCCCCACCCACCCTAGGCTGACATATACCAATGTCGTCATAGTATGTGTCATATATCACTTTAAAGCTTATCCAAAGTAACATTGATTTGCCAAGTATAATGGTTCAAATCACAAATGGGAAAAGTTACAGTCATCTTAAAATGTAGTGTTTCACCAAATTAAAATTTTACACCACATTACCAGTCAATGTGCCCTCCCTTGGCCATGTGAACCACCGCAATTATTTTCAGATATGACCTTAAAAACCCTTCAAATAGGGGTGTGGAATTTTGTACTCCTCCTAAAACCTCTAAAGGCACTTCAGAAGTGTTTCCTTGGAATATTTACCCTCGCCGTTCTCTTTTTCTAACTCAACTTCCATCTGACCCGAAAAGATTCGCTACTTTTAAGATAGCCCGGGAGGACATATTGACTAGTGATTTGCAGTAAAATGGAAAAACACAAAATTTTTAAATGCCTGTCATTTTTTCATATTTGGGAGTTGAACCATGATACTTTGCCAATCAATGTAACTTTGGATAAGCTTTAAAATGATATATGACACATACTATGAAGAACTTGGTATATGTCTGTCTAGGGGTGGCATACTTTCGGGACACCCTGCTATACTACTGTATGTAGGATAGTTTTTTTTTAGATAGGCGGATTGTCTAACGCTTGTACGTTAACGTTACATCCACAGTACAATGTTTGCTGGGATTTGTTTGCCTTGATTATCTAGTGTAATTCTCACCAGCATGTGGAACAAATAAAAGATATAGCAATTCATTTATCTTGTAAAAAACCAAGCATTCTTTGACAATGGTTGGCGATAAGTATCCACTTCCTGCTAAGTATGGAGACCCAATATAGAAATGATGCAATGTTTTCAGGTCAACATAAATAATTACATCTACAATTACTTGACATTGTTGATGTGAGGACAACACAGTCTGAATAAAAATCACAAAACACATTCTGATTATTTTGGGTAAGAGTACAATATTGAACAAATATTTCACTCTATTGAGGTGAATACCTGTACATCTTTCACAAGTGATATTCCACGAAGCCCGAAGGGCAAGTGGAATATCACCTTGTGAAAGTGCTACAGGTATTCACCGAAAATAGAGTGAAATATTTGTTTTATTATATCACTGTCTAGCTAAACATCCCTAATATTATTAAGTCATAGGTTAACATTGAAATACATTAAATCTACTCGGTTCGTCTGCCATTTTGACTTACATTGATCTTAATTATTTACACTGAACGAAAACAAATTCTTTGAAAATTCCCGGGAGCGTGGGATATTGAACAAATATTTCACTCTATTGAGGTGAATACCTGTACATCTTTCACAAGTGATATTCCACGAAGCCCGAAGGGCAAGTGGAATATCACCTTGTGAAAGTGCTACAGGTATTCACCGAAAATAGAGTGAAATATTTGTTTTATTATTACGAAAACAAATTCTTTGAAAATTCCCGGGAGCGTGGGATATCGCTAGATATCTCACGGTTGTCTTATCTGATTAGCATTGCCATTGAATATCGCCAGATATCCCACGACATGTGACCTGGTTTTGACCAATCATACTGTCGCTAGCTAGATAGTGATATAATAACGCTAGATATCTCACGGTTGTCTTATCTGATTAGTATTGCCATTGAATATCGCCAGATATCCCACGACATGTGACCCGGTTTTGACCAATCATACCGTCGCTAGCTAGATAGTGATATAATAATATAAGTTATTGAATGATTTGAAGCGCAATACAGGATATACTCTGCTTGTTAAATTCCGAATATCTAGAGCAGAATATATCCTTTAGTTGCACTTTAAATCATTCTATAACGTACATACTAACGTAGATTATCTCGTTCCAACACAGAATTTCTCGAGCAGAATATATCACTCTAAAAAATATATACTAGTTATTGTATTATTTTTACATTTTCATGTAATTTAATTACTGGTTCACATGTAATAATAATTGTTGGTTCACATGTTTCGATGTTTGTTGAATTTATGTAATTTTATATTGTGAGTTTTATATTTGCACGTTGATTGTACTCTTCTATAAAAGGAGGAATAAAAGGCAATACAATACAATACAATACAGTTAGTAATTCAATAACTACTATAAGTAATTTGAAATACTTAGTAATTAAATTACAAGAAGGGGATTTGTGATCTGTAAAATATACTGAGAAAAAGACATTTTATAAGTGAATAACATGTATGAATAATTAATTTACTTCGGTGGAACTATGATTACTGAAATGGTTCAATTTACAAATGCAAAAATATTTGGCATTTGAATTCAACAAGTAATAACGTGAATTACTTACAGAAGTACTAAGTAATCATATTTAGAGTGGTTGTAAGTTATATCTAGAAGAAATTACTTAATAATATAATTACATGCAAATAAAATGAAAATACAGATATTAGTAATTTATTAACATTGATAGTATAATAATTACTGAATTTAGTGATTCACATCAAAAAAACAATTACCTAGTAAGCACTAGTAATATAATACATGTTAAGTAATTTTGTAAAATACTTAGTAATAAATTAAATTACTTAAACTAGTTGTCAAGTAATTTTTATTTAGAGTGATCCTGTGTTGCACTTCAACACTCTTAAAAATGAATTACCTGAGTATTTCCCAAGTATTTCCCAAGTATAAAAATTACTTCAAGTTAAATACTTAGTTTTACTTCATTTTACTTAGGTTTAACTTATATTGTCATTTTGAGTTTTTTAATTGCTTAAATATGTAAATGAGTATTACAATTACTACAGTAAGTATTTCAATTTCTCTCCTTGCATTAGTAAATTCACCATAAATGAATTACTTAAAAATTATTCAGTAGTTCAAGATTATTTAAGTAATTTTTGACTTAAAATTCGTAGTACAATTTCTCAATATAAGGAAATAATATAAAGTAATAACTTTTAAGAGTGAAATCATTCAATAACCTATTGTGTTTTAACTCTCAAATGAGAAATACCACTGGAAGTTGAATCAAGTCCTTTTTGGTCCTCTATAGTTTTTTGGGCGTCCTCACACTCAGTACATCCCATGTAAGGATCAAACAGGACTTGATACAACTTTCTGTGAGAGATTTACATACCTCTATATAACTTAAACTGAAGAACAATTCTAGTTTTATCACAATCCTGATGCTTTATATTTTCCAAACAGATCAAAATATCATGTACTACATGCCATTCAGCTTTACAAAAAGAAACTGAAAATAGTTAACGCGACCTCGAGCTAGCGTTAGTGACTGCACATAGCATGTAAAACTTAAGTGCTAGAGCAATTTACCCTTCGACCTTTGATTAAGAAATTTTTATTCATACAAAAATTGAGGAAAACAGGGGAGGAAGGGATTGAAAATCAGGAAAACAATTCAGGAAAACATGTTATTTTATCATCCCTATTAAGTGCTTTTCCTGGAAATGCATTGGTCTTACATATGCACCTGTTTAAATCCCCAGAAAATAGCCAAAATCCAACATATAACTGTCCGAAAAAAGAGAGAATTGGGGTAATGAAGTAGCAAGTTCTGTATAAATGCAACTTACATGTATATATGGCAGTGTCGCATATCGGTCAACGTTCACGATACTTTAATAAACTAAGTTTTATTGACACATTTGATAATATGTCGGATGAAGAAAAATATAACTTTTTGATGACTTCTGATGATTTTGAAATTGTTAACGAATTGATACATTTTATAAATAAACTTTTTAATCAGCGTCGGGAGCTATTTGAAAAAGGAAAGATTGTATGATAGTATTTGTGAAACAATGCATGTTGTTTTTTTAACTGTATAATTATATGTAAATGTCTTGTAATTGATTTTGTGAGGAAACCAATTGTTTGGTTTGAAACACAATAAAATCTTGAATCTTGAATCTTGAATCTATTGCGTAATTATGAACTCCAGTGTCAGCCTCACGATCAACAATTTCTTTCGAAAAAACACCCACTTGCCTGGGAAATCAATTCACCCTCTTAATAAATGCCCACCCTCTTGGAGAATCAATATTGCCCTCTTAAAAAAGCCCCATCGAGGGCTTTCAAATAAACATGCGAAATAAACGCCCAGTGGGCGCATTAATGAGAAAACGGGTTACGTTTAAAACAAGAAACTAGTCCTTTCAAAATATTCAATTAAATGATGTGTTTGGTAAAAGTGCTGCGAATATTTTGATATGTTATATATATCTTGAGAAGAAGAAGAATGATTTTGAAGATCGGTAATTAAGACACGGGATGTCGATGGTTTGAGAACATTTCGTTTAGTGTATATATTAACTTTGGTATGAGTGATTGTGCAAATATTCTGTAATTACATTATGGCAAGGGAGATTATAGCAGTAATATCAATACCGAGTTGCCTGGCGAAGTAAGGTTTGCATTAAATTCCACCAACGAGCGAACAATGGATTGTATTGAACTGCTGTGGATCGATTAAGAGCATTAAGAGCCTTCTTGCCATACGAGTCTGGGGTTAAACCGATCCGAGCTGATCTGAAACGCGACTAGAATGGACAGTATCTATTATATTGACATACGTATCTTCATAAAAGTTCGGAAATATTAAAAGCTTAGGTCATACACTTGCGAGATAAAATTGTACATTTGTATCAATGTTTGGTATTATAAACTCAAGAGTTTGTGCAAATAGAGAAGTGAACGATACAACACAAGCCTTATCAGAGCTGCGTTAAAATTGGAAGACGTATAGGACAGGAATAGGAAAACACAAAATGGCAAACGTTATACTTTAATCACTAATAGATTATACCTCTTGCCGATTTACAAGGCTTTTATTGTGCTCTACTTAATGCGCCCTTTAGTATTGTTTTTGTATTAAGTATGCCAAACGGCCATTGTATTTTGTATTGATATGGCATAACAGTTCGTTAATAGTGATCGATTACTCAACCTTTAGCTGTTTTTACTCTTTGTATTCTTGAATTGTCGCATTCCAACTTCGTCAGTCAACAGAATACGAAAATAAAGAGGATGATTTATTAGGATATTATCGTGTATAGCGTTTTAAAACATCGTTATAAGAGCTCTGATCTATGTCACCGTGAAACAAATCTTGTTTGCCAGACATACTGATAAATACTTGAAACGTAGTGAGAAACGAACATAACTAAAATGGCTAGCCAATACCCACCACCCCCAAGAGCAGCGCCTCCGACATATGACGAGGCAATTCGAGACGTACCCCCTCCACCGGCATACAGACTATATAGGAGAATAGCATCGGGGAACCGACTACAGAGTGATACTGTTGACCCAAAAGACATCGGGCAGTCCAAATCTGCTATATATCTACCGAGAATGAACATGTGTTGGGCAGTTGTATGCTGTATTTTTAATTTTATATTCCCAGGTCTCGGTAAGAATAATCCACTTTAAAAATAGAAAATGCTTCATTGAAAAAAGTTTATTGAAACCACAATTTTGAAAAGAAAATGTCTACATGAAAGCAACATTATTATTTATGATACGGTCATGGGTTGCACTATTTCCAAACAAATGTAAGATGTACTCTAGTTTTGCTTCGAAGACATCTTAGAATCTTGTTTGTAGTACATTAATACCTAGTTACCTACATGCAACCTATGGCTCGTGAAACTTATGAACCAATTGCTTCTTCGATGAAACAAATTGTGGTAGCTGGGTTTTGCAAATGATATTTTTACATATCGTTTATGACGACTATAAACGATTCCATTGATATTATTCTTTCAGACGGTCGACTCAATCTAGACTTTACCTTTCGTTTATCTTTCAATTCTAGAAAATTCACATTGGAATAGAAAAAATAAGAACGCTCAAGGCCAAGCAAATTGATAACCAATTGACTCAGAATGTTTTCACTTCCAGGGACGCTTATCTCAGGGTTTAGTGTATGTTTTTGCTGCGTAAAAACTGATGATCTAACTAAGTCAGATATGGTGTTGTCCGTTGTGACGTGTACTATCCTGGGACTCCTTCAGATGGCGCTCACTCCGCTCATCTTCTTTGGTTGGATATGGAGCTGCCTCTGGGGATGTGCTTTCATTGGGGCATCAGGTAAATTCAAAGTTTAATAACAGAAAACATCCGACTCTTTCTTCTTCATCTATAAAGCTTAATATTTGAAAAGAATGTTTGTTTTATAGTTTAGTACAAGATCGTGCCTACATGGAATCACACGAAGCAACTTTTACTATTTCATTTGCGATTCCAGATACTGAGTACCATGGTAGCTCCGGAGATAACAATGGTGAATCTACAGCTCCGACCAGCAATAACATTGTGAGTACACAACCTTACCCATGTGGCAGTTCACCTGAGAATGATTCACAAATGTACCAGTATATGCACCAGTACCCTCCAGGGGTCGAACCAGCAATGGCTTATGACAACCACAACCAGACTGTATATATGACCTCACAGAGTGGTCATTACCCGCAGTATGACCCTCCGTCTTATGCTCAAAGTATTCAGCCCCAAGTACAAAATCATAATGGAGCAAGTACCATTACTGGGGAGCCAAATACAGTTCCCTTGGTAACAAATCCAAACCCTCTGGGAGTAAGCACAGTCGAAACGGATCCAAACACAATGCAAGAGGGACCGAATGCAAACCCCGTGGGACCTAATGCAAGTATTGTAAGATCCAACTCAAATACCGAAAGATCAAGTTGTAATGATATTCACTTACCCAATTCTACCGGGGTTGAAACATTGAATACACCAGTCGCAATAGACATCTCAAATGAGGACAGACCTACCCAACAATCGCAAATACACAGTCAACATAGGTAGCCTCTAATCGAAAATACTCTTAACAGAGGGAATAATATTGTGATCTCAAATGAACTAACTACAGAACCCAATCAGAGCGATCCACAATTTTACAGGCCAATAATAAATGAAAGTTCAACCACGAGGTAGTACCACTGACAATATTGTGGAACACACTACCCTACCCCCTTACTGTAGCCTGTATTTCTTTAAAATGGATACATGCTACAATGGAGTTGCAAAGTTGCATTGTCTATAGGGCTTTTCTGGTAATAGTGCAATGCAAACTACATGATGGATCTAAACAATACATAGGCGTAGCCAGGGGGTGCGATCATGATACAGGGTGACACAAAAATGACACCAACCTTACGTTGCATAACTTGTTTGTCTATCAACATACAGACTTGTATTTTGGCACATTTGAAGTAGACATAATGCGACACATCCTCCGATCACAGGGTTTCAAAATCCAGAATATCTTCTTTCTTTTTACCCCCTGCTATAACCAAGTTGGACGCGCCCGAGTAAACTGAATCACGTGATCTAATTATGCGCCGATAACGTATACATGATTGCTGTCGCAGTGTTGCGACAGCCAATCAAATTGCGAGTTCGTAATCGGGGAAATGCTAACTGCTTATAGAAGGAGGTACGGATTCTGGACAACTGCTTAGGAGGATGAATGCGACAGCACCTCCAAATATTTCAGATGTGTAGCTCAAGTGGGTAAAATTTGTTACAACATTTGCTCTAAATGTCGTCCATACCTTTGCAGACACACATGGATTCAAGAGGGGGAGAAACCCCAGGGTTCAAAGATGACATACGCTTATAATGTAAATCTGTATTGAGATGACATCGTCGCTGATTGGTTTAGCGAGTCGATCGTTGATTGGTTTAAACTAGGTCAATTTTAAAACTTTGAAAACCAAGATGGAGGGTAAGTACTTCCGGGAAAAGAGGTGCGCGAAGGAGGAAATCGTATGTCATTAATTGAATCATGGGGTTTTCCCTCCTCTTCATGGATTCTACACAAAAAATGCCACCCATCTTTTGTAACCTAACTTTGTAAATACTATTGATTTGGGCTTATACTTTCAGGAAAATGAAGTCCATTAAATTAAACACAGAATAATGTAGTTGTCGTTAATAAAATCATTAAAACTTATTTCCAAAATTCTGTACAAAAGATGGGTGTCATTTTTTGTGTAAGATCCAGTTGTGCCAGCAAGAATAGACGACACATATTGTAACGCTCATAAATGTGCATCTAGTAGAGCTAGTCTTCTGAAACTTCTTGTGGAGTTGCAAAATGGATTGTAGTTTTCATGTGTGAAAACACAAATCAGAATTCCTTCAGATAAAAAAGGTTTGAGACATTGTGTGGTTGGGTGTCATTTTTATTGTGTCACGCGGTATATGAGTGATAAATAAATTCAAAACAAATCTTAAAAAAGTGTTTTGGGTTGCTTATGCCACGATCTGAAAACCGAATTTTTGGGGGGATCGATCATCGCACCCCCTCTGACTGAAAGCTGGCCACGCCCCTGCAATGTATGGAGGACACTTAGAATATATGTAAAATCTAGTACACCTTCAGAAATATGTCTTTCATTTGTAACTTCGCTGAAGCCTGTATCCATTTTAAAGACATGGGGTAGTGTGTAATCCAAGTCTAATGGGATGAAACATGCACGAAATAACTAGCGATATTTCCCATCAATCATGGGTTCATTAGGTCGATATAAAGATGAAAGCAGTGCAGTTTGCATCAGGCCCGTAGCCGGAGGGAGGGGTTCGCAGGGTTCGGGCAAACCCCCCCCCCCTTGCCAAATTCTTTCAAAATCATGCAGTTTTTCACCATTTTGAGCACTTCCTAAGTAATTTTAGCTATATTTGGGCCAAAATTGTCAAATGTGAACCCCCCTGGAAATTGTTGAAACTGACACCCGCCCCCCACCCCCACCCCCCCCCTTGGGAAATCCTGGCTACGGGCCTGAGTTTTTACAGCGTTACTCTCTTATCTGGAACATTGGACACTTATCTAAAAAACGGTACACTTTCTTAATCATAACAATTACAGTTTTAATTCAATAATTATATGCAGACAATCCTCAAATGATAAGAAAGTATTGACATATTCCCAAACCTTTCAGTGTGGATTCTGATGGATCATTGATCTATGGAAAATGAAAAACGTTGTTTATTGAAAAAGCGTTTGGTTCAAATGTCCTGACCAGACCTTGAAACCCGGCCTTGAAAATATGTTTGAAAATAAAAACGGCCTTGAAAATACGTTTGAAAATCAGCATTAAGATTCCAGAGCACAGAAAAGCGGGGAAAGCAATGGTAATTTAGAAAATATTTCATACATACAGTTGGGGACATAAATAAATGACAGGTGGATTTGCTGAAGTGAGGATTTCCCATGTTAAAAATAAGAGGCCATAAATCAGTGGATGAGATTATACAAAATGTAAAATATACAAATTTTAAGGGATATGTATCTAGACAATGTTGGAAATTATGGGCTTTCAGACCACCATAATTAGGAAATGGTGATCGAAAATCGACCTGTCATTTATTTTTGTCCCCAACTGTAAGAGCAACGGTTAGTTGATATTCTCAGAAAAAAATTGTTCAAACAGAATGACTGTCTGCACCGCCATCTTTTATGAGAATTATTCTATAGTAAAAATAGTAGTTTGCTATCTGTAATAGGGTATATGTACTGTAACTGTACATGTACTGTTTTGTACTGTACATGTAAGTTTATGCTCAAGAGAAAATCCGTCCAAATGTATAACCTATATCAGAATTTGTACGAAATTCAAAAATAAATGGATCGCTGTAACAAGGCGTACTTGGTTCAAGTAAGAAATATTTTAATCTTTTTAAGACTATTCAGTATAATGACTAGAAAACAGCAGCAACATTTTGATAATCAGCTACCATCTTAAAAGCCCCTTCCCGACCAGAGCTTCTGTGTCCCTAGGAATCGGCATATAAAATTTGAACCAAATCCGTCCGCTGATACTTGAGTTATCAAAGATTACATTTTTAGGAAAATGGCTGCCATTTTGCACTTAGGCGGCCATCTTGAAAACCTCTTCTTCAGCAAAGCTTCTTTGCCCCTAGGCATCGTAGATGAAAATTGAACTGAACCAAATCCGTCAACTAGTATTTGAGTTATCAAAGATTACATCTTTTACAAAAAATGGCGGCCATTTTAAAATTGAGCGGCTATATTGAAAATTCCTTCTCGAGCAGAGGTCCTACAATCAAAAAGCATAAGCCAAAAAAATTTGAATCAAATCTGTCAGTCGGTATGTGAGTTATCGCCCGGACACACAAACGGACGAACAGACGTCATTTGTTGCTGCTACATCAGTGTCTTCATTCGTTGTCTTCTTTCTTGTTTATTGTCTTCTTTCTTTGTCTTGATTGTCTTGTATTCGATCGTGTCGTAGTGATTTCCCTTTCTTCAGGTCCACAGACTTGAGACTGCACGCGGATCGGTTAAACGTTTTGATCCGGACGGCTTTCCTATATCCCCTTCGAACTTCGTTCGAAACACTGGAAAACGATCATGACGTTTGTGCCTTTTCCGATAACTTCGTAGTGGATCATAATCAATAATAGGCTTCCGATGATCTTAATCTAGTGCAGAAGCACGATTGCCATTGTCATGGCATGTGCTTGTTCATTTTTTCTTCGAATAAGCAGGTTTTGAGTTAAACAATGACGTATGGAGAAAATCTTGAAATTTCTTGTAAAAACGACTTGCTCTGCCTCATTGACCAAATTAGGCTATTTCACCCCGTGATATTGGTGTTTGGTGATGGTGATGAGATTTATTTTTTCTTATCAGACACAGTGTCATATGGTGTTTGGTCATTGGAATGAAGTTTATTTTCAGACAACATTCCCAAGTTTGATATCGAATTTTCTCCTCATAAACACGTTATCATTGTCACACAATTTTCAGAAAGCATACTTCAATTCAAGTTCCAAGTTGAAAATCGTGTCAAACGTTTGTTAAAACAAAGTTAAATTCCAGGTTTACAATGAAAATCAAAATGTTGCCAATATTGAACTAAATCTAAACTCGCTAAACTATTTATTTTCCATGCAACATGTGAACAATGTAAACAGTGTAATTTCTTTGTCACTGATTGAACACCTAAATGAACATTTGTCGGTTTTCTCCTCAGTCGTGGGGAGCACCACCGGACATACCGCCATTTAGCCGATGTACTCCGGTGACAACTGACAAGTTACGTCTGTCGCAGCTGGCGGCTGTGGCTTCGGTTCGAAAAATCACTTATCGCATCCTACGACCCCCACAATCTAAAGTGGTTGTAAGATTCGATAAATAAATCACAGCATGAATCAAGGGAAAGATCAATACCCGGTGATTTCAGCGGGAAGTGGCGTTTCGTTCAGTGGATGAGCTGCGCGCGCACGCATAAATGTGATTATAACCACAGTGACCTGCAGATGGCGCTATCACAAACAAGTACTGCACGAACCGATAAATTCCCGGGTATTGTAACGCCCTTGCATGAATGCCATTTTTTAGGCTTTTTTCCTCTTGGTAACTCAGATCCAGGTGGGTTTGATTTTATCAAATACCTAGGTGATTTTATGACGTACTCACTTTGCAAAAGAAATCAATGTGACGTCATGCCATTTGAACAATAAATATAGTATGACGTCATTTAATTTAATATGTTGCAATGGTAACTGTCTCTAGTAAAACATGTAATATAATACTTGGAAAAATGAACTTATTTCGGATATGCATACATCGGCTATATGAAAAGTAGACGAAATGCCGACTGTTTCCGTGTCGGTAATACCAGTTCCGGAATCAGGGGTACCAAGGGCCGATCGGCCTTTGGCAACAGTTAGTGATGTACATGGTCCAAGAAATAATATTATTATGAAACCGACTGGAAGGAGGCCGAGTATACTTTCTCAGTCATTGAACCATACTGTCTCAATGACTTCGCACTTCACAAAACCTCTACAAAGTAAACACGATGCCCCAACATCGATTGACTCAATGGGATATGAAACACAAAGGGATTCTAAAATGTACGTTCCAAGAATGAATAAATCTCTCGCCATAATTTGTTTTTGTTTGAATATCGCCGCACCTGGAACAGGTAAGTAAATTCATCAGGACTCAACTTCTGATATTTACACTTCAGGCAATAGTGACTCACAAAATATATAGAAAATCCTGATACATATTGTTTTTGAAACTGCGAAAATGGTATGCGATACTATTCTATTATATCTGCATCGCCTATTTATAATCTTTGTTGTTGTTGTTGTTGAGATCCTTGCTACGCCCTTGATGTATGTTGTTTTGATCTTAACAATCATGTATTTTACTAACCAGCGGTCAGCAGCTAATATTTTAGATATACTGTACCTTGGATCTGTAACCATGCTATCTGATCTGTTTTGTAGGTACGATGCTATCAGGGGTAATGGTTCCATTCTGCTTGACAAGAACTGACGATATGACATGTGTCGAGATCGTTAAATCAAGCTGTCTGTGTATGTTCCTGGGTCTGTTACAACTTGTCACCGTCCCGTTTTTTCTGTTTGGTTGGATATGGAGTATCATGTGGGGAGTGTCTTTCGTTGGAGCAAGCGCATCATGTAAGTAGCATCAATATAGTTTCATCTTTAAAATAAGGGGGTGAAGCTACACGTTTTCAAGAGAGCTTGGACGTGAACGTTTTATCGTATGGTCTGTGAATTTAAAGAGAGAATCAGATGTAGCAAACAGGCCAAACAAAAAATTGTTTCAATTTTAGAATATTTTTGGCTCATGTCATTCCTTGTCATGTCTATTTTCTAAAAATCACATAAGTGCAAACTTTATTCCAGGCAAACTAAAGATTTTTACAATAGTGTTTTATTTTTCTATAGGAATGGTTACCACTCTTATTATTTGGGAAAACTTCAACATTTTTCACTCATTTTTGCACTTATTAATCATTAATAACTTTACCAATTTATAACATATTGTGAATCTTTTTGGAGATATTGTATTTTATTTTGTAAGGAATAGATTGGTAGGTCAATTATACATGTTGCTTGTAATTTTGTCACCCCTATAGATCTGATTCTGCTTTTAAGTCCTTTGATTGGTCAGTTCTTGTGCTGTACCAATCTATTGCTACTGAGATCGTCCTCGTTGATCATCTCCGTAGCAATAAGAAAATATTGGTAAGGGGTCAATCTCAGTAGAAGTGCAGAAAATATGGAATGTTTAATTTCCTATGGATTATCTTAGTAAAATGTATTGGCCTAAAATCGCATGATAAAAAACGTTATAGAATGATTTGGAGTGCAATACAGGATATTCGTCTCGTGTCAATACAGATTTTCTAGAGCAGAATATATCCTGTATTGTACTTCAAAGCATTCAATAACTTAATGTACTGGTAGCTTCCGGATAGAGTGTTTATCCCAAAGGAAATATGTGTATCTCCCGAGGGACCACGGGGACAGAGGCAATCGGACAAGTCATAGGAAGCGGGGAACAAAGCACAGAGAAAAATATTTCTAGATGTTCACGTTCTTCTAAAAACGCGCTTATCTTTTGCATACTAGTCTTTGTAATGAGATTTTGCATTTTACGTGTTCGTGTTACAATTTGCTCATCATGGTTGTTCCAGTTCCCTGATATTGCCTTGTTATGGGAAACGACATCCAAAAAAGTTTTCGAAATCTAATATACCATATCTAAATATCTAAACATAAGCGATAAAAATCGATTTTATTTTGAGTGACAGAAGAAAAACCGTGTTGACTCATTTTTGAATATTAAATACCATTAATTTTATTTCGTTTGACTTCACTTTTTAAGCGACATGCCGTTACAACTACATGTACTCGTATATTATGCACTCAAAAATGTGCGCCTTCCTAAACTTATTTTATGTATTTTTACTTCCAGATGAAATTTATGGAGCAGGCATAGAAACCAGAAAGCATAATCAAGTGCAGATGGAAAACCATATTGATAAAAATCATAAACTCATAAAAACACCATGATTTGTACCATAAGGTGTACTGCAAATACCAGCGTTCAAAATAATAGAAAAATGATAATATAATCCTACTGCTATGGTTTGTTCAAGAATAATGTAATGTGTAGAATAATGTTCAAGAGTTAAGAAAGTAAAACTCGGTATAAACTAGTTCATAATGAAGTACGCTAAGTTTTAAGTTTTATATAATCGTCAAATTGTCAGTAAAAGCGGCCATGTGTGTTTATAAAGAGAAAATTGTATATTATGGATGAATTTCTTTCACCAAAAGTCCAGCTAGTCCAAATGCGTCGATACGTATTAATGACTGGCAGCAGCACTTGGGTATCCAATACAGTACTGACACAATTGAAGATGCTTTTAATTAAAAGTGATTGGATTGATTACTTACTGAATCTAAGGTCAACAATTCAGCAATTAGGGGAATTCAGCAATTTCTAAATCAATCTGGACTTAACACCCAGTACATGTATGAAATATTAATATGCATATTTCAAACGATGTATATTAAATATTAAACTTGAAACTACAAGATCAACTTTGCATTTTGAATGCACTTTAATGTGAGAACGACTGCATGTACATGTAATCAATTTGCTGAGTCTACCGCGGTGTTCCAAACTAAACAAAGAACTCATTCTAAATGACTGATCGATTAAATAATTAAATATAATGGCCTAATACCATTATCATTTTGATATCATTATACTTGTTGATCATAACAAATACATGTAAAGCTAGACGTATTAAATAGTACTAAATGTGACATACATGTACATAATTATATGCTCATGATCGATCTTTTATGAAGGGGCATAATTTGTCTGTCTAAGATAATGTTCACATCTTTGTCCATCTTTTGCATGTAAGCATCTAAATGTATTTACACTGATGATTTTACATCATCTAGCAGTCTAGTTACAGTTTATGTTAGACTTATCTTACATGTATACATGTTTGTCAAATAAATACAGGGTGGTCAAAAAATGGAAACCCTTCATTTTCCTTATATATCTTTGTCACTTTAAAAAATTACTCCCTGATTCCACACATTTGTACATCAGTCAATTTTCTACAATCGTACCATATTTCATGACCATCAGACTGAGTCACAATTTTACAGCACTTTGAATAACATGCTTCAGATTTGGCCATCATCGCTGTAGGCAAAACAGAAGAGCTGGCAATGACCCAAATGTATTCCTCAGCAGGTATGGCCTCAATGACACAGATGATCTCTCTTTTGGGGTTTGCAATTGTCCTGAGGTCATTCTCATATACTCTATCTCTGCCATATCCCCACAGGTAGGGACATTTTAGACAATGAGTACACAACGCAATAGTGACCACTGTTCTTTAAAGTACTGTAACATTTTGACTATCAATCTGATGGTCATGAAATAAAGTAGCTGGTAGCAAATTGAATGATGTATAAAAGTGTAAAATATCAGAGAGTTATTTTTTAAAATGACAAAGATATGACGAAAATGGTATTAGGGTATCCATTTTTACCACCCTGTATGTTCTCCCCCCCCCCTTGATTTCAAGAGAATGAACTTTTGTGCATAAAAGTACATCTGGTTGAGCTAGTCATCTGAAACTAAAGGTGGAGGTGCTCCGTGAAACAAAAGTAAAGAACAAGTCAGACATCATATAGAGAAAATGTTATGCAACATTATGTGGATGTTAAAGCTAAGGAGAAGAGAACATATTTATTTGACACCCAGTACATATATGCACACATAATAATAAAAAATCTGTCACATTGATGTCCACTGATGTATACAGTACCACTCTCTGCATAGGAGCTTATGAAGAAATATGTCAATCTCCCCTACATCAATTTAATAATCTAGTTAATCATATGATTTATCCAGATACTTAAAATTTGAAATGATCAAAGTCAAAGCCATCAGGTAAATCAAATATATGGGGTGCCCATAAAGTTTCTTTACAATTACAATACAAATTCTGTGTAAAGTGTAGAGACTTTATGAATGGACACCCTGTACATCAATTAAAGCTACACAAGTCTGCTACTCGTAAGCTACATGTACATGCAAAGTATAAATATTCTACTCTGATTTCTGAACCTTTTCAATGTCTTTTTTCAGTTCTTCGGGGTCTACCTCTTCAAATGAAGAGCTTGATGCGGTAGACCCAGGTGTGATTGAACCCTCACATTTAACCTCTGACATATCACCTTTGACCCCATCTCCATCAGAGGTTACTGCGGGATCTTGAATTATATTAACATTTTCAGATGTTGAACCTTTACTCTGTTCATCAATATTTTTCTTGCACATTTGCGGTTCATCTGTTATTTTTGAGTCTTTTGGAGCAATAACAGCTTCAACTTTTTCCGCAATAGGTTGGCCTTTAACAGCTTCTTGTTGACCCTCAAGCTTGATTTCCCCTTCAGGTTGACTTTGGCTTTCATCCTCTCCCTCTGCTTCTTTGCCTTGTCCTGTTTCAGGTACATAAAACTCATCTTGTTTAGCAAGAGGGGCCATGAAGTGAATGGTGTTACAATCATAGATCTCCAGCATAGGGTGGGCACAAAGACGATTTTCCTGGAACAAAATACATGTTTGTAGACCCACTAGATCAATATCAAGAAATGTTATTGTGCCTACCCCCACCCCCTTGGCAAATCCTGGCTACGGGCTTGTACCAGTGTACTAAAACATTTAGATTGTCAGATATCTGATAACCCAAATCTTTGTTTACCACATTAAGTTCAAACATTGTGATTTATTTATGTTTACATTGATTGGACCTCACATGTGGCTGTTAATGATTAACTGAATTAAAAATGTTGATATTATTCAGTAATGTACTGCATGCTGTTGTTAAGGCTGACACATTTGATTTTGACAGCCTTTGATTATGACCTCACAGCATATGAAAATGAGGATAGAGATGCACTAATCAAGGATGCTGAAGCAATTACTGGACATGTGTATATCTTCATTCTTGGCAATTGTGTCAAGTGTTGTTTTTGATTTGAGTGTAAAATTAAAACCTTAATAAAGATATAATGAAACCATTGTTGCCTGTTGCTCTAAAGAATATTGGGCCTTACTGACACTGTGTTCTCCTTAAATTGTGCCTTATGTATAAACACTTTTGGTCTGCTTGTCTGTTGGCAAAAAAATACTTACCTACTGTATGAGACTAGTCATTAACTCCTCAAAACATTATATCTTAAACTACACTGTGCATTAGCTACCTTTGTAAGCAATTAGCAAACATGTTCATATATTTTAATTTAGTCAATTCAACCTACATGTATCATACCTGAATGTACTGGCCAAGAGCTGGATACACACGACTTATGGCGATGAAAACAGATATCATGGTGTTAAATGGGAACTGCGTCTTCACAGCATTGCTTACTTCAGGAAAATGCGTCACTTTGTAATCATTGCGCAGAAATTTCTCGCGAATTTCGGTGTCAATCTTTTGATCTCCCTCTGATATTATGGTTCCTACAATGTAGCGTAGTTTATCTTCTGGGACCTGAAGATAAATGTAAGCAAGTGTATATTAAATATGTGTACATGTATATTTCGGTAATACATTTATTGCATGTGCGTATGTGCTGTATCTTCGTATCTGTACTCCTGAACATGGCTCGGCTTACACCATGTATAATACTACATGTACTGGTGTTAATAGAAATCATGGGCTTTCAACTATAATTGAAAGCCCATGTAGAAATTTAGAATATAACATTTCTAATTTTGACAAGAGAGTAAGAATCTACAGGATGTAGCATTATGCACCAGAAAATTGCCTCCATAAATGGGCCATAAATGTGAGAGTGGTGCCTCAAAAGACCTGGATAGAATACTAATTATAGTCGGTTATCAACGTCAGTGCCCTCTTTTCGTAGACTACATGTAATAAGCTAATTACAAAAATAGGGGGCATCGGCGTTGATCAAGATGAATTTACAGTCAGGTCATTTTGTCAAAAGCTAATACTCTCCCACGTCAAAACAAGAATCGACAGGAAAAAGATATAAAAGATGTCATCAAAACCACAAAAGTTAAATGAATGTATTACCGCCTTAGGATCATCATAATATATTCCAAATGTGCGATTGTCTGGAGCCAAAGCGATGACCTGCGTAAAAATATTTCCTGCTTGTTTGTACGATCCCCTTGCAAACTTGTATGCTACAGTTACTTGGCCAATTGGTGGTTTTCCAGCTCCAACCACTATGTTCTCAAATATCCCTGAATACACAAGAACTGCCAAAAGAGTCAGTAAAATGATGAAAATTAGCACAATTCCGAGCCAAAAGATCGTTTCGACTTCCATGATGTCATTTATTTGTGGTTTCCCTCAAAGAACATGACGTTGTGGCTAGACTCTTTTTCGCTATAGCGTAATATCATTTATATAAAGGGGGCAGCACACGTTATTCAATTGGGCTTACATGGACTAGGACTATTCAGGACTCCTTATCCATCACATGCTACATGGCGGATCTGGAAACCAACAAGGGGGGGGCACAAATTTGAGGTCAGAGAAAACTTCCGCGCTTAGGCCCCTAAAACTTAAACCCAAAAGTGGGCCCACATTTTGAAATTTTGAGGCCCATTTTCTTTTTTTTGGCCTGAAATTAAAAAATAAGGCTTAAAAGTCCCAACAATGACCAAAAAGGCCCAATTTTTTGGGCTTAAAGGCCTTTTTTGACCCAGGCCCAGCCCCTACCCCCCAGATCCGCCAGTGCTACATGTATGTTTGACATGTCTACTTTTTTATTTATGTTCCCAACTTCAATGCACACATTTTGAATTTGTTCTCTGATTGAGAAGAAAAAGAAAAAAGTTCTGATTGTTTGGGATAAAAGGCGTTTGATGTTGGAATGGTCTTTTAATAGAGAAACATCTATATGTATCCCGCCAGTGCTCATACATGTAGAAGATATTATCTAAAAGCTCTAAAAAGGGAAGCATGGCAATGCCCATTTTGAATTTTCATGTTTGTAATACAGAGTAGGGATACCTTTCTCTTGAAAGTCCATGGTAACGGGGTTTACTTTATTGAAGTCTATGTACTTCTATGAAGAGTTAAGATGTGTAAAAGAGGATAATTCACTCACAAAATAGTTACTCAATATTTTACTTATAGTTTATTTCTAAATACAATAATGTCATGCGATACATATTCATGGATATTTACATATACTAGTATGTACATGTACATTGCATTGTAATCAAATAAATGTGTAATATAGTCATAAGAGTACATAAAATATGACATGGACATTTTATTTTTCTAGATTAGTCTTCCTTAGCACCCCCCCCCCCCCAACCTCCTCTCAAACACTCTACTACAAGTCTAGAAAGTACATGTTCATGGGGAATCCAGATACTTAATGCAAGACAACTTTTATGTGTAAAATACATGTACACATGAACGATGGGTGCACCCCCCCCCCCATAACTGATAAAAATAGAACCATGAGATAGAGGAAGAAGCTTTAAAATGCTTTTTATTTGAAGCTTCTTGCTCAATTTTTGTAAAATTCAAAACAAATCTTATTTTCGGCTTGTCTATGCCACAATCGCACCCCCTCCCCCGACTGAAACCAATTTTTATTTGGCAATTGCACCCCCCCTGACTGAAAGCTGGCTATGCCCCTGCCTGTACATGTACTTTCAGTAAACTAATTAAAGCAGTTCTGTATATCCATGTAGAAGTAACAGTGAATGACCAATATAAGCAGAACAACAATACACCATTTTAAAAATTAGTACATGTATGGTAGTGTATATGCATACTAATAAGTAAAAATAATACTTTACAATACACTGTATATGCAGATCTATAGTACATTTTATATGTCTCTGGTTTACGATTTCCAAAAACAAAATTACTTGATTCTACACCATTGCTAGTTGCCATCTCAAATGACAGGTACATGTACCTGATGTTCCTGCCAGATTCTCCCTTTGAAAAAGCAGGAACTCATAAATAATTGGGTAACAGTCTCCAGTGCTACTGATATGCTGACTGTTTAACAATGAGTCAAATATTTATATTATATATATCAGTTTCAGGATTAATTACAGGACTTGAAACAGTCAATTCCAAATATTACAGCCAACTGTCATTCTCTGTTCTCTGAGGCTACAGTATAAGAAGACCTTAAACATTGTAAACAGCAGGTAGTGGTTTTCAACAACATTCTAACATGGTATCAATGGTTACTTTTTAAATAATTTTACAAATTTATTTTTTATTTATTTTTTATAAATTTACATCATACACAGAATGGACCTTGGTCCAAGGACATTATGTACAATTTCTGACAATTTTGAAATCTACTGCCAACATGAACCCCGACTGCGCCCCTCCACATTAAATAAATTATAACTTAACTCAAGGACTCTGAATTATCTATTGTCAATGTCAACATATTTCTTATGTTGACTGGCTAAGTATAGCTAAAGGCAAGATGTGAAAAATGAAAGCAGTTTACTGTATATGGCTTTAATTTGGTGCTGTTAAATTTTGGTGAATTGGGCAAATTTTGGCTGTTATTTTATTTGGTGGATTCTTTTATATCTTTTTCCTGTCGATTCCAGATATTGAAGGGCTTGCTAGTGAAGATGCAAATAATGCTCTACTTTTTTAAAAAGGAATCTCTCTAACAATATGAGAAAGAAGTACAGTACTAGCTAGTACAAGTATATCTTATTTTATTACAAAAATAATGGCTGCTAAATGGAAAAGTCACAGGACAAAAATCCTGAGGATTCCCGGGGAACTTTTCCAAATATTGATGGAGACTTAATTTGGTATTTTTTTCAATCTGCCAAATTAAAATGACCATCAAATTAAGGCAATCTACAGTATTCAATCTCAGGCATTTCAAAAATAAAATCAAAAAGCAATGCACATACCTACTCTATAACTATGACTATCAGATCATTGCATACTGTATTCACTAGAAGTAGAAGTTATACTTTACACAGCTATAGTTGCATATGTTGCGGACTTCACCTTCTTAGATTTTTAAGATATTTTTTGAAGGTTTAAATTAATACAAGGTACAAGTTTTCATTTGATGTTCCAGACAATATGAACCAATACTCATTAATCAAACCTAAAAATTGGTAAATATAATTTTTGGACAAAGGTCAATATCATCATGTTTCTGCCCAAGCAAAAAAGGTGTAAAGTGTAATTCATTCTGTCAATAGCACTAAATAATATATAAATCTTATTTAAATATACCGGATTTTCTCGCATATACGCCCCCCTAAATTTAGGCCCATGGGCCAAAAATCGAATGTAGTACGCTTATACGCCCATGGGCCTATAAAAAATGACTATTTATTGATTTTTTCAATAAATTCAAGAGTATTTTTCACTGCCAGGTCGTTCTGTCGTTACTTTGTTTCAACATTAAGTTCAACGCTGTGCCATAAGTGGCAGTGGTGGATCGTTCTGTTGTTACTTTGTTTCAACATTAAGTCAAAGGTTGTAGATTACATTTCCTTTATAATTCTTACAAAACATGTGGTAGGACTACAACAGTAGGTACGGTAGTCTTTGTATTCATCAGCTCTTCTCACCTTTACGCCCACTGGGCCAAAATTCGAAAGTAGTACATTTATACGCCCATGGGCGAAAGATAAGAGGTAAAATAACAGACGAAATTACCCCTTCTTTCAGTTATACGCCCAGGGCTTATATGCGAGAAAATCCGGTAATATCTGGTTGATATTAGGGTGCCTCATAAGGATTTAGGCACTAGATTAGGCCTACTAGTCGAAACTGAAATATGGACCAGTTGTCATGTTATTTTGCTACATTATTATTATTTTCCTGTATTCTGAAACAATAGTGAGAAATCCCAAGGGAAAGTATTTTTAAACTAATGGCCTTTGTTTTGAAAGATAGCATACTGGAGTTTATCTTTCATTTTAAATCCCATGCGACCACACCATATCATAAATGGTCAGACAAATTAATTCCTATGAGGCTCATTTATATAAGCATTCCTTTAAATTGATTAAGATACCAGAAATTATTATTACATGGACTACAAATTCTAGATAAATAATTTCATTAATATATAAAAATGAAGAAATCTCATGACTGTTTAAATCATCAAGCCATCATACACTACAAAGTCCCCTGTGTATAACATATGGATTTCTTTCAATGAAATATTTGGCCTTATTCCATATTGCACAGCATCCACTATTCGACTCTATGATCCAGCTTCTTGTTCTTGCCCTAGGCCTGTTAGAATTATCCCCATGGGTGTACGCTTAAGTCCAACGAATTCTATTTTGTTTGATATTTTGTTCTTCATATTTCGCATTCGCATAGCTGCATGCATAATCACCACTGGAACATATCAACACAACAGTATAATATAAGCACATTTTAGCATATACTATATAAGACCATATGAAACTTGAGTCTGCAAAAGCATTTAGTGCAGATAACACAAGAGTTTGGAGCTGAGCGATGGTCATTTTTGAATTTGAATGTACACTCATTTAAACTTTGCCATTTTGGGTCTTCAATACTCCAATACGTGATAAAGTTTAGTTTAGTTACTTCCCGTTTGAAGAGCTCTCATGTATGGTACAACTTCGTGTACATCTGGGTTCTTTCCCATTGGATTACTCAGGGGTGCGATTTTCAATGCGACACTACGGCTTTATTATACATTTATGTGGAGTTATGTGGACGAATCGGAAACTGAGAAACTGTAATTTTGTCAAGATTCACGCAAGTTTTATCAGAATTTGTTGAAATGTTACCTTTTGAACTCTTATCGCGAATTGGAGTATTATTTCTACAATATACATCTGTATTTGAAACAATATAGTAGAAAGCAAACAGTGAAAAAATTTCTTTAATTAAAGCCTCAATCAGGCATTAGGCATGAGAATCTTCTAAACTCATTATCATATATAAATTCATTCAACACGATGCAATGTACAGAGAAACCTGAATATCTGGACACCTCTCAATGTGAATGTTTTTCAGGTGTCATTTCTTTAATCTATCATAAACTCCCATGTTAAAAGATCAAAATGTGAACACCTTCCAATCCAAAGACCTTTGGCTGGTCCAAACAGTGTTCAGATTAGACAGGTTTTACTGTACTTTAAATAGAAAGCTTTTTGCTTACATAGTAATGGCAATCCTATACCAAACAGGAATACAATGACAGAGCCTAGCACATACACCATGATGTATCCTCCAAATAACACCACAGCAACACATAGCGCAGGGTGGTCCCTCTTAAATCTCCTTGTCTCATATTTGTTATCTGTGAAGTAGACGAAGGCAGCAAAGACTGCAGAAACTGAAGCGATTCCAATCACCATTTGTACAGGGTGAAGCACACTGAAAAATTGAGATAAATTAATGGTTTTGTAAAGACATTACATCAGTTATCCCAACACTTTAATGATTAGGCCAAATTTATTTTGTTTTTCATTCACACATGATTGTTTCAGACAATAATTTTGTGCTCCAATAAATTGAATGATGACAATAATATTCAGAAATACAGACAAAAAAACGACAGACTGATGATCTTGCAATTCATTTTTTAATTGTGACACATACTATTAGCAATCCCAAGAGGGTGGTTCAATCTGCGATGGAATATGAAGAATAACAAATCTCGCCAACCTGCAATTTTTTACATACACCACATTTGTTACAGATGCAAAATGGCATTTGTTACGGATGCCGATCGCCAAACATGGGCCACAAAAAAGTTGAGCAACATGTCATCACATCTGTGGTGGCATAACAATAGAAACTAGAATAATTTCTAACTACAAAATACACTGTCAATTATCTTACCCCACTATCAAGAAGACTACACATGTCGAAATAAAGTAATTTGATTGATAATAAAGAAGGTTGTTGAGTATCCTGTTAACCAGTCTTTCGGGATCTTTTAAATCTGGAACTTGGAAGCGCGCTGATTCCGTGAGAAAATCACTAATTGGACGGAGAGGGGCAAATTCTACATCTGCCATGTTAAATTTTTAAGTGGGTCAATACTCCTTCTATCATGAACAAACATTTTTCGTTTCCGGTTTTGATATAACTTAAAAGTTCGGGGTTACCACATAAGAATATATTAGTTTACTGTGTTTGAATAAAAAATAAACATCACAAAATGTATATGCAACAGTTTGAGAGCTTAAAAATAGCACAAATAATATTTTGTGGTTATTGATTTGTTAATGAGACTAGCGGTATTTCCAAAATGGCAGAAGAAATTCGAGACGAGCCGTAAGTAAATATTTATAATTACACATTATTATAGCCAACTCAGAGATAAATCGGACTGTTCGAATACATAGATACTTTCGATAGAGATGTCCTATGTATCTGATCCACTATTAGGATTGGAGATCATGTTGGTTAGTTAAATCATGCACTTTATTTATCCTACCGGTTTGAGAAATGAGAGAAATTTCTTCTATTTTTAGGCATAGGAGACAGGTTACCTGAAAAGGAAGATAGATATCATTATCTCTTATCTAAACAAGGACTGAAACTGAGGCAAGTCTACCCTGGCTGAAATCAGCTCTGAAATAACAATTACTGCATGTCAAGCCGTCATTCAATGCTGATTTTGTAGAAAACAGATCTGTCCATCCTTCTACTAGTCCAACAACATTAGACCTAGCCTGGGCCTCGTTTCTTATCTGACATGTCTTATGGCCCCTGCTAGGTCTAACCTCCATGACCATTTTGCCCTTGATGTGTTAATTTAGTCGTTCAGCAGGTTCCGACATGCGGAACTAATTAAACTCCGAAAACATGGTAATATTACATAAAGAATGTGATTCAAGCATGCATACATACCTTATAAATACATACACACCATCCCGTACCCCCCTTAGACCATATTGATGCATAATTACGAAAATATTGGAGACAGGTTTGGAATTTTACGAAAATATCGGTCAACTCCGGTAACATCGAAATTGCAAATCGTATCAGGAATTAACCGTCATTGCGACACTGCATCAACGAACAGTAGGTTTGCAATTAATAACTATTTTGTGTGTATACAAGCGCTACATAAATCAATCAAAGATACCTGCTATCCTCAAAAATAGTTATTTTATCCCGAGTAATCGCGTGATAATTATCAATCTATTTGACAACAATTTCGTTTCAATAGTTTACATTTTAACCCGGGACGAACAGACACAATGGCGGACATGCGGAAATGTCATTTTAGAGATTGGTAAGTTTAACCTCATTTTACTTGTATAAATGACCATTTAATACAATAATATTGTGTTTAATCGCTTGATGTTATGTGTTTTTATATTGTTGTCAAGTATCAGTTGCATGTTATCGCGGAAAAATGGTTTCGGTGGATCCAAAACTTGCATCAATGGAAAGAATAGTAAGGAGGTTAAACTCAATAATGGCCCCAAGAAAATTCTTAATAATAAATAACGCCGTTATTGAGTTTAACGACGTTGAACTATCCTTCTACATGTGAGTTTTTCCCATAAAGATGCTTGATTAAGTAGAAATTCATCAAATTATACCCCTAGAATATCAAAGTTCAACTGTACATCAATCGCGTGAGGAAAAAAAACAAATCCATTCTTCACCTTCTGTTCACAAACCCTTCTTCTTCTTCTTGGAAAAGTTGTCCCTCATTTGACTAACAGCAAATGTGTATGTTTATGCAGCAATATATGTTAGTTTAGAAAATGATTAATTACAATCTTACCTGTACTTCACAGAAACATCCTAAGTATGAAAATATTTCACTAAAAATACATGCTTCCATTTTGTCACATGTTCATAATAATTTACATATTGACCATGTGATGTTGACAGGGAGTGTAAACGCACCTAGCGTACAGGAAATATGTTATGATATTTATTAAGAAATTAGGTATGGTAATCATTATTAATTAAGCATTAAGTATTAAGCCCCCAACCCACTTCACAAAGTTCATGAAGTACCAAGGAAAGACCAAATATTAAATAAATTAGAAAAATTTGAATTTCCAAAAAAATCAAGTGGGCGATAATAGAGTCTCTGAAACATTAAATTTTTCCTTCATTAACTTATTACATACATTATTTTTAGATAATATTAGTTTGATATGGTGTGGAAAACACACAATGATAGATAATTATCGGGAGTATGCATTGAAAATTACAAAATATGTCACTTTTGCCATGTTTCAGAGGCTCTATTATCGCCCACTTGATTTTTTTGGAAATTCAAATTTTTCTAATTTATTTAATATTTGGTCTTTCCTTGGTACTTCATGAACTTTGTGAAGTGGGTTGGGGGCTTAATACTTAATGCTTAATTAATAATGATTACCATACCTAATTTCTTAATAAATATCATAACATATTTCCTGTACGCTAGGTGCGTTTACACTCCCTGTCAACATCACATGGTCAATATGTAAATTATTATGAACATGTGACAAAATGGAAGCATGTATTTTTAGTGAAATATTTTCATACTTAGGATGTTTCTGTGAAGTACAGGTAAGATTGTAATTAATCATTTTCTAAACTAACATATATTGCTGCATAAACATACACATTTGCTGTTAGTCAAATGAGGGACAACTTTTCCAAGAAGAAGAAGAAGGGTTTGTGAACAGAAGGTGAAGAATGGATTTGTTTTTTTTCCTCACGCGATTGATGTACAGTTGAACTTTGATATTCTAGGGGTATAATTTGATGAATTTCTACTTAATCAAGCATCTTTATGGGAAAAACTCACATGTAGAAGGATGGACAGATCTGTTTTCTACAAAATCAGCATTGAATGACGGCTTGACATGCAGTAATTGTTATTTCAGAGCTGATTTCAGCCAGGGTAGACTTGCCTCAGTTTCAGTCCTTGTTTAGATAAGAGATAATGATATCTATCTTCCTTTTCAGGTAACCTGTCTCCTATGTTTTTAGGCTACAAACGAAAGTGAAAGTGAAATATAAGAAAATATTGCTTTTTTGGTTGGTTTGTTTCTCTAGATATCTTTCAGGCCATTTGCTCGAGTGTGAGCCGTGGGGCCTCACATTCTTCAGAATGGAGCTTATAATGTAATGACCCTTGATAGCAAGTGGCTACTTACCTTCTTCTACATGTAAGGCCACTGTATCTTGGTCTTCGTGGAAAGATAAATTCCTGCATGAATAACTGGTCATGTCGTAATCATAAAATTTGAAATCAAATGTCCGCCATTTTTCCACATCACAATTTGAATTGCGAGTTTTGGTCTTATTACTAGACTATATCCTATTTAGTCTGAATTATATTCAGACTATAAGGTTCAGCTGGAAAGTAACATTTTGGTAAAAAATTGCTATACCTGCACATGTTATTTTCTGGTACAAAATTAAGTATGAAGTCATGTGTGTATTTCCTTGCTTTTTTCAGGAAAGTATCATTACACTGTTTACTTTTAGAATATCTGGAAACAGGTCAATGAAAGCTTCTGTGTTGTCTGGAAACTTTGAAAGAAAATTTGGAAAAATAGAAAGTGTGAAATATCAGAATTTCCTGGAGTTCCCATTGAACCCCTACCAGATATTCTAAAAGAAGACAATGTAATGATACTTTCCTGAAAAAAGCAAGGAAATTGACACATGCCTTCATACTTTATTTTGTACCAGAAAATAACATGTGCAGGTATAGCAATTTTTTACCAAAATGTTACTTTCCAGCTGTACCATAAGGCACCTATGTTAAAGTTTGGTAATATGAAATATTTGTTTACATAGGAAGTGCTATTCAAAATGGCCGATTGGTAAAATTAATTTGCAAATTTGTTCTTCAACTAGCTTTATTTCCACTTGACTATATGCTGTGTTACTTTTAATTGCATTTAATTGTACCTTACTATTTAATTGAAATTTTGTAATGTTTATTTTATTGAAGAAATGGTTCCTCTAATTGATAATTTTGTGCAAAAAATTTCACTGCAATTTCCACAGGAAAGTAGTACATCATAACAGACTGACTTCTAGTCAGTCTGTTGGATACATACTAGTCTTATTACCTCACCAAAATTTCCAAAACACACATGAAGTGATCAGTGTATTAGTTCACATCTTCATCTTCTGGATCGCTAACTTAGAAGTTACACCCAGTTACTAATATCAGACATTAACGACGTTTCGTCCAGTTTTCGAATATCACCATTTTCCTTGGAGCCATTTTTTTTTATTTTTAGACGAAATCATGTCATATCTCATCAAGGAGCCGAGCGTTTTCCGTTTTGATTATTGATTTATTTATCTGGCGATTTTTAAAATATTCAATAAATTTATGACACCGCAGCCAGCTTTTTTCAAATGGAGTTCACAGTATTCCAGATGAAATTGCCTCTAGCCAAGTATTGGCTAGAGACTCAAGTAAGCTACTACAATCTCCCCTGTAGTGGCTAGCCCCTTTAGATGAAACTGCAAAGCCTCAAGCCTTAGAGTGAAAGGTCATGGGTTCGACTCTAGCACTGGTCATCCTATTTCAGGTCTAGTAGTATCCAGCTCGTTACACTACAGCTCCCCAGATGAAAGTACCCACAGGTTACTCACTTCGATAGCCATATTAGATTTTGAAACTTATGGCTCTCCAACGGAGAAATGGACAGCTGAATAATAGTGACCTTTGAAACACGAACTAAGTTGAACCGTGGCTTACTTTTGTTCTCTAACTATGTCATACATCATTATCATCCTTCTGTGCAAGTATTGGAGTGCTGAAGTACTTCCTTTGATCAAGACTTGTAATTGTTAGTTGAGTGAATGTTTTTTCTGCATGATTTTCTTCTGCACCAATACTTACCAAAATAATTATCCCACCTAAAGTAGTTCAAGATGGATATAAAGAAGCCATCCATTTGTTTGTTCGTCTGTCCTGGGAAAAAGTCAAATACCAGTTAAATTTGTTAAATCTACTGACAACAAATTTAGGTCATATTTTATAATCTGACATTCATATACAGGGCCCCTGTTTTTTAGACATGCTGGTTATTTTTTGATTTTCAGGCAGATTTTTGTTCACCATGTGCCTTGTCATTTTCTTCTCTTGAATTAAATTTTCAGGATGGCCTCTCCCAAAGCTCAAATTCCAGGACGTTGGGACCATGTCAAAAAGTTCTTGGAGAGGACAGGCCCATTTGCTCACCCTGAGTTTGAACCAAGCGTAGAGGTAGGTAGCTTTATACCACATTTTTATGTCAATTCCAAATAGACTTATGATAGAGTTAAATTTATTTGAAGCTATAATTTACATACTTTTAGGGATCAAACCTTGCTAAAGATTTCTTCGGTCATCATAAATTTTAAGAAAAAATCATGAAAGGCCATTGTTTAGTACTATACCATATAAATCCGGCCATAAGATTCTATGTGACGCATGCTTAATATATGTTTGCTCTGTATCTTCAGGTATTAGATTTCATGTTGGAGTCATGCAAAATATTGGTGATAGGAGCTGGAGGTCTTGGTTGTGAACTTCTCAAAGATTTGGTATGTATAATACAATAAACAGGTGCAACACAATAAACAGGTACAACCAACACTTCTCAAGAATAATCAACTTTTTTTAACATTCAACTTTACATTTGCCGAGCTAGGGCAATTCCCTTATACTTATATATACAGGGTGTCCCGAAAGTATGGCCCCCCCCCTAGGCAGACATGTACCAGTGTCGTCATAGTATGTGTCATATATCATTTTAAAGCTTATCCAAAGATACTATATATATAGTATAGTAGTAATTAACACAAAAGCATGACAGGAGGCTGTGATTGATCGAATGCATACCATGCTGTTGGTGAATTTTGAAATATATGAATTGAAAAAAAATGTTCATGCTTTTATAATTGTCTTTTCAGGCTCTGATGGGGTTCAGGCAGATCAGTGTTATAGATATGGATACAATAGATGTCTCTAATCTCAACAGGCAATTCCTATTTAGGTATCAATTAATTGATTATTATTTTGGTTGAAGATAGGATTGTTCATTTGACATAAGCAAATGCATAGAATCGAGGTCGTTCTTGTAATTTGATCAATAAACAAGAAAACAAATTAAATATAATTAAGCGTTTATAACATGCATTTGAAATATAGTTCACTATCTGTTGATTTTGTATATTAAAGTGGCCAAAACAATAACTCCTGTAATTCTCAGATATTTAAAAGTACTTGTAACATCAGACTTTAATACAAACTTATTTTTCTGTATATATAAACACATTTTTTTACTTAGTAAGGGAACTTATCACATTGAGATTTCTATAAGAAACATCTCACATTGAACAAGTCACATCTAAGCTTTTTTAAGGCTTGACATTTTCAGAAGACAAGGGGTCCATTTATTATATAAGTGAAGGGTTGCCATAGTTTTGTTTTTAATATTTATTTGAAGTTAATCCACAAATGTAGATCTTAATGTGCATTTGTATGGTTAAAGGTTACATGGCGTAACTTATATACACTACAGGCCAATTTTATATTGCAATGTATTATGTTTTAGACCCAAAGATGTAGGCAAGGCCAAAGCAGACTGTGCAGCTGAATTTATCAACAATAGAGTACCAGGCTGTAATGTCACTCCGTATCCTTTTTAGTTTTATTTCAAAGCAGCATTGTGTTATCTTTAACCCTTCTCTAAACCTTCACTTTGTTTGCACTCTTAAATTTGAAATATTACTTTCATTCAGCTTTTATCCAATTAGAAAACAGCCAGAAAGTCATAGCATTATATTACAGTTTTCTGTCCTTGAAGGGCCAATATAAATAACATTTGAGAATGAGATCATAACGATTATTGAAGTTATGTCACTGTAAAATGATTTGCAGTTGGAGTGAAGTGTGGCTAGCCAGTGAAGATTAAGGATATTTTGAGCTATTTTTGAACAAAATGAAATTATCATTTACATCCTGTGTGATGAAGCCTTTTCCAATAACTTATGATTAAGTGGCCACATTGATTTCTTAACTCAGTTTACAGATATTATGCCAAAATACAGGACTTCGACAGTTCATTTTATAGAGGTATGGATGCATTTGCTTATTTTCATCATTGACACTAGTCATGGTATTGGAGAAATGACCATCTTTCATGTATGCAAAATAAAATTTGCAACTACAACATTTCATTTAAACTGTGCATAAGGCCTAAAGTGATGTTCACTCTTCACCAACAATGTAAAAGTGTGACACAAGCACTGACCTTGGGGCATCAGGGAAGTCCAGACCAGCTGATTTTTTAATACACGAATAAAGGTGTGATGGCAACTGGTTCTTAGTTCACTTTTGACAAGAAGGTCTGAAGTCTTTATGAGACAATTTTTTACCACATTATATTTTTGATTGCAATGAGAATGTATGCTCTCTAAAGTTTGACAAGATCTTATAAAGTACACTGCCTTATTAAACCCTCTGTGAAGATACATGCTATATATGTTTTATTTTACAGTGTCTATATTTCAGGATTTCATATAGTTGTGTGTGGCTTAGACTCGATCATTGCAAGAAGATGGATCAATGGCATGTTGGTATGTACAAATAATTTAATTTGTAACATTCTATGACAACACAATATATTTAGAGGTTATGTCACTATGACATGAAATATGCCTGAGTTCTCCCAATATAGGCCAACCTTGGGAGGCTCTATATTTGGGCAAGAACGAAGGCATATTTCACGTCATAGTGACATAACTGATGTATTCCATACCTTTATTCCCATGGCTACTTTTTATCAATGACATCACACATCTGTTTGCGAGTAGAACTGACATGACGTCGTGATTTTGTCATGGTTATAAAGAAATCTAATATCAAACGAGGTACAGGGCCTTTATATCGGGGTAAACGGGCAATATCGTATGATACAGCCCGCTAACTTTCCCTTTATTTTCCATACAAATGCTGTGCTAGGTATGTAATACAATTAGTAACATTTTAGAATTACAATACTCTATATTATAGGTAACATTCTAGTATAACATGCTAAATTGTAATGTACGTATCCATTGTGCCCTTCTTTTGTTCACCTATTAGCGTGGCAGGAATATTAAAAACCAAGTGTAAGAAATGTTCAATCATAAAATGAGGAGATGGATATTATATCATTATAAATAGTTATTGTCAATGAACAGTTAGCATAACTGGGAAATATTGAAGGTTATTATATGTCAAATGACGATTGTTCAGCCAATCACAGAATGTGAAACTGAGATATGATTAAATTCATGAAAGTATTGAATGATTTATTTTCAGCTGAGTTTGCTCAATTATGAAGATGATGGTACATTAGACATGTCAGGTATCATTCCTATGATAGATGGAGGCACTGAGGGGTTCAAGGGAAATGCGAGGGTTATAATCCCTGGCATGACGGCCTGTATTGAATGTACCCTCGACCTTTACCCACCTCAGGTATGTCCAGAATTGAGAAAAAATTACTGCACGCTTATCACATATTATATTGTATTTTTGCCCACACCACAGCTTTGTAAATTGATCTCCTCAGTCAAATAGCATTTTGTAAATGAATATGATGCTGACATCATTTGCCTAAACTGGAAATTGAACCTGTGACCTTCACTCTTGAAAAAAGGCACAGCATGGTTTGATGTGTGCAAAAAGCAAAAAAATATTTCAGAATTGTGACATCTTTCTCAAATTCACTCTTAACTCTATTTAATTCCTTTAAAGTGCTGTGAGTGAAAGGGGAGTGCCAGGTGAGTGCAAGGAAAGTAAGTTTGAGTTTAAATGTTGAGTGTTTCCTTTCTTCTATTAACATGTGTTTTAATTTCAGGTAAACTTTCCCATGTGTACAATTGCTTCAACTCCTAGATTACCAGAGCACTGTATAGAATATGTACGGGTCTTACTTTGGCCACAGGATAAACCATTTGGAGGTATGTGTCTAAATATTTCTCAAAACAATAGTCACTAGAAATCATATTATCAAATGCGTTATTTAGTAGGTTCACAAAAGAAATGTAAACTTAATGAGATGCCCAAAAATATTTTTCTGGCCTATGTTGAAAAATGAGTCATTTTGGGTTCTAGAGTTGAATAGCTTTTAAGTGGTGATCTTGAATTCTAGTAGCCATTTGGTACAAATGAAACACCCTGTTGTCTGTACAATGTAATTCTTATGCAGTGTACTGTTGCTCTAAAATCAGTGTTTTCTTCTGTTAAAAGATGGCGTTGCAATAGATGGTGATGACCCACATCATTTACAGTGGATATTTGAAAAGTCCATAGAGCGTGCAAATCAGTACCAGATCACTGGGGTAACTTACAGACTTACTCAAGGTAATATAATGCATACATTTTTGCCCAAACTTTTATTTGGAGTTCTCATATATAATATATAAATGTGAAATTTATATTAATGTGATTTTCTGTTTCAAATTTGTTTTTATCACTTACACATATATATATACATGTATAATATTGTATATATATTGTAGTGGTGAATGTGTTTATAAATGTTTTTGCATCAAATTACTAGTATAGCTTCCATTTGATTCTCTCTCTATATTGTACATTTTAATTTCCTTTCCCCAATTGTACATTTCTCCTTCATTGTACATTTCTCTTCCATTGTGAATTTCCCTTCCATTGTACATTTCATTTTCTTTTCCAGGAGTTGTGAAAAGAATCATACCTGCAGTAGCATCAACAAATGCTGTGATAGCTGGTACGTCGAACTTCATTACTAAAACATTTGCTTTAGTCCCATACATATAGTATCACATATTAGTGCCACTTATACAAATATTAGTGTCTCAGTTTCACATTTAAGTGTCTTATTTTGAGATAGTGGTTCATTATAAAGTGTCTCCTTTTATAACTTTTGGGGTTAAAAAATTCCTTTGGTCAACCTTTAGTGCACATCTTTAATGCCATGATGTCAAATATGTTCATCATACTATAGAGATGTCTCATGGAGATGTCTCTAATTGGAACACCTCTGAAAGTGTTACTCCTCCATGAGTGGAACACTTAAAAGTTCCATTACCCTTTTACCAAATATAACTAAACCTCTGAAGAAAGTGGAACACTTCCAAAACGAAACTCTTTTTGAGAGTACCAAAGGTGTTCCACTTATGCAGGTTTTAATGTACATATTCTAATGTTGATGCTGAAGTTGCATGTTTTCATATATTTTCAGCTGCTTGTGCCACAGAAGTATTCAAACTTGCATCTCAGTAAGTAGACTTAGAAGCATATTGCATAAACATAATTCCACCCATTTTATTCAAATCAGTTTTGAGGTTGAACATTTTACATCTTCTTAATGCAGTTATTCATGTGATTTTAATTTTTTCTGAGGTAACTAAAGTCTATATTACTGTTAATAAACTCCATAATTGACAATTGTTAAAAAAAATCATTTTTGTTTAAACACCCTTTCCCCCATTTGACAAAATTTAAAATGTTGTTATGCAATCAGCATGTACATTTACTTGAAAATCAACAAGTTGAAATCTTCAATTTTCCCTTCCCCTAACAGAATGAACTTCAACAACTGTTGCCTATTGGACTCCATCCCTAAGGTATGTCCAAATAGCATACACAATGTTTTCCCTTGATAATGATCCTCTCCATGATTTCCACCAGGTGTTGTTTGCCACTAAGTAACTATATGAACTTCAATGACACAGAAGGGGTCTACACTTACACATTTGAGGCTGAAAAGAAGGATGACTGTGTGGCGTGTAGTAACATCCCAAAACCTCTCAAATTCACAGAGGACTCAACACTTGGCCAAATTATTAATCACTTGAAGGAACATGGTGACTAGTAAGTTTGATTTAAGTAAACCTTTCCCATAAAACTTCCACTTTTGCTACAAGAAAGAAGTTAGGATATATTGGCCAGATTGATGATGGTATTGGCCAGATTGATGATGGTATTGGCCAGATTGATGATGGTATAGGTTGTAGTTAGTTTTGTTTACAATGAAGTTCCAGATTAAAAATATGTTAACCTTATTTTAATCAATAAATATAAGGAGTGTTCAATAAGTAAATGTAAATAACAAACATCTGTGTAAAAAAGTTTCCATTACTTATTGACCACCCCTCGCACACAGGTTTGATTTACACATGTTTTTTTAAAGATATTTGTGCATTTGCTCTATTATTTTCAGTCAGTTCAAATCACCTGGCATTGTGACATTAATAGATGGGAAAAATAAAACATTATACATGAACACAGTCAAATCTATAGAGGAAAGAACTAAACCTAATCTCAAGAAAACAATAAAAGGTAAGGAGAGATCGGCACAAAATAATGTCTTTGATGTTTTCTAATATAAACATAAACCATTGATTTTAAAACTTCGAAGCAACTTGGAACTGCACTTAACCAGTTGGTGTCTCAAAAATGAATTGAGTTACAGTTCTTTTTGAAAGGCTATATATAAGTATTGGCACATACAGGGTGTCTCATAAGTAATGGTAATTATGCTTTAAAAACTTGATTTAGCAAACATATACTTGATTAGGAAACCATATGAATTCACATCGAATATTGATCAAATTGTTGACTTCACTTTGCTATATAATATTTATCATTTTACACAATGATATGGGTATAATAAACATTTTGACGAAAAAACTGTCTGTTTTCAGAACTTGGACTGCTGGATGGCCAAGAAATCTATGTTGCAGATTCTACTACACCTAATTCATTAACATTTAAACTTCAACTTACCAGTAGTATGGATCGAGACTCATAGCACAACTGTATACCTACAGTAACCAGCAAGTAATAAGATAAACCTTGTTACCCTAAGTCAACATGCTTAAATGTATAGAATTGGCAGAAACCCGTGTGCTCCATTCAAATTAAATAGAAGAATAAAATGGAGAGGCACAAGGAAAGAATATTTGCCATGGTTGAGAACTGCAGTATCATGTAGTAAAGGAAGAGGCAAAAAATGCATAGGAATTATTTTAAATCATTAGGACATTGAAATTCTTAACAAGGATTTGGGAATGTAACCTGATGCTATACTAGGTTATGAACCCTGGTTGATGTACAGTGTATATCATTGCCAGGGAACATATATGCATTGCTAGGTAAGCAATCTGTATGACTCTGCAAAGCAATCACATTTGATTGAGAAATCGGGAATTTATTAATGGGGAAGGAAACAAAATAGAAGCTGTCTAGTTTATCTTGTTGACAATCCACAAATAATAGTAAACCATATTTATGTCACATACATTTTCATTGTGTCATGACATCATCACATTGGCTTTTATGAGGTATTATATTGAGTTTGTCCATTGTATTTCCAGATTGTATTTTCCCATTGTATTTTTCCATTGTGTTGCTCATTGTATGTCATGTGAATTTTGGTAACATTCCTTTAATAAATAGGTTAGAATTACATGAATTATGATCTGACCTATTTTACTATCAATTTTTAACTAATCATGGAATCTCTTGAAAGCCCATGTATCTACTAACCCTATTTGTTTATAGGTGTTGTTGGCCTGTTAATCTTGATCTAAACTGATATTCACGTGTAGTGTATTTGTTAGAAAATGTGTTGAACTGAAAAAATGTTAACGAAGTTGATATGCTAGGTGGATACTTCAAAGAGAGTTTAAAGATACATTGAGACGAGAGAAGAATTCATGGTAGTTAAAAAACATCGATCTGAGGTCAAGTACTATATGGGACTCAATGCTGCAGTTTAAGTTGTATATTTTGTGATCATGAAATGCTACATGAATATTGCATTATAACAATTGTACATGAGTTGTTCATATGTTCGTGTATATGTCTATGTAAATCAATGTAGAAGCCAAATGTATTGTAGATCTATCTGGATGCACAATAAAACATGGAACTCAAACATTATAACATAACAAGTTCTTGTTTATGGTAGTATTAACTCTGTTTATAAGGGTAGCATATCTGCAAACGTTTATTTGGATTACGATAATGGCTCCCTAATGGTGTGGGGAGGGGATAAAGTCACAAAGAACACTTTACACTCATGACCAGTCGCTATGTCACTGCCAAGGAGTGGTGGCTTATCATTATATCCACCTTTTTGACCAGCATTAGGTGTCTACAGCTATTACAAATGGGTATACTTTTGTCATGTTATTGCCTTGTCTAACTAGGTTTAATTTTCAATCTGTTACCCTATGGGCTATGGCGCATGTACTTATAGATTTACTAGACATGATACCTTTGACATTTTAGTATGGATGACATTGAACTTTACTGAACCTCGAAGAACAAATATATGTATTAAGGATTTGTGCATGTTACCTAGAACATGCGACATCAATCACATAATAACTCACAACACACAAACTCAACTTTTTGGTGGTCTAGAATTAAATTTCGAGTTTTTTATACGATCAAATGGCTGTATCAGTGTGGTATGAAACCCTATTCATCATGCTGTTTTGGTGAATCATTTTTTCTGTTCTTCAAATTCATATTGGAATTATGCCTGGGATATTTTGTTCCCCGTGCTTTTAATATCAGCCTACTCACACTTGATATGCATAGTTATAACATACCTATGATGATGTATAGTGCAAAGTGTACACAAGACAGCGGGCCAATATGAGTTTTGAAAAGCCCGCGCCCGCTAACTTTCTGATTGGTCAAGGCGCTGACGTCATAACCAATCAATTGAAGATAAAACTGCGCGAGCAATTTTTCTAAACTCATTTCAATCATTTTCAAACCATTTGTTTGTCAGTTCTATAAGAAAACGGTACTCTCTGACCAGTCTACATCATCATAGGTATGTTATAAATCGTTTATGTCACTATCGTGGCACATATGCCCTCGGTTCTCAGAGATCAATGTCCCTCCCAAGGTCGGGCCATATATCACTATCACTTCGTGTTTTCTACAATTGCCCTTTGTGCTTCATTTTAAGCGAAGCTAAAAATTAATCTATTAAAGTATAGATGGCACATTATACGATGGTCTACATTATACCATTATAGTTTCTGAATGAAATGAAACAAATCAAATTCACTCAAGAAACTAGTGATTATATGAAGGCTCTCTCGATGAATTGTAATGGTAATAGATAAGACTCGACCGCCATCCGCTACCCAGGAATCGACGACTGACTTTGTCTGTCGGTATCTAACTTTTCCCCTTCGCTTTTTTAATAATTGATTTTGATAATTTGTATGCTTTAAAATCATTTGTTTGTTTATGCAATGATTGGGCGATTTCAACAGTGAAGCAAGTGGAATCAGTCATAAATACAGACATAAATATTTCTTCCTTTTGCTTTTTGTTTTTGCTTATTTGCTTGTGAATGATACGTTCCAGATTGAAGCAATAACGAATTACGAGTATATATGTACCTATATGAGCATTGGTGCACTTCTAGTAGCAGTGGTGTATGCAAAGGTATTTTGTAAAGAATGAATAAATAAAACAGAAATATTTTTTATGAATTAACGTTTGGTAAATTATGGAATGTAGCATAGTATCTTGAGCAGACGAATTCATACTGTACTACTTTGGAAATGTATATTGAGCCATACGCTACCTTATCGATCAACACCGAAATTGCTTTTTGCCTATTGGTTCTGCGAACGATCTTGAGAATTACAGCAAGGGCACCGCGTTCTCTGAAGGGCATTCGAACTCTACAACCAAGTAAACAGTTTGTTCACTTTACGCAACTTCTACGTAATTTAATTGCAAGCAAGAATTGGAAGTGTTTGGAAGGCATAGATAGAAGGACTTTGAAGATGACACATCCAATTCCAGAACCGTTTAAATGGGATAATACCTTCAAAGTGTTTGTAAGTATAGAATTTTGTTTCAACTATTTGTTATTGTTTGACTATTAACATTCTAAATAACCAGAACGCATTTGTTCAAGTAAGAATTCTTTAATGTCCGATATTCAATTCAGTTAGATATTGTTTCTTTTAAAATTTATAATCAATTTTTTCAGGATTGTTTTTCAAAAATGATTTTTTCAATTATCGGAAGTGGGAAGATATGCCCGGGAGCGGGAGATATTATTATATGGAGGTTCTACACTGGCGGATCCAGAGGCTAACAAGGGGGAAGGTACCCACATTTCACGATTGAAAGAAAAAAAATTGGGCTCTCAAAACAAAAATTTGGCCCAACATTTTAAAAATGTAAGGCCCAATTTTGAAATTTGGGCCAAAAATTAAAAAATAAGGAAAAAGGCAAAGTAATGCCAAAAAAGGTCCATTACTCGAGGCCCTACAAAATTTGTATTGTATTGTTAAAATGTTTAAGGCACAAAGAATTTTTCTGGGCCCATCCTAGGGGGAAGGGGGCTCCCACTGGATCCGCCAGTGTTCTGGATATGGAAACCTCAAAATCAGAATACACCAGGCGTCTTACCAAATTTCCTAAAACTCTACTGGGCACGGAATAAAACTTCATCCTACAATTAGTGTACCAAATGTATAACAACAAAATTTAATTATTTTGGCAAAATGAATGAACCGGAGAATATCGTAACGATATACTCCGGAAAACCGATATGCGGAGGATATTTATAGGATATCCTATGATTTTGAGTAATATCATTTTTATCTACGAGGTGATATTGATATCTGAACGAGAGAGCGAAGCGAACGATTGCATCAATATCACCGACTAGATTAAAATGATATTCTGAAAAAGTCATAGGATGTTCTTATTATCCTTCATTTACTAGTAGTGCACTTGATGTTTAATATCATTGAAAAATAAATTTCATGTCAAATAGTTCGATTTGGCGGGAAATCAACTAGCAGAGTTTATCGTTACGATGTCCTCCTCATATTGGTTTCCCGGAGTATATCGTCACGATATCCTCCGCATATTGGTTTTCCGGAGTATACCGTAGCGATATCCTCCGGTTCATTTTGCCAATGGATATCAAATTTATTTTTTGATGTTATTATACATATAGTAAGCTTACACTAAGTGTAGGATAATGTGACGATATACTCCGGAAAACCAATACCAGAATATGCGGAGGATATTGTAACGATATACCCCGCTTGTTCATTGATACATTTAGTACACTAGGTCAGAGACATAATTATGTTTTATATGTCTCTGACCTAGGTGAAGGATAATAAGAACATCCTATGAGTTTTAATCTACTAGGTGATATTTGCACGAGAGAGCGAAGCGTAACCTCGTAAATAAAAATTATGTTATTAATAGCGTGTTACAGCCAATCTATGATTGTGTTCCTAAATCAAGTCAGAATTATAGACACATTGTTGAATTTCCAATCGCCGAACATGATTTGACATGTTATCCAGTAGGGCTTTTGGTGTTGCCAAGCTTTAGATGGGAGTGTGTATCATTTATGTTGTATCGCCGCTAAATTCCCTCAAATATCTAGGCTTACGCAACGTTATGGAATAAACAACTTATATGATATCTGACTTTCAATTTAATTGCAGTATGATCATTTGGACGGTGAACACCAGAACTTATTTGCAAGTATCTTTGACCTTGCTGAAAACAAAAACAGTCAGGATGCATTGAATAAACTTATCGGAGTTGCCAAAGATCACTTTGATAGCGAAGAGGTAAGTATAGTCAACTAATCGTTCATCAGGATGGCAAGAATGGCCTGTCTCATATTTATGTCTTTAATGTGAAGCTAATAGATTAACAAACAGGCCATTTCTGTCATTATAGTGCCTTTGTTTTTATCACAAGGTTTTGGGTCGATTTAAAGATGGCAGCAATGTAGTTCATATGTTATGATTCATAACCATAATATATATTAAAACAGTTTGATTACCGTGCCATCTTTTTAAGAACATCGCCAGCAGTGCTTACCAGAACTTGAATAATTAAAGTGGCGTCAAAGAGTAATAAATGAAAGAATGTTGGAAGTGATCTTCCCGATGTCAATGCATTCATTTCATTTTGTTAATTTTTTTACAAACCACATTTATCTTTAAGAAATTTACCATGGTAAATGTACAAAGAATATACCAATGCCAAAGTCCTAATTTTAGTATCTAAAAATAAGTTGAGATATTTATCAAATGTTTAAGTAATTGAAAATTTTAGATACAGCTATGAACAAATTCATTAGAATGAAAATCAAGACATCCACCTTTTCAAATTCATTCACGGATAACTTAAAGATCAATGGATCATAAAGTACAGTCATAACTGTTAGGTTTTTTAGTAAACGCTCACGTGACGAAATGTTGCAAGAAAAAAACATCAACTGACAACTCGTCCAAACGGTCTCTAGTCTTGGTTGCACCTTTAAAAACTGCTTATGTTACATTCTGTATTATGAATGTAGGTCATGATGAAGCAGAAGGACTTCCACGACCATGACAATCACAAAGAGGCGCATGATGGTTTTTTGGACAAGGTCAAAGGATGGAAACTGCCCGTGAACGACGACCAAGTGAAATACGCAAAGAACTGGTAAGTACGAGGGTTGTGAAAAAAATCTTGTATTCTCCAGTGCAAGCAGTGTAAGTCTAGCTAAAAGCACTTGCACACGAGTCTGTTCTGTGTGAGAAGGTGTTTAGTCAAGCAGGGGGGGGGGGTCACAGAAGCTTGTAGCTAGACGGAAGCAGTGTAATTTACGTTCAATGAACGTAGAGTAATATTCAAAGTATAAAAAAGATAGCAGACCAGCTCAATCATGTCGGTATATTAATGTCTTGCTTCTAGACTGTGTACTTTCTCTCTCCCCCCCCCCTGTGTGTACTTCATCATCCCAACACAAAATGGAAAGGTGAAGTACACACACTGACACAGGGCGGGCGGTAAACAAGACTATCATCAATTTTTCTTTCACCCTACTACCATCAATTTTTATGAACCTAGTACCAATGCTAAAAAGGCGAGGAGTAAAATCAATGATTTTCTCAATATGTGTATCTCTTAAAGATTTAAATGTGTTTTTCTTTGTAGGTTGGTGCACCACATCAAAGTTACAGACTTCAAATATAAAGACCAGCTACATTAAAAAGTGGATTAGTCTAGACGCACAAAACGTTACGTGATGTAGTACGTTAAGAAGTGAACTATATTTAACGTTATGTTATATAGTAAAGTGTGGACGTTTCTCTTGCTTAATTAAACGTCTAAATTCGTCTGTCTTAATGTGTAAGCTATTTTTGGACATTGATATTATCTGTTGCTCCATGCGCACAACTGGAAAGTAAAACGTTGTTATATTCATTAGGACGTCATACTAGTACATTTAGTGTCAATTTCTATTAAGCACTTTCAAGAGGGGTGCCGATTCTGCACGCCGTCTTTTGGAGCCCCGAATGAAAACGAAATCGATCACAGCTAATGAGACTAGTTATTTTTTATATAGATGCGACTGTACAACGGTGCTGACCCATTTCAAGAGTCACAGGTGCCATCTATAAGTGACAATCGTTGATTATCAGGATGCCATATGTGCCCAAGTGCCAATATATAGGACAATCATTAGGATGCCACATGTACATGTTAGTGCCAATCGTTTAAGAGTTCAATGAATTCGTTACATACTCTTTGTTTGATAGTCAATGGGGAATAAATGTCTCAAAGTAAACTAAAAAGACGAATTCAAAGTAGCCTATTTTGTTTAATCTTGTTTTAGATTTGAAAATGGATTCTGCATTGCATGGTCAAGTTGTAGACACAAAATTTTGAAAGGCTTTGAGAAAGACATGTGGACAATGACAGGTCGATCCTTTCCTGACATCTGCTGACTATGCAACAGAGAAGTTACACTCCCCTATATAAGTTTGGCAACCTTAGCTCCCCCATTGAACTACGTGTTAATGCCTCTTTACATTTGAATTTTTATTTACTTAACCTCTGATAAAAAGATAAAAATACTTATACTATTGATGGAAACGTAATTTGACTTTATTTCCAATACCTCCAAATTTTCTCTATTTCAAATCAAATTTATCATCAATTTTCGACCTTTTGTAAGTGAGTAAAAAAATTGAGAAAATTTGGAAGTATTGGAAATAAAGTCAAATTACGTTTCCATCAATGGTATAAGTATTTTCATCGCAGGTTAAATAAATAAAAGTTCAAAGGTAAAGATGCTTTAACACGTAGTTCAATGGGGGAGCTAAGGTTGCCAAACTTATGGCGGGGAGTGTATGATGGCCATGGTCAACAGTAAAATTAGTGTTGCTGGATGATATCGATATTATACATTTGGTATATACGTTCATGTCATATACACCCAGAACATTTTGCCAGGAAATATTATTCCCTGACCTGTGATCAAATAGGACGGTGTGTCACTATTCAATCGTACAATCAAACCCGTATGCGAACACCTCTCTAATCTGAACACCTCTCAATGTAACACATTTTTCTTGGTTACAATTTTGTTCTCTCCCATAGACTCACATGCTAAGAAAACGTTGAAATACTTCTTGCCTGTCCCAGAAGCTTTTAATACTGCTATTGTTTTGTTGTTTGTTGCATAATTACGTCTTATGTATACTCATATCATGCACTTAGGACTAACCCAACCAAATCCTATAACATGCGTCTTCCAATCTAAATGATTTTTCCTTCAGAGAAAACTAAGATTTGTGGACATGTTTTGCTATCATGCCATCATACCCCAGTATGCCCTCTGTCAGTCAAAAAAGTTTGAACCAAAACTCCCCACGAAAATCAAAAGATCTCACCTGTTGAATGCCATCTATAGAAAATGTCAACAAGGCATTAACATGACAAAATGTCACCACCTAAAACAATTTGGTCAATTTAAAGCAAGTTGGAAAATACCTTTTGACCTTAAGAAGAACTTCTGAGAACATGTAGATGATTTTGAAAAAAAAATTAGTCAATTTGAAGCAAGTTGAAAAAAGACCTTTTTGACCTTGAGAAGGTCATTGAAGGTCAAAGGTCAAATCTAAAGTCAGATTTGAACTTCTGAAAAGATGTAGATGATTTTGAAAAAAAAAATTGGTCAATTTGAAGCAAGTTGAAAACAGACCTTTTTGACCTTTTTTGACCTTGAGAAGGTCATTAAAGGTCAAATGTCAAATCTAAAGTCAGATTTGAATTTCTGAGAACATGTAGATGATTTTGAAAAAAAAAATTAGTCAATTTGAAGCAAGTTGAAAAAGACCTTTTTGACCTTGAGAAGGTCGTTGAAGGTCAAATGTCAAATCTAAAGTCAAATCTAAAGTCATATTTGAATTTCTGAGAACATGTAGATGATTTTGAAAAAAAAATTTAGTCAATTTGAAGCAAGATGAAAAATACCTTTTTGACCTTTTTTGACATTGAGAAGGTCATTGAAGGTCAAATGTCAAATCTAAAGTCAGATTTGAATTTCTGAGAACACGTAGATGATTTTGAAAAAAAAATTTAGTCAATTTGAAGCAAGTTGAAAAAAGACCTTTTTGACCTTTTTTGACTTTGAGAAGGTCATTGAAGGTCAAATGTCAAATCTTAAGTCAAATCTAAAGTCAGATTTGAATTTCTGAGAACACATAGATGATTTTGAAATTTTTTTTTAGTCAATTTGAAGCAAGTTGAAAACAGACCTTTTTGACCTTTTTTGACCTTGAGAAGGTCATTGAAGGTCAAATGTCAGATCTTAAGTCAAATCTTAAGTCAGATTTGAATTTCTGAGAACACGTAGATGATTTTGAAAAAAAAATTTAGTCAATTTGAAGCAAGTTGAAAACATACCTTTTTGACCTTTTTTGACCTTGAGAAGGTCATTGAAGGTCAAATGTCAAATCTAAAGTCAGATTTGAAGGTCAAATGTCAAATCTAAAGTCAGATTTGAATTTCTGAGAACATGTAGATGATTTTGAAAAAAAATCTAGTCAATGTGAAGCAAGTTGAAAAAAGACCTTTTTGACCTTGAGAAGGTCATTGAAGGTCAAATGTCAAATCTAAAGTCAGATTTGAACTTCTGAGAACATGTAGATGATTTAGAAAAAAATTGAAGTCAGTCTAAACAGTATTTGTTAAGTTATAGGAAGTTGTAAGAAATTGTTACAGACGCCAACCGCCGGACGCCAACCTCCAACCGCCGGACGCCGGACGCCAACCGCCGTCGCAAAAAAACGGAGACCATAACAATATGTCACCACTTTTGGTGGTGACATAAAAATTGTCACTCTGATTTTGACAGATGGAGGCAGCTCAAAAAGGTCAAATTTCTTAAAGAAAATGCACTTCCATCACATCAAATCATGTGTTAGATCTAGAGTTGGTCCATACATACACTTTTTCATTCATGTACTTACCAAAATCCAACCACTGGTGATGCTAATATAATTACAATAATTGGGACTTTATTCTTGTTTTTAAAATGCCATCTATTCGTCTTCCCACTCGGCGGGCGGAAGGATCGATCTAATAAGTTGTCGGAAGGATCTAATAAGTTGTGTGTCCCCTTACTACAAGCTGCAAGACCTTCGGATGCAATACACAAGCGTGAATAAATAACAAGCTCCTCATTGTATGTATGTATTTATGTAAGTAAAATGGAAGTTTTCCCGGATAGCTGGATGGAGACATTCTTCCCGTTGGCGTTTAATGTTTTATTTAGCGGTGAGATTGTATTGTACAAGGCGTTCATAAAGATAATGATTTGCAATTACACATAGTAAACGCAGTAGCATCAGTATGAATGTTGTACTGAGAAATCATGATATAATATTAATAATGACCTCAGCCAAACTAAAAATCTTGTCAACGATCCTACCAATGACAAATTGAAGATGGATCGCCAAGATCAAACTCCCTAATCACGAGGCCAGGGTACCCCTTGACTTAGTTTTTTGGCAGAATAAAGAATGATCTTCGTTGAATTCGTCATTCGACCTAAAGAGAGCTTATGGCATCTATACGAGGATCAATCGCCAGAAATTTTGAACGCCTCTACTTTGATACTGTTAGAGGAATAAATCGGACAAAATAGAAAAATTTTGAACATTCAAACAAAACAGATCCTTTTTGCCTGCTTCGCCTACCCCCGACCCATGTTACCATAGCAACCATAAACTTGTTATAAATAATTCAGGATCTCAATGTATGAAGAATATCTGCTGAGTGAAAATATCAACCAGATTGATTGACTGAGAACAAAAATTTTAGACTTCTTTTGCAAGAACTTTATCTGAACACATCCGTATTTTCTCAAGACGTCTTGGCTAAAATGTCTCGGTTTTCGGACGCTAGTCATCAGTCATAGCGAGGCGTTTTGAAACGTACAACGTTTTACGATGTGTCTCCTATGGAATGTTTTCTGCTTCATTATTCGTATTTTACAATATGTATTCGTATATTGAACTTTTTAATTTGTTAAAAGTACATTTATGTTCGTAACTTGAGTATTTTTATTCATCGTTTGTATTTTCTGTTCGTTAATCTAACCTAATTTGTTTCGTTAAAACGTATATGAACGTGTTTTATACTGAAATACATTCAAAAGTCCTCAAAAGCATTTGGAAGTGACACATTGTATATCCGTATTCAAATAAATTTAAGTTCATTTTTTGCCGTTATCGTTATTAAATTTCTGCAAATATATAAGTTTAATATCTACGAACTGAATGTCAAATTAATCAATTAATAAGTACTTGCCTTGGCATTTCATTTTTTAATTGTCGAATTTATTTTAGTAACAAGGTAATATGTTTCCGTAAAAGATCACGTGATCATTCTCAACGAGACATGGTCAAGACATGGTCAAAGTCATCACCCCCTCCCTTTCACACACCTAAAACTCTCGTGTCACGTGACCTATGCCCCGAGACTTGCAGTTTATATTTGTTAACTCACATTTGTATTCGTAAACTCACATTTATATTCGTAAAGTTTCATTTTATTATTCGTTAATGTACGAATGTTTTCTGCAATAATTCATGGGAAATTTGCAAGATTATTATTCGTAAAAATACATTTCTGCGATAAAATAACTGGCAACTTATTTGAAATTTAAGAATTATAAGCTGTAGTTGGCGAATGATAAATTGTTATTGACAAATATTTCCAGTCCTGACAAACATAAAATGCACCCGATAGGGATTTATTTGTCTATTCGATACATTATATATGTATTTGTAACTTATGCATTTTGTTTGTAAATGTTACATTAGTATTCGTATGAGATACGACGTCAGATACTGTACATCACGGCGTAACAGGGAATTTATTTCAAACGAATAATGAAGCAGTTATGACGCTATCACCGTGGCTATAGCTCCTACCTAACTTGGGGAATCAAAATGTTTTAGCTAAAGTAAAAACGAAATCGGTGACAATAATCTTCTGTTTGATAATAAAAGCAGATCTATAGGGGGCGACAAAATTACAAGCAACTTGTATAATTGACCTACCAATCTATTCCTTACAATATCAAATACAATATCTCCCAAAAGAATCACAATATGTTATAAATTGGTGAAGTTATTTATGATTCAAAGTGCAAAAATGGGTGGAAAAGGTTTAGATTCTCCCAAATAATAAGAATTGTAACCATTCTTATAGAAAAATAATACATTATTGAAAAAATCTTTAGTTTTTCTTGAATAAAGTATGCACTTTTGTGATTTTTAGAAAATAGATATGACAACGAATGAGATTAGCCAAAAATATTGTAAAATTGAAACAATTTTTTGTCTAGCCTGCTCGCTATATCTGATTCTCTGTTTAAATATAAAAATGTACCCTTCCAGTAGAGTAATGTTAGGCCTCCGAGTGTACAACTACCTTAATCTATGGATTTTTCAAAACACTTCATCGGTTGCAGTAGTTAATATTCGCTACATGCATAGTTCAGTTCAGTTCAGTTTTTATCTGTATACTACAGGGTGGTCAAAAAATGGAAACCCTAATACCATTTTCCTTATATCTTTGTCAATTTAAAGAATAACTCCCTGATATTTTACACTTTTGTACATCATTCAATTTGCAACCTGCCTACTTTATTTCATGACCATCAGATTGATAGTCACAATGTTACAGTACTTTAAAGAACATGCCCAGCGGCCACTATTGCGTTGTGGGGAAACCTGTACTCATCGTCTAAAATGTCCCTACCTGTGGGGATATGGCAGAGATAGAGTATATGGGAATGACCTCAGGACAATTGCAAACCTCAAAAGTGAGATCATTTGTGTCATTCAGGCCATACCTGCTGAGGAATGCATTCAGGTCATTGACAACTGTGCTGTTTTGCCTACAGCGCGATAATGGCCAAATCTGAAGCATGTTATTCAAAGTGCTGTAAATTTGTGACTATCAGTCTGATGGTCATGAAATATAGTAGGGTGGTAGGAAATGGAATGATGTACAAATGTGTGAAATATCAGGGAGTAAATCCTTAAAGTGACAAAGATATACGGAAAATGCAGGGTTTCCATTTTTTTGACCACCCTGTATTAACCAAATACCTTTCAATATGTTCGAAATGGGTTATTTTGTCATTGGACACATGTGCAGTATACGAAGATATACCCTTTCCGGACACTTGAAGTTGAGCAAATAGTTTACAGACTGAAATTGAAAATGACTTTTGACCGATCAATGGTAATGACCTTTACCAGGGTTTATCTAGGAGAAATACTAGGCTGTTTGACGTTCATACTAGATACTGGAATGATAATGAGTACAAGGTTTTTCATTCATGATGTCACCTGTTTGGATATGTACAATTATACCATATGCGAGACTTTGAATGAGCACCATTCTCAACAAATCCTTTTACAAGAGAAAGTCGCAGATTTAATAGCAACACATAGATTGATTAACGTCATATCTTTACTTCTAACTGGATTATTCCTCGGAGCATTAACAGAAGTCGCGGGACACAAAGCTGGGATGAGTATTGGCATGTTTGGGTATTTTATAAATTCCATATGTCTTACAGTTTCTTGTGTTCTCCGTCCATCTGTTACACCAGTGAAGTATATATTAATTTTCGCAGGTGTTTCTGTCCAAGGATTGTTCGGTGAGAGAATAGTAGTTCTAAAAAATGCTTTAGCTTATTCTCTAACACAAGAAAAGACAGACCATACACAAAGACAACTGGTATTCCAAGGTGTGACGTTTTTTGGAAGCTTCCTGGCGTGCATTGGCGTGAGTCTTCCACTTGAGGTAAACCCTCAGAAGAAGAGCTACTTTGCTATTTATTTGTGGCTTTCTGTAATGTCTTTTCTTGGGTTAATACTACCATTGGTCGTTAAATCTAGCCCCGATTCACAATCCGATGTCTATGAAACATTTAAGGATGATCATCCCGTTGCTCAAAATGTTGATGGCACCAAGCTTGGAAATCCTGACAGCGTTGATGATGCTATTGAACTCAGTGCAATTAATGACGACAATAGAAAACTAATCAAAAGTTCCAAAAGAATCAACAAGAATACTCCTACTACTAGCAGGGTCAGGAACACTTGCTCATTACTCAGAGCTGTTTGGACAAACGTGGTCTCCATCGTGCTGATTTTGTTCAAGGGGAGGGAGTTCAATAACCAAACTCAAATATTAGTGTTGCTTTTTATGGTCGGATACATAGGTTTTGTGATGCAATGGTACATTGAAGAAATTGTACTGTTCACATTCCTCCCTCCTCTAAATTGGCGATATTTCGAAAACTCTATACAATATGTCATATATGCACTTACAGCGTCAATCTATGGAGTAGTGGTTTTACCTATAATAAGAAAAGTCGCCAATCTTTCCGACATCTCGGTTTATATTTTGGGTAAATCAGCTTATACTTTGAGCGTTACATTTATGATAATATATCCAAGTAAGGCATGGGGTATTATTCTTTATTCAATATTACTTGGTATGGCAATGAGCAGCAAGGCCATACTAAAAAGCTTAGTTGTTCACAGAGTCGATACTAATGAAGTTGGGAAAATTTTGTTAATTGAGAATTTTACAGAACATATATTTAAATTACTGGGTGCAACAGCAATGTTCTATACACACTCTTTGACTGTACAAGTTTATCCTTCAGCTGCATTCGTTATCAATTTGATATTAGCAATTGTTGGTTTCTTGCCATTTATTTGGTACATTGTTAATCAAAGAATTTGGGAATTTGTAAAACTTGGGAATGTCGATAATAAATAACATGAATATTGATTTGTTTGAAATACAAAATCACCAATCTCTGTTTTTTTATTTGGCCACATGGGCACAACTTTAACAGATAAGATATGCGGAGACCAAACACCCAAAAGAACAGAAAATGCGTAGACCCAAAAACAAAATAAAAAAATTCCCACAAATGACAAAACACATTATAGGTAGAATAGATATTTATCAAGTTCCATCCGTAATCGTCTATCACAAATGTAAACAATATGATCAGCACTCACTTATCAATTTGCCCTATATAGGCATCACATTTACAGAAATCCAAATTTCTGGGCAAGGGATGCGCGCCCTATCGTATATAGTGTCTCGCGAATAGGCCCACTGGGCGTTTATCTTGCATGGGCATTTATTTGAAAGTCCTCGAAATGAACGCCCACAAGTCTTAAAAAAGGAACATTTGTTTTTCAAAGGGGTTTGGCGTTTATAAGGAGGGAAAATTGCCTTTCCAAGCCAATGTGCGTTTTTTCCACCCATCCCTCTTTCAAATAACTCCCATGGACCTATTTGCGAGAAGGCGACCGTGCGTCATCATGATTTCTACAAAGGACGTGCGGTGACCGAAAGTTTTCTGTCTCCACAAGCTCAGAATACGCCATGTAAGCTACCTTGACAAGTTGCCATATATCATTGCATATAGTATGTGACGATGAGAAACCCATAGGAGCTCTATGATTACTTTTAGCCGTAGATGTTACAGATGTTATATAGCGCATGGCCGCCACAACATTTATGATAATATATCCAAGTAAGACATGGGGTATTATGCTTTATTCAATATTACTTGGTATGGCAATGAGCTGCAAGGCCGTACTAAAAAGTTTAATTGTTCACAGAGTAGATTCTGATGAAGTTAGGAAAAATTTTGTTAATTGAGAATTTTACAGAACATATATTCAAATTACTGGGTGCAACAGCAATGTTCTATACACACTCTTTGACTGTACATGTTTATCCTTTAGCTGCATTCGTTGTCAATTTGATATTAGCAATTGTTGGTTTCTTGCCATTTATTTGGTACATTGTTGATCAAAGAATTTGGGAATTTGTAAAACTTGGGAATGTCGATAATAAATAAAATAAATATTTTTGAAATGCAAAATCACCACTAACTGTTTTTTATTTGGCCACATTGGGACAACTTTATTAACAGACAAGATATGCGAGGACCAAACACCCAAAAGAACAAAAAATGCGTAGACCCAAAAACAAAATAAAAAAATTCCCACAAATGACAAAACACGATATAGGTGGACTAGACATATTTATCAAATACCATCCGTAATCGCCTCTCACAAATGTAAACAATATGATCAGCACTCACTTATCAATTTGTCCTATATAGAGAGAGATGCGCGCCCTACCGTATATAGTGTCTCGCGAATAGGCCCACTGGGCGTTTATCTTGCATGGGCATTTATTTGAAAGTCCTCGAAATGAACGCCCACGAGTCTTTATAAAGAGGGAACAATTGTTTTTCCAAGGAGTTTGGCGTTTATTAGGAGGGAAATTTGCTTTTCCAAGCCAATGGGCGTTTATTTCGCAGACCCCTCTTTCAAAAAAATTCCATGGACCTATTCGCGAGAAGGCGACTGTTCGTCATCATGATCTCCACAAAGGACGTGCGATGACCGAAAGTTTTCTGTCTCCACAAGTTCAAAATACGTCATGTAAGCTACCTTGACAAGTTGCCATATATCATTGCATATAGTATGTGACGATGGGAATCCCAGGAGCTCTATGATTACTTGTGGCCGTAGATGTTACAGATGTTATGGACCGCTTAGCCGCCGCAACAGAAGTGACTGGAGCATCACTGACCCAAACAATTACTTTGGCCATTATAAAGTATACATGTATCTAGGCTGTTTAAGCGGAGAATTGATTTTAAAATATTCATTGCTAGCAGAACTACTCCTGGTCACTTGCCGAAGCTCACTTTGCTTGTGTCTTTCGGATATAACATATTTCTTTGGACTACCGAGAATTAACTTTCCTTTGTGTTTCTTTGGAGTGTCTTTTTGAATTACTCTTGGCTTGTGTAGAGTTTTGATTCTTTCCAATATTATTTTATGAACATCAGTTGGCGAGAACGTACATGTATTTCCATCTTTCGGGGCATCCTTTTCACTGAGGTATTGTTTGGGCAGTTGACGTGGAGGTTTCAATACAGGGGCACTGGATGGACTTCTCTTTTCTTTTGGTATCCTAGGGACATACCTGTACCGATATTGATTCGCCAAGTGAGTCATTATCTTCATTTGGTACACTGTTATTTCGTTATCGTCGACCTCAATAAAATTAGGCTCTGGAGTTGGTTGTGACCTTGACCTGTGTTCTCTGAAGTTTGACGATACACTCGGGGTTGTGAGACGAGTTTTCCCGAGCATAACATCATTCACTGCCCGATCGAGGTCATCGGAACTGACGACGCTCACCACGCTATTTGGCCTGTTAGAATACTTCAATGCAGGAATTCCTATATGTGGCGAGCGACTTCTTAAGTATTCCGCTTCTGGGTTTGAAATGTTCGATTTCCCAGATGACTTTCTGGGGGGAATCACCGGCAATATCCCAGGTATCATCAATGGTTTTTGAAGATCATTCAAACTCCGCGTGAGTTTCCTATACGACAATACAATATCGTCTTTGTCCGTTTGACCTTCTAAATCGCAAGGGGTTGCCATTTCTGAGTCCGTAACATCAATCATGGGATCTAGAGCAAAGTTGTCAGTATATTTATCTCTTGGAATAGATCCCGATGCCTTCCTAGGTGCGCTTTTATTATTGGAAGGTCGACTGTGGGTTGTTGGGACCCTGTGCATTCCAGACCTACTATCGTTCACGAAACTCTTAGACTTTAAATGCTGCACGTAACTTGATTGTCTAAACGGAAACGTTGTCGCTAATGCCGTTTTATTGTTGTCTACGCTATCACTGGATTGATCAAAACCCGCATCAGCAAATGTTACGTGTTTATTTCTGCTGGAACTATCAGCCCCGCTTGTAGAAATAGTAGAAGTAATACCTTCAAGGTCTTTTTCTATTCTCCATGTGTCAACCGTGGAGCGTTCTAGATTGGTTTGACTGTCTCCGACCTTCTTGTTTTGAATAACTGTGTTTTGGTTCGCCTCAGGTCTCCTAGTAAGTTGGTATCTAATTGGCATCGCATTGTGGGCTAATTTGGTAGTTGTGTCTGTTGATATCATGTTATCTTGGTTGTTAAGTGTTCAGATCACCTACGTAAGACAAAATACAAACACTTTAATCAGAAAATTGATTAAGATTTGAATTGTATTTTAGTTATCTCTATTTTATCACAAATATGTCCTGTTGTATTTTAGAAAATATATTCTACATCGCGCCGGGACAGTGACATTCTGAATTCGTTCATTTTTAATCACCATATCATACCAAGGACACATCCATGCCTAACATTTATAAATAAATGTAAATGTTACCTGTTTTGATTCTCTCGTGTACTGCAAGTGTCAAAAATTAAAAGAACGACTTATCGAAACCTTTTTGAGTTTTACTTTATACATCATATTTTGTTGTTATCTTGTGCTAATGACAAAAAATAAAATGATCATTTGTATCATTGATCTCAAACATGCATCACAAGTTGTTTCTCTTACCTTTTTAGATTTCTCAAAAATTCAACCGCATTTTTGTTTATACTGTTCCTGTGATGATGTTAAGTAAACTGGAAAAAATATGGATGGTTACTAAGCTCTTGGTTGCTCATACAAGAAACTGTCAATATAATCGGCTTTTTCTAGCTAAGATCTATATCTAAAGGGATGATCCATATAAATCTAAACAATATCATCGAGAGAGATGAGACCTACAAAAATCAATCAACACCTCTACGTTTTTACTTTGGTGTTGTTGCTTTGAGAAGAGGTACGAGTATACCTGAACGTTCATTTCTTTCATTTACGCTCTTTTGGTATAAAAAAACTGCATCAACTTTCAAAATATGGTTCTGATCAGTACTTGGTGAGATTTGCAAATTGGACAAAGATTTCGGTATCATTGTATACTGTCACTTGTTAATCCAGATCAGATATAACTTTTTGACCTAACAAGAATTTGTCGCCAGGGTTAGCAATATGCAACCACAACCCTATATGCTGCCATCGTCCAAATGTAACTCAAAAGCTACAAGAGGGCTATATATTTATTTTTCAAAGAACTTGCAAGATTCTCACGTTCTGCCCATTCTGATACTCATAGCATCTCTCTCTGTTGCAGAAGGATAGAGATGGAGAGGGCATGGCTTTACCACGATGCGTTCTACCGGTGTACTTAACTTAAATCTATCGACGAGTACTTTAGTACTTTGCATAAAATAGCCCAGGTGCATTAGAGTAGATGCTTGATTGATTATTTCAAAAATCGACATTATTTGAAATATCGTGTCCTCTTTTGGAATTTCTGTGGTATTTGTTTGTAATTAATGTCTCTTATTTTAATTAATCTTTTTACTGGCAATGTTTTGTTTCGCTAAGATAATTTCACATTTTGTACTTCCATGAGGGGATTAAATATCTTATACAGACTGCTCTGGTAACAAGACACAATAATTGCAATATCATATGACCAGCCCCGTCGACTTTTTTTAATAATGCCCCGGGCCATGGCGATTTATAGTTGCTATGAGAAATGTTTACGTTTGGCGGTTATGTCAACAATTAAAAGATCTGATGCCATTTAGAACAAAAGGATACGCAATAAGAATCAATATGGTGCATTCCATGACAATGATCGCTATATTCCAACACAGATATATCATTTTACGGTAATATTGTACATATTCTTATGTGGAAGCAAAGGATAGCGTGACAGCGTGTAAAATGCTGGAAGCGATCTGTTCAATTACGTCATTGTGCCCCAATATCATCAAAATACTTTATTTTCAAAAACGTAAATAAGGGTTATGTACAGGGAGGTTTTGGATATGGGGTTTATCCAGAGTGAGATATGCATATCTATCTGAGGGACCGTAGGGGGAAGATATGCCCTGGAGCGGGAGATATGGCGGGAGATATGGAGGTTCAGGATATGGAAACCTCAAAATCAGAATACTGGATATATCTTACCAACTTATCTCCCTAAAACTCTACTTGGCATAGGATAAAAATCAATTACTGGAATAGAGTCAGAATATTATGTGATAATTTTTTTAGAAATACATCCCCAGTCCATATCCTTAACTTATCACAGTGTATGTTAAGGTTTTATATGCTAACAGCATTTGTTCTAATAGTCGATCAATACATGTATTCATTTCAGTACTAAACTTATTAAATTGATTTGAGAGACGATCTGTTATTTGCATGCAGCCAGACCTTAACTTCTAATAACAGAATATGAATTAAATATGAACACAATACAAAATATGTAATCTTTTGAATTTATTTCTCTTTCAATAATAAAACAATCTTACTTAAGATCTCACAGTCAATATGCATTTCCTTTTTGAAGGAAATATCATGCTTTAAAGGTATACCCCTTCCACTGCTATCTTTATATGCTTCCTAGAACACATTATCTACTATCTCAAGTGTACTTAGTAAAACATATGAGGAAAATGGTATGATCAAAATTGATGATTTAAGAATTTAGCAGTCACTTTCAGTTTACTGCCTTACTTACAGTATTGTATGTATGTATGTATGGATGTATCTTTATTACAATGTATTGAAAATCTTGTACTTTTTCCTATACTGTTATATGTAAATTTAGAATCGATGAAATCCCTTTCTGTTAGGTATATTTCAAATGGCAACTAAATTGAAACAAGGCATTAACATGACAAAATGTCACCACCTAGCTGAAGCAAAATGAAATAGACCTTTTGACCTTAAGGCAGCCATTAAAGGTCAAATCTGTTTTGACCTTGAGAATGTCTATAGTCAGATTTGAAATGTTGAGAACTTTTAGATGATTTTGAAAAGAAATTGGTCAATTTGAAAAAATACCTTTTTTGACCTTAAAAAGGTCATTGAAGGTCAAATCTTAAATATAAAGTCAGATTTGAACTTTTGAAAACATGTAGATGATTTTGAAAACAATTGAAGTCAGTCTATACAGTATTTGTTAAATTATTGGAAGTTGTAAGAATTTATTACAGACGCCGATCGCTAACCATCGACCACCATAAAAAAAACTAAGACCACAACAATACATTACTGAATGATCAAATGCCTGGCCAAGATTTCTATATGTATTAATGGTTAATAGCAAGATAGCAATCTCCATCAAATGAACCATCTGCTCGTACAGAGGCAGTGAATATTGACTGTGAAATCTCCAACATCTTAATATCAGTATGTAGCAATACGCTTATAACTGCAACTTAAATTAATTTGGTTTTATTTAATTTATTCACATTTTTAAGCTTTTTAATACAGCTTTTTTAGCTGACAATCTGACATGATATCCTAAAAAGTCTCCATGAGCGCATGGTATGAAGAGAAAAACTTTCAAGAATTTATCTTAAATCCTGGAGAATTAAAGGCAAAAATTTGGAGTTTTTCAAATTGTCAGAATGGCCAAAATAAGCAAGCACCAAAGTTATACAAATTACAGTTTTCAATATTCCACTCAATATGCTGATCAAAATGCTTTGACCCATTATAACATTAATATGAATAAGAACCTCCAGAATTTTACATGCAGTACATTTACAGTATTGTGTACCCTTACTTCCTATAATGTACTGAAATACTGCACCTCGATTATGTTGGTTATCGAAACGAACTGTTTCGGTAATAAAATGTCGGAAACTCGAAGGTACAATTTGTCGTTTTTCCTTATTCCACGCCTTGTGGGCAGATTTCTAACCGATTCCGTTTACATGTACGTAACTTAAGTGGAGTATTAAATTGGCGATTCTGTTGTCTCCTGAACTATTTCTTCGCAAACATGCACATTTTCTTAAACATATGATACTGACACACGTTTGTGATAAAAATGTGGTGAAAGAAAAATCGTACCTTCGAGGTTCCGACATTTTGTTAACGTAACGGTTCGTTTCGGTAACCTCAATAAGAACTTTACGAATAATGAATAAGAACCTCATTTACATTTACAGCCCTGTGTGCACAACTGCTTACACCAAGTCATGTACTGAAATACTGTAGCTAATTCAATAAAAATTATTATCGTCAAATAATCTTTATAAAGGGGTACATGAATATTATTTGATAAATTTTATGATAAATACTAAAAATTGCACTTTAAACATTTTCGATACTTCAATAATGTTTGTTTAACACGTTTTAAAATTCCAGATTGCTACAAAATATGAAAATAATGACTGTTCTCATAATACAATGTACTCATAATGGGACAATATTGCACGGGAAGAATTTTGATATTTTAATCTCATGTATTGCATTTTTTCTTAAAATGATGTAACATTCAATAAATGTAAAATAAAATTACACTGAACAGAAACATAAACCACCACCCAACTACCACCTAATCTCCCATCTGACTTAAAGTTTTTGGTAGGCTGTTTGAAAACTGACAGCTCTCTCTCTCAACGTCAATCCCTTACTCTTAAAAATAGATTGATTACAAGCCTGGAAAATTACTATTTTCAAGTTTCTAGACCCCATTTGAAAGACTAGATTCATTTCACTCTTTCTGATATGAGCCATGAAGTAAATGTGGCCCTATCTGATCACTGGTTTGTCTTTATTGCATTCACCTAAAACTGGTAAATATATTGTACTTTAAAAATGTCATGGATCAAATGAAAATAATTGAATCTAAATTATTTCTACATTGGAGCTGCATTATCTTCCTTGAGTATACACTCAGGTTTACAGTACATACAGTTTACTTCATCTTTATACAAACACATGTGTAAAGTTGGCAGTACAATCACAGTTGTATTGTTGTGCGTTTGAGTAAAGATGGCAGTGAAATCACAGAAGCTATTGTTGTGCGTTTTAGTCAAATAAGTAAGAACTTGGTACATATATACCTGGTACATCTACATGTACATTACATCTAAAGTGCAGTGTACAGGGTTCTCCATTTAAATTGATTAGGCAAAAATGTCAATTTATTCAGAAACATAATATAAACTTGGGATGATAATACAATGCTTAAAATTATGAAATCGATTTGCACAATCAGTTTGCATCAAATAAAATATATCCATTCGATATTTTTGGTCAACCTGTATATACCTGTATTCCAAACATAGCGACGCATTTGTATGGAAGTCAATGGGCTATATCCAACCCCAATATAGCCTTGTTACCTCGTTTTGATAAAATATCATGATGTCATGTTTCATTTTGATCAAATTCTACAAATTTCTACAAATTTTACATGTATGTCACTATTTACTCACTTCGAGAGCCATGTTAGATTTTGAAACTTATGGCTCTCAAACGGGGAAGTGGACAGCTCATCGATTGTGACCTTTGAAATCGAATTAAGTCGATCAGCGGCCTACTTTTGTTCTCTAACTATGCTATACATCATTATCATCCTTCTGTGCAAGTATTGGAGTGCTGAGGTACTTCCTTTTCGATCAAGACTTGTAATTGTTAGTCGAGTGAATGTTTTACTGCCGAATTCCAATATGGCGTTTTCTGCTCGGACATTTTCTCAAAATTCATTTCGTTCGTTGCGTATCTCGCTCCTAGCAAACCGCCATATTGGAAATAGGTCTAAAAAACATTCACTCGATGAACAATTTACAAGTCTTGATCGAGAAAGAAGTATTTCAGCGCTCTAATACTTACACGGATTGATGATACTGATGTAAGACACAGTTAGAGACCAAAAGTAAGCCGCTGATAGACTTAATTCGATTTCAAAGGTCACAATCATTGAGCTGTCCAAATGCTCCGTGGGAAAGCTATTATATCAAAATCCAAATAGCTTTCGCAGGAAGTAAGTCACTATGATTAAACTTCAAATCATTCTCAGAGGTTATGTCATTATGACGTGAAATATGCATTCGTTCTTGCCCAAATATAGAGCCTCACAAGGTCAGCCTATATTGGGAGAACTCAGGCATATTTCATGTCATGTGACATAACCTTTAAGTACAATATTAATTGTATTGCTATACGTTCCTGAGGAAACACATACCCTGAAGTACATGTAAATACATCATATTAAAATGCATTTATAATATGTGTACACAGTGAGGCAAAATCTAATATTGAATTTCCAGTAACATTGCTTAATTTCCTTCTTAATAAAATTACCACTTACGCAGTATTTAACTAAGAGATGGTGTCTGTCCCATTAGCTCCAGTTGTAGTAAATTCAGTTACAGGGAGGGGGTAAGTGAAGATTTCATTAATTATGAGTGTTGATTTTTTGAATATTCAATTGAAAGGTAAATCAACATTTTAAAAATTCATTATATTAGGGGAGGGGGATTGGCAAACCATACCAAAATTAACAGAAATACTTCCACAACTGATGATAATTTGACAGATTCCTAATAACTAATAACATGAATAATACTATATAGTTGTTAAAGGCCTTTGTTAAAATACAGTGTTTTTGGCACTTTTTCTCCAAACTTCTGCTGTATTTCTTCTAGTTTTTCTTTGTCCAATACTTTCAGTTTCTCACTTGAGATTTGGCTGCAAAAAATAGAAACATGTTTTTTTTAAAATTAGGAACTGAATTAAACCAATATAAAAATGAACTGCAAGCTAACAACACTGTACCATACATCCTATGTTGAACCAAGCTGTGTATGGTTCAACTCTACATTAGAGCCCCCTATCACACTATACCTTTCCTTATCATGCTATACCATACCATAACAAATCGAATGCCCCCTCTATATTTTCAAGTGGAAATATAGGGCCTTTAAAAGCCCAGGCACCAATTAATAGGAATGCCTCCCAAGTTTAACACTATTTGTTGTACCAAAGATGTTTCACCTACACCAGTTTTACTGTACCAAGCAAGAGAGGTTACAAAACTGAACTGTACTAATTATTTTCCTTGTTTTACATCATCAAATATTCAAACTTGTGTCAAATTGACATCTTATTGAACATGCAAAAATACATTTAAAATGTGATTTTATAAATTCCTGATCAAAATAAGTTTTAATTTTCTTTGACATTACCTGACATTCTGGACAATGGTGCATCTTAAAATGCATGTAACAAAATGACATGTTTTATATTTGTGCTTTCACTTACCATCTTTGTGGGAAGATTGCACATGCTGTGGGTGTCATGAAGATCAGACTGGAAAACAAACAACGCAATGTAAATATGTTCAGAGGCATAATCAGGATATAAAATTAGGTGAGGCAAAATGAATAGGTGAGGCTTATTCGAATAGGAGAGGCAAAATCAAAGGGTTGAGGCAAATCTAAATAGGTGAGGCAAATTCAAATAGGTGAGGCAAATGTATAAAGGTGGGGCAAATTAAGAATAAAGAAGGTTCATTACCAGTTTTAGCAAGGGAAAGATCAATACCCGGTGATTTCAGCGGGAAGTGGCGTTTCGTTCAGTGGATGAGCTGCGCGCGCACGCATAAATGTGATTATCCAATATAATTAGGGGAGGGCTATTTGAAGTAGTTTTTGGTCTCAGGCGCGACCCAGGGCTGTTGTCTTAAGGACATTTCGTTGAAAATGAGCCATTCGGCTGATAATTGGTAAGAGTTTGCGATCTTATAATGTATAACTGTTACTCAGACACATATTTTGACACGATTCTGTTGGAAATAAGCTTTGAACCGAGAGATATTCACGATTGATATGCACATTTTTGATTGTGCCATTGCTTTTCTATTGCACAATCCATGTATTGATAGTAGAAACATTAATAATGCAGATTGGTTTACCTTCAATACATGGCAGACACTACATATCGGTCTATTAATACCAGTTTGTGCCTTAAATAGTTTTATATTTCCATCCACGGCCTGGAGCCTGGGTGTGTTTGTCTCTTATGTGTATGCTTGTGCATGGACTTCTAATCACTAGCAGAATTTAACATGATGCAAACTCGACATTATAACTCATGCTGTAACATTTTGACTTCGCTGGAAAACAATAGGAATTATTTTTCTTGCCAATCAATCATGAATCACAATCAAAATTTCAGAATGATCAATCAGGCAATTGTCCAAATCAAGTTATAACATTATATGATATTCAGCAAGAAGTCCGGTAGAAATACAGAATATTTAAACATCAAAGCTGAAAGTTAAAAGCTAATCTGTCAATTTTCTGTCTGCAAAAGAGCGTTTACATTTGACACAATAACAGACTGAGGCTTTGAAATCTAGGATTCCCCAGGAAAATATGACGTCATACTAATTAGCATAAGGATTTCCCTATTGGTATGGGTCGAGCCTTGTTCGAAAACACAATCCATAAATACATGCTAATTTCTAAGGAGATAGGAAGTGTATAACGTGTTTATCGATTTTGTTTAAAGATTTAATCAATTATCAAATTGTTTAAGTGGATAAAGTGGTCACACTTGCTTCAATTCATAGCGAAATCGACGGATAGAAACTGACCGAATTCCCGATATCCTACCCCGTATTACTGTAGGCTATAAGCACAGTGACCTACAGAGGGCGCTATCACAAACAAGTACTGCACGAACCGATAAATTCCCGGGTATTGTAACGCCCTTGGTTTTAGGTGGAACAATCATAAGCATGACTTGTGGGCTAGATGGGGGCAAGAGTTTGGGGATAAGGCATAAGTGGTTTTGCCTTTATGTTCCATTTTTGTTAAATTCTAGACACTTAAATTTCCTTTTTAGGGGGATATTCCTGATTTCCAAATTTTCGCATTCTATATATTTTACACCTCTTTGTCTGTATTGCATCTTTAGCCAAATCAACTCCTTCATGTTTATATATTTTTGTTCTTTAATTTAATATCTTGATATTTAGAGTAAGCCATACAAGTTCAAGTACAAAGCATATACTTACAAACATCCAACTACCATAATCTGTATGGGTCCATGAAGTGGCTTGATTCGCTGCATGAACTTCATTGGTTCAATCCTGTTCATTATGATGGGAGTTATTACTAAAACAGATCATGGCAAAATGTTTAATGGCAACAAAGACATTGTGTGAATAAGAGAGGTTAAGCTGATATGTTTTCAAGATGAAGTTTCTTGAAACAAAACATAACTCCCACTGAAAAACTACAAAAAGATTAGGTACAAGAAAGATAAATTGTAGCGCAGATAGATAAATAGATGGCAGTCATAGTTTTAGTCGGGTTAGATAGATACATAACCCTTTAAGATTTATAATATTTGTAAATCCTGGGAATTTGAATACAAGAACTACTTAAATTAAAGTCTTTCCACAAATAAAATAAATAAAAATCTCCCTCGATGGTGAAATAAACAAATCTCCTTAAATTTTCATCAAAAATAGGACTTATCTGATCAGTCTTATTGTACAATCACAAAATTAGCACTGGAAGCAGAGGATTTAGGACTTCTTCATTGGTAAGTTGATAAGTGAAAATGTTGTACTACTCAACATGCAAAAGAGTCATATGACTTGAATCTAGGCTGCCAATCAAATTCAGAGTGGGTTTTTAATTTCTTTTCAAATTTCCAGAACTGCCATTTACAGAATTCCTTTGGTTGCGTGACCATAATGACAAATAAACAAAAGGCCAAGGGGTCTTGATTGTTCTCTCCTATGGCACAGTGCCTCTTTAAATAAGCCCACTCCCATTTACTTACACATTCCTGGAGCTGCCATGGTTATTCTTGAAAAGACAACTTGTCCTATACCCTTCCCTGCTGCATACTTTGAAGGCACAACTTCATTTTCATCCTCATCAGTGGTCATAATACCATTTGTGATTTCACTGCAATAGAAGATTTTACATACAAATATACAATCATCATTGCATCAAGAATTAAATTTCCAATCCAGTGGTGGTGACAATCGCAAAGATGATGTGTAATTTGGAAGTCTGATCTCTTCAATTGTTGGGATAATGTCCATGGTGTGGATAATGTCCATGGTGTGGATAATGTCCATGGTGTGGATAATGTCCATGGTGCGGATAATGTCTATGGTGCAGAAAATGTCCATGGTGCGGATAATGTCCATGGTGCGGATAATGTCCATGGTGCAGATAATGTCCATGGTGCGGATAATGTCCATGGTGTGGATAATGTCCATGGTGTGGATAATGTCCATGGTGTGGATAATGATATCAAGGAACAGTTTTGTCCTCTTTTTTTAAGAGTTCCATTGTTTACTTAAAAATAACATCTCCATAATCCATATCCAGCCAGTATTTTGGCCATCTGTATTTGTACGGCTTCAAGCTGTACTAAATAAAGTATCTTACTTGGAGATAGGGAGGTGAGAAATTGAGAGAAAAACATAAATAGTAGCTTTGAGTTGGGGTAGATTTAGCAAAATACAATAGGGATATGGGGCAAGCATAATCTCTTAGTAAAATTAAAATTGATATATAGAAAAATAAAAGCAACATACTCTTGAGGAGAATGGAGGTGGGAAAAGCATGATTAAAGCATGCACACAGATTTGAGTAAGATATAGGGAGATAAGGCCTCTACTCTCTACCCCCCTCCCCCAGCAATCATCCTAAAGAGGCTTTAACACCCAGAGTGTAAACTGCAATTTATGATTTCGAGAAACCTATTATAATTTTTGGGATGAACAGTATCATGAAACCAAATCGAAAGTTATGACTTTTACCAAAATGGTGCCCATGGTAATTAAAGGGTTCCGATAAGCTTCCCGTATAAAAAAAACCCAATATAAATCCTTGTATTAGAACTGCTTTGTTTCATTCGGAGGATATTTCATATGCTAAGCTGTGTACTAATGCGTTATGAGGCAATTTAGATGTCAACTTTTCCTTATTATACGAGGGGTGATCAATAAGTAATGGACGCTTTTTTACACAGATACTTTTTATAGACCAATCCCTTCGATTTTCTTACCAGTGATACATCATTCAATTATCTATCAACTCCGAAGATTTAAAGACAATATATATATTACATGTTGATATATCTTTATTTCCGTGAAGGAGGTACAGGTACCCCGGGACCGACATTTACGTCACATATTCTGAAGCTATTTTAGATTGTTTAACATGCAATGCAGTTGAATGCAGGCTGAACAAAACAAACCATTATGGTCATGAATTACCCCATTTTGTTATGCCATACTAATAATATAATAATTTTGAATATTTAATCATCACTATGTGGTATTCATGCCACATTCATTCCACAGGGCCCTCTAAATAGTTTCCATCAAGTGCTACATGTACACAATTCCTCATCCTCTTCACTCAAGATTGTGAGACAAGGCTGAATCCATACTCTGACATGGTAGCAAGATGCAGTTGCACGGGTTGTTTTATTTCATCAATGTCAATAAACCTGCGTCATTTCTCTATAGAAATAAGTAGTATAGAAATAAACAAGTCACATGTGAGCAGATCTGGACAATATGGTGCATTGGCCAAGGGCTCAATTTTGAGGTCCAGGGATATTGTTTTCTGAACATTTTGAGATCTGTGGGCAGGTGCATTGTCCATATGGAGTAGGGTGTTCCCTTCTCTCACCACCCCTTTCTTCCACTGAATGCTTTCTCGAATTGACCTGCAAACCCCTTCCATACAACACTCTGACATTACAATATTTTCTGTTTATGTGTTACCAGTCAGCAAAAAATTTTAAACAACACAACACTTGTTGCATATAAAATGTTCAAATCTAACTGAAATATACCAAACTGGCTAAAAACTGAATATGTGACGTAAATGTCGGTCCCGGGGTACCTGTACATCCTTCATGGAAATAAGGATATATCAACATGTATTGTATATTTTGTCTTCAAATCTTCAGAATTGATAGATAATTGAATGATGTATCACTGGTAGGAAAATCAAAGGGATTGGTCAATAAAAAGTATCTGTGTAAAAAAGCGTCCATTACTTATTGATCACCCCTCGTACACAAATAGAAGATGCTGAAACTTCACCCATAAATGTGAAATTGATTTGTCAAAATAAAAATCTCCCTTCTATAAATGTGTGACAATCTATAATATACGTACTTATGCTATATAACAGTTAGAGGTACACAACGACCTCGAGCATGTGAACCCTTGAGTATTATTCCGGGATTGGGGCTTTTATAATGGTGTGAAACACTAGAAATGAGCGTTCGATTTGCTAAACGATATGCGTCACCCTTTAATATTTAGAATGTGGCAAAATTTGAATATTTCAAAAAGACTTACCTCTGTCTCATTAGGGGGACATTGACACAGTTGGCAGCTGCCACAGCAGCAAATGGTACAAACCTTTGAGCAAAGGGACCAGCCCTCTATAAAACAAAAACAAAAGAGGTAGGTATACTCAAACAAAGGAGGTAGGTATACTCAAACAAAGGAGGTAGGTATACTCAAACAAGGGAGGTAGGTATACTCAAACAAAGGAGGTAGGTATACTCAAACAAGGGAGGTAGGTATACTCAAACAAGAGGGAGGTATACTCAAACAAAGAAGGTAGGTGTACTCAAACAAAGGAGGTAGGTATACTCAAACAATGGAGGTAGGTATACTTAAACAATGGAGGGAGGTATACTCAAACAAGGGAGGTAGGTATACTCAAACAAGGGAGGTAGGTATACTCAAATAAGGGAGGTAGGTATACTCAAACAAAGGAGGTAGGTATACTCAAACAAGGGAGGTAGGTATACTCGAACAAAGGAGGGAGGTGTACTCAAACAAAGGAGGGAGGTATACTCAAACAAAGGAGGTAGGTATACTCAAACAAGGGAGGTAGGCATACTCAAACAAAGGAGGTAGGTAAACTCAAACAAGGGAGGTAGGTATACCCAAACAAGGGAGTTGGGTATACTCAAACAAGGGAGGTAGGTATACTCAAACAAGGGAGGTAGGTATACCCAAACAAGGGAGGGAGGTATACCCAAACAAAGGAGATAGGTAAACTCAAACAAAGGAGGTTACTATACTCAAGCAAAGGAGGTAGATAAACTAAACAAAGGAGGTAGGTATACTCAGACAAAGGAGATAGGTAAACTCAAACAAAGGAGGTTACTATACTCAAGCAAAGGAGGTAGATAAACTAAACAAAGGAGGTAGGTATACTCAAACAAAGGAGGTAGTATACTCAGACAAAGAAGGTAGATATACTCAAACAAAGATGCAAATCTAGACATGACATCAACATAATAAAATTTCAGCCCCACAAAATTTATTTTGCAAATAGATATATAGCCAACAAAAATGCAAGATGAGGATGAAATTTATAAATCACAATATCTTGGTAAAGTAACAAAAAAGATGGCAATAGAAAAACAAAGGAGATATCAATAATATACAAACAATGTATCACTATTCAATATTACAGGACAAAAGAGGTGTACAGTATAGGAATACAGATACATGTATTTATGTTCATTCAAATAGCATGTGATTCAATTAAATGAACTGCCCAGATACACTATAAGCAAAAGGATGTTACACAAAATGAACTCAACCAGAATTAAAGCCTTTTACCTTTGCCAAAAACTTCTTGAGACCTATTGCAGTAACCACGGCACTAGTAGTGGCTGTGACATATGCCAATCCTATCTGTCTAAATGCAAACAAATCAAAATTAATATAAAACAAAGTTATTTTTGGAATAAAAAATTACGTTGGGCCAAGGATCATTAAACTTTGTTTGAAAAAAACTAAATATTCATGAAAAATGAATGCATGAAAATAGCCTACATCTATTTTAACTTTTCTAGATAGAGCAAGCCATAGATGTTCAAGTAAAGTGTATCCCATATATATGCCTACTTACTGTGCTGTTATATCAGAGGCAGCATTTCTATTGGTATAGTTAACAAGCGCATTGAAAGACTGGTTGACCCATTGCCAGAATATCACAGCAGTGTTGGTCCTGGAAGATAACAGACATCCTTAACTCAATGCAATAATGGATTACTGCAACATTGCAGAGTAAAGCTTTACTCCAAACTGAAAGGGCAATGAATCTAATGGTACATCTAAAATAAATTTCATGATTTTAGTCAGTAATGAAACAGTTAATATTGTGAAAATTTTATGTGGTTATTTACATTAAAGTAAAATCCATAGTTAAAAATCAAAAAGTTGCTATTAAATGTTAAGACAACATTTCCAAAACTTTTGCTTTAAACTTTTTTTTGCGAAAATGCAAAACTACATTAATTCACTCAATATGCTTAAGAATGTAAGAGTTTAGACATTGGATTTACCAGCCGCAGAGATAAATGGCATAATTGAGATAAATTGATTCTCTTGGAGAATGCTTTCATGCAGGTTGCCTACAACATTATTTATTAGAAATAAACACAATAAATGTCCTCAAAATGTGAGTGTTGCCAAAATGAGCTGTTAAAATAAAGACAAATGTACCTGAAAAGGTTGATACAAATCAGAAAAGGTTATGAAATTGAACTCAATGATATTTAAGGTAGGACCATGTCATTCTACAGTGTATATGAAAAACAAGTTGTTACTGTTAAGGGTTATGAAATTGAACTCTATGCTATTTAAGGAAGGACCTGGTCAATCTACAGTGTACAGTGTATATGAAAAACAAGTTATATACTATATTGAGTTTTCAATTGACAACAGTAAATAAATTATGGAAATATATTATCTTAAATGTCATATGAAATCCATTGAAATATCTTCTGAAAACCTATTAGTTTTACTTCCAATTTCAAGGTTAAGAGTAGTTCAGAAGGAAGGTAAATCATAGAAATCAAATTAAAGAGAGTTATTTACATGTGGTCAAGCTACATGTTTTTAAGTTGTATGTGACATATACATACTCAATGGTCCTCGGGGGGGGGATTAGTTTTCCTATTGCCTAAATAAGTATAAAGGTTCAAGGAAAATAGTAATTAGGGCCCTAAAATCTTATTGAGAGGAGCATAGTAATCCCTGGTGGTCTTATTTCAAACATGCATGCATGATTTCTATTTAAAACATGCAGCTAACCTCCTTAATATAACACAGCTACTTTAATTCTTCTCACTTAAAACTTTTCATTGTGTATGCAGTACTATGCACACCAACTGAATGAATATACTGTGCAAATTTAATCAGAAAATTATCAGTAGTTTTTGGGGAAGGTAGAATGACGGAACGTGTCTCACCTTAAAGGATATTATGGGGTGAATGCATATGGATCATCAGATACCAATGCATTATAACCTTTCAAGTTTCACCAAGCAAGGGACAAATGTGAAAGAATGAATGGCGAAGTTATGTTGACACAAAAATTTGAATAGATAAATACAGCACTACAGCGAAATCAGTGTACTGTTAAATTTAAATTATGTTTAAAACCAGGGGCTTATAAAAAGACAGGTTCGCGTGATTAATGTATCCATACTGTACTAGAGAATATCATGCATCTTGGATTACACGACCTTTAAGTGTGAACTGTACCAAAATCATCCTACACTGTACCTAATTTTAAGCTGACAGGCATTATCTTTGCCAAGGAAAACTATGGGGGCCTGAACCAAAAATTCTAGGAATCTAGAATTGATATAATTATATTCTGCATTGGTAGTTTGACCCAGACGGAACATAGGGAGATCCAAAATGTCACTAGGTACATTTAGCAAAGAAGAAATATAAATGGAAAGTATTTAAAATTGATAATTTCATTAAACTAATTAAGCCAATTTTGTATCTCAGAAAATTACTCAGAGAAAAATATCAGGACGTCAACGGAGGAAGAGATGAATATGACTTTATGGTAAGTGCTCATGCATCCTTTGCTAAAACTTAACTTTATTACTTTTTAAATAGAGTTAATCATTGATTTTCCGAAATACTTGCATATTACATAAAATAATTTTAAAATGCAATGAAAATAGGCAAATGGTCAGAAAACAGTAACAATTGTTGCAGCAACTGATTGTCGATGCTGAATATTGGTTACAAATAAATAAAGTTATTAAAATGTCACCACTTTTAGGTAGTGACATAATTACCCCAAAAATTGTAATACTGTGACACCAAAATAATCCTCAATTTTAAAACATTTAATCAGAGTATATGGGACACCACTCACAGTGGCCAGCCAAAAGTGTTCACAGTGGCAGATATTGTCATTTCAAAGTTATTTTTATAAGGAAATCTCTGTGATATTAAAAAAGGGACTGGAGAAAGTGTTCAGGTTGAGAGGTGTCCAGATAAGAGAGTTGATCTGATATAGAGGATTTTCTGTATACTACATTCCCTGCCCTTTCTGCCCAGGCATTCAATTTACATTCAATGAAAATAAATATTAATTGAACAAATGTATAGTAGAAACATGAGCCTATAAATGCTCCAAGTATTTACTTTTGTTTGATATTTTAATTGCAATTTTCAAATCCTTGGGAAGAAGTACTTTGTAAATCAACTAAGAAATTTTAAAACATAATTGACAATTACATAGAAATATTTAACGATTAAAACATTTGCATTGTCAGCAATGGTATATAGGGGTATAAGATTGGTAAAATGTAGAATAAGTGATAAATTATAAGAATAAGAAAAAATGTACAAGTTTATCAAAAGTAAACATGACTGTGTAGTATGTACACATGAACAAGAGAGTTTCAAAATGACTTTAAATCAAGATTTAACAATTTCCATTGCAGCTTTGATTCCCTTTGAATGGGCCAATTGTCACGATTTAATACTTCCCAACCTGGAATATCAGTTCTTAATGGATGCATGGAAAGTGTACAGGCCTGTAACCAGTTTTTACCAAAGGGGGCTCACTTTTACCAAAATCAATTGAAAAGTTCACAGAATAGGGAAAAACTGCATGATATAGGGCCTTTTATAGGACCATTCATTTCAAAATACCTGTCCAAAATGAACAAATCAACAGTTTTAATATAAGAGTCAGAATTTGGTACTTGGTACAGTATGATATTGAGAAATAAACATGAATTCACATCCTAATGTAGAAATATGAAGGGATACTGCGAACACTGCACTTTTAATATCATACAAGTATATAATGAATTTGATAAACAAGCAAACAGTATACAGTATATTGGGGTTGAATAAGGAACTTTAAAATACATCCTGTTAAACTTATTTGTTATTTTTAGATTTTTTCAGTTTATAACCTTGAATAAAATATAAAAAACAAAAATAAATAGTTCTATAGGATACACTATTTTAAATAGAGCAATTGGCAAAAAGAAGAAAACTCATAGCTTGTTAAAACAACCATATTTAATCAAATATACACCAACAAGTGTATGGAGTCGAGTACTATTGTACTTGAGTAAAGCCATGAGTTTATGAAATTGCAACGAGGACAATGATGTCATATAGGTGTGCTTGCACTTGATCAAGTTTAATTTTTTCTTACACAATTGTTTTGAATCAAATTAACAATAAATCATCATTTTCACCTGTCACAAAATTATCCACAAAGTTTCGATCAGAGGCCACCAATGCAAGTATTTAAATACCCCCCCCCCCTCCCCTACTCAATTTTCATTATTGACAGTTAATGGTCTTGTAAACAGTTTTAAGATTGCATCCTTTATACAGATACATATGCTGGTATGTTATGTTAAGTCCAAATATGTATAATTCACAAGTTTTCATTTCATGTCTCTGCTTATACAACTGTCAGAATACATCCTACTTGAAAAGATATTTTATTTTACTTTTATTAGTCTGGTTCAGTCTGTTTATATAAACACAAGGGTAAAAAACAGGTCAAAAATAAACATATGAACATCTATCTGCTTTTACATTGCAATATATTCTTAGTAAAATGAGACGACACAATCAACAATCCTTCAAATGACATATTATATTTCTTTTGTTGATGATTGTATTGAAACTCAACATGAAGGTGTATGTACAGCCTAGTAAGTTGATGAACAATTTTTTAAAAAATACAACAATATTTTCAATTGTAAAATTATCAAACTCAAAAAAGTAAAATGAAAATTGAATGTTATACTAAATCTATTGTAATTCAAGTTTGGTTAAGTTGGTCCATAAACATATTTCTGTCATTCTCCATGCATATTTCTACCTAGCAATGATTATAATGTATGTACCATTTAAACAATTTTTTTTATTTCACAAAGAATATATTGTTCTTGATATTACATGTGATATGGTCAAGTTGGTCCATACATTCCATATTTCCTTTAGCTGTATTGTAAACACGAGTGGTTGGCATGCACATTGAAAATCATCCGATCATACAGCTTCCAATTATACTTTATTCCATTTACCGTATCATGTCCTGACAAGTTGACAAGTCAAAATGCTGTAACTTTGCCAGATTTACTCTGATACTATCACAAACAGTTTGAATATAAGAAGGAGATTTATTTGAATATACAGTACTTGGTTTAGAATACCAGTAAGAAATAATATAAGATGTACTAGACCTCTGCCCCTCCTTCCTGGGAATCGGAACCATTCCTCGATATTAGACAAAATATCTTGAATAGTGCCAAGAATGTAATATGCTTTATAAACTAAGTGCTCATGTACTCTTGTGTACTTGTGAAGCCACAAGTGCTCAAGAACTAAAGAACATCATAGACGTAGAATGGAAATAATATACTAAGTACACTTTGAATAGTGAATGTAAACCTGATTCTATAAAACCTAAAACTTGTTACAGTTTTATGGTCTCACCCTGCAATACCTTAATGTATGAGGAGATACAGGTGTTAGTAAATACTTTGATTGGTGTGTAGCACATATAGTCATTGACGAAACATGGAACTTTTCATAAACACATTTTATGCACGCCATACTCCAATAAAAAACAAATATGACACCAAATTTCACATTACACATTTCTGGTACTGATGCGTGTTTAACTGTTTAATGTGGTGTGAATCCTTTGAAATTTGTCAAGTCAAAGAATAAAGTTTTTTTCCACAAAATGATTATGAATGATTTTTGAATAAGTATTCAGATTTGCATGAAACACACCATCAGCTGATAGCTACAAGTGAATTGCAGGTCGAGGTTAGACTTTGTGCAGTTTTTGTGATTCACACTTTGAAAAGCTTTGTTTATAACAGGGGTAGGTGGTCTAGTAGTTTCATTTGGTGCGAAAGATTCGAGACATTGCCTTACATTTGCTTGACGAAAAAGGAAATGTAAATCATATAATTTTTTTTATCATCTTTCATATTTATTGTAAGCACAAGTCATTTAGATACAATTACAAGGGGCAAAGCGCTGTAAGCATTAGATGTCCCCTTATATAATTAAACAATAAAGTACAATATTCATTTTAACCTGGATGTCACCTGTAAATGGTAGAATGCCTTGCAATGAAACAAAAGATAGGAGGGCTGCTGATATCCTGGGGGAGGGGTAGTATGTTGAAAAATGGAAACAGGTCATAGGCAGGAAAATATTTAGATTCTGGTTGTGTTTTCAATGAGATAATTCGCAACCAGTGAAAATAGATTATCCATTTCTAATTGGGTTAATGATGGATCCCCAAAAAGAAAAAAGTGAATTTTGTCTTGCTGAGTTCTGAAATGAGTTAATAAGTCCCCATATATCCCTAAAGTATCTGTTATTAATTTATTTCTTTGTTGTTCTTTCAGAGGGCATTTGAAAAAGAAGTGGGGAAAAGTTTCAGGGGAACCACATAAACAATTTGATGACTCAACTGAGCTCCAATTGTGGGCTTTGAGCTGGGCTTTTAAAATTAAATCTACCCTGGCTCTATTCAGATAAAGTTCTTGTTGACGAGTTAATTTTAAACAAATTGTTGAAACAACACCAGGGAACAAATTTAATTTAAGTGTTCTTTTAAAAGATGCAATAGTTGGCAAGAGCTTTTGTTCCAAGGGAACAGATCCTGGATCATTCCATAGGTTCATCATTTTGTATATTGGAGACTTATGTGGATAGTGAATAGGGATAGTGAAATCTCGAGATTTCCTTAACAATCTTGCTTGAGGGTTTATGAATGGCCTAAATATATCTGAGATATAAATAGGTGTTAAATCGTTCACGGCTTTGTACATAATTGTTTTAAAGTGGAGGATCCTCCTCTCAGTTAAGGTGGACCAGTTCAAAATGTTAAGTACTTTGGAAGTGCTGGAGCCTGGGAGAGCACCAGAGACTATTAGACCAGCTTGGTACTGGAGACTGTCGAGTCTGTTAAGGTCACAAATAGGAGCACAGTCGTAAAGGATATCACAATAATCAAATAAGGACTGAATATAAGCTGTATAGAGAATATTTAATTGTTTTGATTTTAGTCTACCCTTAAGTGCTTTTAAGGGGTTAAGAGCTGTTTGGATTTTTGCACAGATAGAATTTATATGTGCTGACCCACTTAATTTTTTATCAAAAATGAAGCCTAGGTGTTTATGAATGTCAGTTTTTTCAATTTGTTTATCATTTAAGATAACTGGTGGATAGATTGGATTATTTTTCTTAGAAAAGGTCATTTCTCTGCTCTTTTCTGGTTTAAAATCTAGTTTCCACTGTTTAGACCAGGCTTCGATTTTTTTTAGATCATTTTGAATTTGTATATGAGACTGCGGATTGTTTGGGGAAGTAGGTACAAAGAGGGAGGTGTCGTCTGCGTAAATAAAGCACTCTGAGGTCAGGTTGTCCGGTAAGTCGTTTATATAGAGGAGAAACATCAAAGGTCCGAGAATACTTCCCTGAGGCACAGAACAGTTTATGTAGTTGCTAGGAGAGGTGTCAGAACATTTGCCATTCACGGTTACTTTGACACTCCTATCAGTCAAATAAGATTTTAGAAAAACTAATAAGTTTCCTGAAAATCCATACGCTTTCAACTTTTTTAGAAGAAGGTAATGGGGGACACGGTCAAACGCGGCCGAAATATCCAAAAAAATTGCACGTGTATCATTGCCGTCGCTAAAATTGCGCCAAATTAGGTTTTGGATGGCTAACAGTTGTAACTCATTGCTGTGCCCTTTCAAAAAACCGGACTGGTATTTATACAATAAGTTATTTTCAATTAAATGTTCGTACATCTTAGAGTAGACAATTCGCTCTAATATTTTGGAAGTAATACTGAGAAGAGATATAGGTCTATAATTTCTTATGTCATTCTTATTATTCTTTTTAAATATTGGGCAGATATCCCCTAATTTCCAGTTCTGGGGAAAATTACCTGTGGTCAAAATTTTATGAAAAAGTAAATTAAGTGGCACAGAAATAGTATTCCTGCATAGCTGGAGCATTTTTATTGTAACTCCATCTGGACCATTTGCTTTTGAGGGGTCAAGATCCTTAATTATAGAGATAATTTCCTGTTGGTCAAAGTCAATGTTCTCTAATTTGTTATTGCATCTGTCAGGAAAATGAATATCATTATTCAATGCATCTGGTTCTAAGTGATACATGTTAGAGAAATATTTTTGAAATTCAGTAGCTTTCTCCTGACTGGTCAAACAGGTAGTTCCAGTTAAAGGGTTTTCTATGGTAGGAATAGGCGAGCTAAATTTTTTACCTAAAAACTTTTTTATAAGTTGCCAAAATTTGTCACTTGCATGTGTTTCTCCATTTAGACTTTCTATTTGATCTGATGTAAATTTTGCTTTGGTTTCTAAAATAAGGTTCTTGACAGCTTCAGTCTGATTCTTATATGCTATATAATGTTCAGGAAGATTGCTTTTCTTGAATTTAACATAGAGTTTTTTCTTTTTCTGAATCGCATGAGATATACTCTCATTGAACCAAGGTCGATCATTCGCTTTAATTCTTTTCATTTTGTGAGGGATATGCTTTTTAAAGATGGTAAGAATTGTATCAGTAAATTGATCATTTAAAGTGTTCATATCATGGTTTTGAGTAAAAAAATTAGCCCAGTTTATTTTTTCAATTTCAAGGTTCAAAGCATCTTTATTTGCAGTATCATATTTCCAAATAAGTTTAAATTGATCTTCCTCTCTATTTAATAGTACATCGAGTTGAGTAAAAATTGAACAATGGTCTGATGAGCCTATAGGTTCAATTACAGTCGAAGAATTTATAAGACCTGGGACATTAGTGACTGTGAGATCAATGCAAGTAGCAGATGTTGGTGTGATTCTTGTTGGTTCTTTTATTAACTGGTCAAAATCGTTATCAAAAAATATATCATTTAAAATTTTTCCATTTCTATCTTCATCCCCATTGAGAAACCACTGTTTACATTTAGCGTTGAAGTCACCATTCAAAATGATTCCATCTGCATTTCGTGATTTTGCCTGTTTTATGTTCATTGTCAAAAGTTTCATAAATTCATCTCTCTCATTTACTGACTGTGAGGGTGAGCGATAAAAAACTCCATACAAAAAGGTTTTATGTTTAATTCTCAGTTCGGCCCACAGGGAGTAATTTGTATTCAAGTCGGGTCTTTCGTTACATAAAATGTTGTTGTTTATATAGATCAAAAGTCCTCGATTATTTTGATTGTGTAATGGATTATGAAATCCATTCAGCAAGAAATTATCTTTGATTGATATAGTGGTCAAATTTCCAGTCTCACAAAGTCCCACAATTGATACATTCATTTCCTTAACTAGGTCATTCAGGGATTCAAATCGAGTACCCGCATCGGCTCCAATACTATTTATATTGGAGAATAAAATGTTTAAGTTACCTTTATATGGGACTGGCCCTGGGTGAGGATGTACATCATTTGATAATGTAAGCTTGAGCTGATTGATATTAGGTTGCAGATAAGTGCCGCTTAATCCAGGAACACTTAAAAATATCAAAGTAATGCATATTAAGGCTAGCAAAAACCTTGGGTTAACTTTCCTGTGACATAGTGAGTATATTCTTAAGACTAGAAGCAGTGGAATAAGCAGATACATGGATGCTATATTTAAAACTGTCATTCCAATTGTAACGGTAAAATATATTAGTTTAATTGTATCAAAGAGCTTTATCGATAACAGAGCGATAAGCGAAAATATCATCATAGCTATGATACAAGGCAAAGTAAATGAAAGCACAATCATATAATCATTTCAGCTGAGTAAATGATCAACAAGCAAGTTTGTAATGCACAAAATAATAATCAACATGCATTATCATTTGGTGGGAATATTATGAATAGAGTAAAACCTGTACCGTATATAGTGAACACCTATGAAGCCACAAATAGTGTTCACTGTAGGCAGGTGTCCACTATATAGTGAACACCTATGAAGCCTCAAATAGTGTTCACTGTAGGCAGGTGTCCACTATATAGTGAACACCTATGAAGCCACAAATAGTGTTCACTGTAGGCAGGTGTCCACTATATAGTGAACACCTATGAAGCCACAAATAGTGTTCACTGTAGGCAGGTGTCCACTATATAGTGAACACATATGAAGCCATAAATAGTGTTCACTGTAGGCAGGTGTCCACTATATAGTGAACACCTATGAAGCCACAAATAGTGTTCACTGTAGGCAGGTGTCCACTATATAGTGAACACCTATGAAGCCATAAATAGTGTTCACTGTAGGCAGGTGTCCACTATATAGTGAACACATATGAAGCCTCAAATAGTGTTCACTGTAGGCAGGTGTCCACTATATAGTGAACACATATGAAGCCATAAATAGTGTTCACTGTAGGCAGGTAACCACGATATAGTGAACACCTATGAAGCCACAAATAGTGTTCACTGTAGGCAGGTGTCCACTATATAGTGAACACCTATGAAGCCACAAATAGTGTTCACTGTAGGCAGGTGTCCACTATATAGTGAACACCTATGAAGCCACAAATAGTGTTCACTGTAGGCAGGTGTCCACTATATAGTGAACACATATGAAGCCATAAATAGTGTTCACTGTCGGCAGGTGTCCACGATATAGTGAACACCTATGAAGCCACAAATAGTATTCACTGTCGGCAGGTGTCCACGATATACAGAGAGGGGATTTTATAACATAAGAAGTCAATGTAAATGTGTCTTGAAGTGGTCTTCACTAAACACAATAAACTTAACTTAACCTCTTAAATACCCAGAGTGACGGATATATCCGTCACAAATGAAATAAGACTGGTGCCCAGAGGGACGAGAAAATCCGTCACAAAATTTTTCACAAAAATTGCTCTCATTTGAACAATTTTCATCCAATTTACAAAAAAATTGTTTTAAAACGTGTAGAAATGATCTCTGCCATCTAATTTTACTAAGCTGAGCATCTAAAGTTGTATAGGTATGTAATAAAATGTCAAAAGGTGGCAAAAAATGAAAAATTCTCTGGTTTCATGCCAATTTTAGAGCCTGGGATTCAAGAGGTTAAACACAAAAAAACCAGAACAACGGCAACGCCAAAGCGTAGCGAATCCCATCGAACAGAATGGCTGGCATTTTTACAAACGAAATATAGCGAATATCATAAAATAATACACATAAGAAAGGCCACCATTTTCAAAATGGTTGCTCACTAGCCAAGTTGTCATCAGAAGGAGTAATATGATTTTTCTTTATAGTATTCACATACCAAATATGAACAAAATCGCTCCACTACTTTTCGAGTTATAGTAAAAGACATTTAAATGGCGGCCATTTTTCAAAATGGCCACCTTCTATCAAAAGTGTCATTAGACAGTGTACCATGCTTATAGTATTCACATACCAAATTTGAACAAAATCGCTCCACCACTTTTCGAGTTATAGTAAAATACGTTAAAATGGCGGCCATTTTTCAAAATGGCCACCTTCTAACAAAAGTGTCATTAGACAGTGTGCCATGCTTATGTCATTCACATACCAAATATGAAAAAATCGCTCCACTACTTTTCGAGTTACAGTAAAATACGTTAAAAACTTCTACCAAAAGTGTCATTAGACAGTGTGCCAAATATGAACAAAATCGCTCCACTTCTTCTTGAGTTATAGTAAAAATCGTAAAATAACGAGTAAAGGCCGCCATTTTTCAAGATGGCTGCCATGTGCTTCTTTAATATACATATTGCACCTAAATTACTGTAAAATCGGCACTAAAATGGCCGCCATTTTTAAATGAGTGGCCATTATGAAAATAGGCTTTAGAGCAGAACTTCTACCCCCATAGGGTATATGTGTACAAAATATGAACAAAATCGGGCCAACGGTATTTGAGCTATTGCCCGGACGGACGGACGGAGGCGTTCCCTATATCCCTCCGAACTTTGTTCGCTGGGATAATAAACACTAGAGAGATATATTCCCTAATAATACAGGTATTACTGAACATTAAAATTTGGGATATATAACTGTTCAATGAATTTGTATCATGTGCACAAGGTTAACCTCATCTAGTCTGGCTCCCTCGATAATTTGGTATGAATGGGAAGAATGGATAGATCATAGTCTGAAAAATTAATATATCTGAACTTCAAACTGCTTTTTTATAACCATGAATCTATCCTCCAACTGCAGGACTATGAGATCCAGAGCCCCCTGTTTGGAGAATGACATGAATGAAGTTCTACTTTTCAATAGAAACATGTGCCCTATATACAGAAAGCTCATGATAAGAACCTCTTATAATCAACTCATTTCCCACCAATAAAAAATCTTAACAAGTGGATTCACAATTAATGATTTTGTTCTTTATTTCAGGTATTCTAGTTTCCTTGTCAGGTTCTACTGGCTTGTGGTGATCGGTGTCTTAGTGTCCGTGACTATATGTGGGACACTTGTCCTCAATTTACATGGTTTACCAAACTTTGAAGATCCAGCCAAGGTAAGGTTTTTTAGAGTTTTAGTTTCTTTTTGATATTGTAGTTTGTTCTGCCTGATTACCTCTTCACACAACATAAATTACCTTGTTTAATGTACATATTTATTATAAATTACCTTGTTTAATGTACATATTTATTATAAATTACCTTGTTTAATGTACATATTTATTATAAATTACCTTGTTTAATGTACATATTTATTATAAATTACCTTGTTTAATGTACATATTTATTATATGTATATCAATAAAAAGCATTAATGAGGTTTTGAAGCTATTCAGTAATAATGTGATGAAATTCTGAGTTGTGTCAAAAATGATTTTAAGAGCCAAAAAATCTCAATCATTCAAGATAGGACTTCAGTGCTATTAGAGAAGGAAGTGAAACCCTTGAATGAAGGGTGAACTAAACAGGAAATAGTTTCCAATTAGGATCAAAAGTGCTTCTATGGAGGAAATTCAATTTTATTGGTAACATTATTTGGCATGATGAACCACTTCAATTTTATTCCTAAAATTTTTATTATTCAAATGCATTTGATAGCTGTATTGCAAAAATAGAAGTAGAGTTCAAAGGTCATCAAAACCAAAACAATTGAGCTCAATTAATTGCTATTCTATTATAAACACTAAGACACTTATTTGAAAACAAAGGACGGGATACAGGATATACATGTTGTCATAATAAACAAAAGTGTGGGAAGTTCCTCAAAAAGTAAAATGATGATAATGTATCCTCAAAATAGAATCCAGTAAAAGAATCTGTGTAAATGGATAAACTCCTCGGTAGGACTGTTTTGTGATTATAATCACATTTATACACAATTATAAAATTATCTAAATATGGAAGTGCAATGTATGTTTTACAGGCCCATACAAACAAATACCGGTATATGGTATATGGGAATGTCTAAAACAATTAAATACCGTAAAACCTGTATATCCAAACACCTCTATAGTCTGAATACCTCTCAATGTGAACACTTTTTTCTAATTTCTTTATGTACCATAGACTAGATCATGATAAAGATCCTTGAAATATGAACAACAGTCAGTCTGAACACTTTTAATCAATGTCAAAGGGGGTTGAATTAGACCAGACACAGTATTTGTCTCTAATGGACATCAATCAATCACAAACGAACACTTATATCTGTCACATTCTACAAAGATTTTTCACCTAGATGAAGAAGTTAGAAATATTTCTCAATGTGAGAACACCTTAGTGTGATTCATATGTATAAGTAAATTCATGAAACTAATGATTTTGAACTTAATTTTCACTGAACATTAATAAAGACATAGACAGCCCTCGTTGTATATCAAAAATAGCAGATTGCATTATATAAAGACTGTCTTCTTGGAAACAGTACAGGCCAGTATAATAACTTTAGAATATATTTTCAGGGGTTTGAGGTCAGAGGCACGGCTCTCAGTAAGAGACTACAAGCAGTTGCTGTATTGGATACTAATGTACCAGAAACATATAGCTATTACCCAAAATCAAATGACTCAGATATACATAGCTATTATCAAAACCCCAATAGCTCAATTACTTTTAGCTATCATCTGAACTCCAATGGCTTAGATCAATGGCTTGGTACAGTGTTAGACAAAAAGGTACCAGGTACCCATACTGGTTATAGCTACTATCCAAGCTTCAATGGTGTGAATCAGGATGAAGGTTCAAAACAGAAAAGGAGGGATGTCACGGATCTGCAGTTCAAATGTTTCCCAAAAGATGGAGGTTATGAATGTAAGTGATATACAGTATTGTATTGTTGAGGTTCGCTCCCTCTTTCAAACAAATTGGACAAAAATTGGGGGAAATAGCATTTGAATATAATTGTAACCCAATGTTTGATTCAGGTCTGTTCCACCATAATGAGGAAAACCCCAAATAAAATATATTGAATATATTACCTAGTTCATTAGTTATTGGTGCTAATTTATGCTTTCTTGAAAATAACTAAGTAATTACATCCATATCTTCATAATTTAAATTATTTATACCAGAAAATAACATGGGCTGATATATAAGTTTTTCAAAAATTAGATGTATTAGATTAAATTAGATGTAGATGTACCATTTGATATTTTATCAGTACATAAAGGACAAGGGTAAATACTCAATATACTGATGCACTTGTTGAAAACCATCAAACATTAGTTATAATTATGTTTTGGGAAGAAGAAAAAGTAAATAGCAAGCTAATCTTAAAAAAGTCATTCAATGGTCAATTTTGTATTTGCACTGCATTGGATTTCTATAGAGAAAGCAATTTAGTGTTTACTCCAATGTTCACCTTGAGTATAATTATATTTGAGATATCTGTATGCTCTGAAACAACCATCCAAATTATCTATATCTTTAATATAGATATCTTTAAACCTTTTAATCCTAAACCAAATATAAATTTTTATTTTTGGTACCTTTGGTATAATTGTATTATATCTTTATGCTCTGAAACAACCATATTATCTAAATTATCTCAATAAATATTATGTGTGAATATTTCAGGTCCAATAATAGTTTCTCTGGAGTCTACAAATGGTGGGGACCTCTTCACAAAGGAAGCTTTACAAGCCATCTGCAAGATCCATAAGACATTAGCTAAACACCCGGCTTATATCACAAAGACACACCACTCTGTACCAAGCTATATGGAGCAGCTATTCAACACACCATGCAACAAGTTCACAAATTCTACAATCGCCCAGATGAGAAAATTATTATCGACCTGTGCACCTTTTTACAAAACCAAACAACTCAATGCAAATTGTAACAAAGATCAATGTAATGCTCCGAGCGAATGCAACAAAAACAATGCAGTCTATCAAATATTCCATTATCTGGTAGACAAAAACTTCCAAGCTGGCAATGGTTATAGCATCCTTGAATATACAAACTTGATTACACATACATTTTATCCAGAGAACCTTGACTTTTACAAGACATATTTTGATGGGCAAGACTTTGAGATAGATGGCGTGCAAGTTGTTGGTCTATATATTCAGGGAGTCAAAAATGATCTATTTGCTAACTACCTAGTGATTGATATGATGCTGTTTGGAGTAGCTTTTGCATTAATATTACTTGTAATGTTCCTTTACCTAAGATCTACTCTGATATTGCTAGCAACTATCCTTAATGTTGGATTCTCATTCATCATGGCTTACTTTCTTTACTTTGTCATTTTTCCATTCCAATTTTTTCCATTTCTCAACATTTTTGCGGCCCTGATCCTGATAGCCATTGGAGCTGATGACGTCTTTGTATATTTTGATATATGGCATGAAATGAAAAAGAAATTGACTGATGATGAGAAGTTTGGAGGTAAACACAAGACTAAGACAGATCAAAATAATGTGATAGAAAATGGCTTTGCACACTTGGCAAACAACTCAACAGCAAAGTACAATGGTGTGGACATACATGTGCATGTATCTGAGAAACCAGTCCTAAAGCTTAGTAATTCTCACTTAAAATTGCTCATTCATAAGACACTAAAACATGCAGCGTCATCTATCTTTAATACGAGTTTCACGACTGCAGCTGCATTTTTAGCCAATTTCTCAAGTAACATAATTGCAACACGCTGCTTCGCAATTTTTGCTGGAACTTGCATTCTGGTGAATTTCATCTTTATGGTAACATGGATGCCTGCAATTTTCATAATTGTTGAAAAAATGGACCAGGGATTGTTGTCGGGGGTGAAAATCTGTAAGTGTTGGGAGAAACTCCTGGCTTGGATGCAGCATATTTCCTCTCAGGTTTTTACAAAACTGATTCCAATGATTGTCATTAAGACCTGGTTCATCTGGTGTATTTTACTCAGTGTTATTGGGATCAGCGGCATAATTCTGATATTCGTCACTCCCAGATTAACGCTACCAACATCGCCAAACATCCAAATTCTCCCAAGTTCACATCCCCTTGAGAAGTATGATCTTGAGATAAAATCAAACTTTGATTTTGAGAATGCTCAACAGGGGGTTGGAGGACAGAAGGTATACATATATTGGGGTATCCAGGCAAGTGATAATGGTAACTGGTTAGATCCAGATGACAAAGGTACTTTACAGCTAGATTCCACATTCAACCTTTACTCTCCAGAATCTCGACAGTGGATGATCAAGTTTTGTAAAAACTTATTGAAACAAAACTTCATCGAAGAATCATTCGCAAAAACTGCAAAATGTAGCATTGAAATTATGGAAGAAATGATTGCAATGGATTGTTCCGTCCCAGGTGCTGTTCCAAAATGCTGTGGCCATAGATTCCCTGTAAATTCTACAATATTCAAATATTGTTTACCTAGGCTCTGGAAGTTTACAACAAAAAATGTTGGACAGCCTTATTTTGACAGCTCAAATCATGCGCCTGTTTATTACTTAAGTGTCCAGACTAATCAACCATTTGTAAATGCTTTTGATCAAATGGATAAACTGTTCACAGAAGCTGACAAATTTGTAAAAAATGAAATTGCAACTGCCCCAAAAGGTTTAAATAATGGCTGGCTTGCTGGATTTTTTGATTTTTACAGTTTACAAAGTTCTATTGCATCAGGGACTTACACCACAATGGGTATAGCCATCGGTGTTGCTTTCATTGTTATGCTTCTGACCTCACTCAATGTGTTTATCACTCTGTACGCTATTGTAGCAATCACATTTGGTATAGCAGCAACAGTAGGTGTATTGGTTCTTCTTGGTTGGGAACTGAACATTTTAGAATCAAGCATTATATTTCTTTCGGTAGGATTCTCAATTGATTTCACAATACATTATGGAGTGGCATATCGCTTCTCACAAGGAACCAATAGAATAACCAGAGTCACGGATTCATTCCATATGATTGGTTCAGCTGTTGCTATGGCAGCATTTACAACATTTATCGCAGGTGCAGCAGTTATGCCAGGACGGATATTAGTCTACAAAAGACTAGGTATCTTTTTAATGTTAGTGATGAGTGTTAGTTGGATTTACGCTACATTCCTTTTCCAGTCTTTATGCAGGATAATTGGTCCTTTGGGCAACTTTGGAAGTTTAACTATGTGTTGGACAAAGACAAAGGTGTCCGAGATAGTGAATAATCATTTTCAATCTGCATGGTTTTTTGCAAGAGAACCCGAAATTATGAAAAATGAGAAAAGAGAAACAGAACAACCCAATATACCACTATTGTATACTACGGAATATCTAACAAGTCTATGATATTTTACAATTTTAGTTACAATCCTAGAGGCTTACAATCATAGTATAATCAAAATGTGTATTCACTTCGTATGATAACCCACAGTATTAATTATATAGCCAATTCTTGTATCAATGTATGTATATGAATTTTAACTGTAAATAAATGTTTTCTAAAGACAAAAATAAAAAAACATTTTGATGTTGTTTTGTTGCTTACTATCCTTAATCACATTGTCTTAGGTCACCATGGCTAATCCGTATATACACTGTACATGTAGTGATACTGAATGGTGGGATGAAAAGGTTATTTGAGAATATTGAGAACAGTATTTGACAAGATGCAACTGTGCCAATTCAGTTAATAAATAAATCCCTCCAATTTTGACGTAACAAGATTTGGATTTCAAGCAGAACTGCTTTATCCATCGTGCATAAAATTATCAGTATTTGATTTGTCAACTAGATGGAACTACTGAGCGATATAATTCACATTTTCGATCTTTGTAAACATTGAAACATTTAAGATTAATGATTGTCATAAAAGGCCTGTAAATATGTTTGCACTAAATTACAAAGTTATAGAAATGTTCCAAACATTTCTATAACTTCTGTTTCATTATTTTCATCATAAGTTTCAACCTATTTAATAAGACTACACAGCAAATGAAAGTGATTATTATAATCATTTGTAGAATTTAGTTTGATATATGGGACTACTTACTTATACCACTGCAACATGGCTCCAGTAATTGCCATACCCCCTGGAACTTGGAATGACATTCGACCAATCACATTCTGTCGCTCGCCAGAATCCGGATGGAATGCAGATTCGAATAGTTTTTTGGCGTAAACTATTTCTTCACGGCTTACACCAGGAGGTTCCTCACCACGTCTGTAAAGGGAACCCCATTTTAATACTATAACTTTATTTTATTTGTATTTTAATTGTACATCACAAAGAATGGGGCTATTTGACAGGATAGACAGGAATATATAAGCGCAAATGCCAAAGGGAAGGGTAACTAAAAACTTTAAAGAAACCCAACAAGAAAAGCAAACTGAGTAATCTGTCATTAGAAAAGTAGACCCAAAAAATCCCAAAACCATATGATCTTACTTGAAGATATTCGATGTACAAAATAAGTACTTTTAAGTATAGTGTCCATTTTTTATTAATTGTAAACTTAATAATTAATAATCAAGCATGAGTAACATTCATTATTAAAACCATTACATTATATTTAACATTCAAAACCATGAGCAAACTAAAGTCGAAACAACAAGCGAACACCCCCCTGGCCAAAAGTTCTTTCAAAATCATGCAGTTTTTCACCATTCTGAGCACTTTTCAAGTTATTTTGGGCCAAAGTTGTCAAAAGTGAACCCTTTGGACTTCACAAAACTGTAAAAATCCATATTTTTCACCAAGATTAATATACTTTGCAGAAACTTTGAAAGGGACTGTCAGCTCATTGGTTGCAATGACCAACCGTAAAAGATGGAAAACGATACCTGAGATCAAGAATGGTGTTGTTTTAATGTTTACCTATATTGCTCCACAAGGTCTCTTGCAGCATCAAGCTTTTTGTCACTAGTAAAAATTGTACGTGGATCTGTCACCCAGAAGAAATGCTTGACTCTCCCTATGAATGTGGATTGGTCCCATAGAGGTTTGTCGATGTTGAGCCTACCATTTGACTCTGCCATGGTACTGCTTACTGAAAAATCAGAAAACATAAGGGAAACAAATATAAAAGCGATCTTAGAATTTTGACTGTAATAAAATATATACCTATCCAATTAACAATTTTTGTATATGTACTTTGTTTAATTGATGTAGTTTCCGACATCCAAAACATGTAAATAAACGGAGGCATTGTTTATGTATGTTTGCATCTGCATTAAGCCTGGTTTTCCAGTTTGTGCATCCCTTAATATCACATTCTCCTTATATATTCCTTCGCAGTTAAAATTATGTTGTTTTACTAAATTATCAAAGACTCAGAATCATTCAAAGGTAAATTATCAAATGTATCCTGTGTCTTGATTATTGACTCAATGTACATATGTTTTAAATTTATACCAGGTCATTCGCCACCAGCATATCCTTTATGTCTTATTAAGTGCTAATTCAATTAAGTAATATACACATTTTTACAACTTTTTTGGCTCACATGGTAACCATATGGAATCACCTACTCATTCATTTGCACCTGTCTACACTTTTTAAACAAATGAACACATCCATCAATCTAAAACAATAACGCAGATGCGAGTAAGTAGTTACCAGTTTCGTCACCAGGTGGCTCGTTCGGGTCAGATAACATGGCGGGTATAGTAGAAAGTTCCCTTTAACTTAAATTACATCTGTTTTGGTGGTTCAATTTTTGTATAACCCTTATGCATCTAATAGTTATGCAAATTAAAATATGTCCAGTAAAAGAAAATGTTATCTGTCCAATACAAGAAAAGATATTTCACTTTTTGTGATTTTGTAGCATGGGGTCTATGAGGAATCAACCCGAGCTAGAAGTTACATTTTCAAAAAAAATTAAATTTTCAAAGTTGATAAACAAGTTTCGAAACCATTTTTCTAGATGTACTTTTACATGTAGATTTCAAATATGACATCACTTTGACTGAATTTTGAATATTTAATGACGTAAATCAAGATTATTTCTATTCGCATCTAGTCTATTGCCATATCTATTTTAGGGGGTCCATATTGGTAGTTTATTCTGCAAATATGAGTGTTTCCTTTTTCAGTATAGCATACCATTTTTAGATATAATAATATATATATAATATTCCATTGACTCTCATGTCATCAGAACCTCAGGAATGGGAATGCCCCACAATGTAAATAGGTCCATCCGAACAGGATTCGCTTGTATAAGTTTTCCTATGTACTGTACTCAAATAGTACCAATACTGCCCAATAAGTACTCAAGTTGAAACATATATAATCAAGTTGTACCATATACTCAAGTTGCCCCTTATAAACTCAAGCTGCACAATATGTACCTAAATTGCACCATATATAATCAAGTTGCACCATATACTCAAGTTCAAACAACATAATCAATCATATACGAGTACATTTTGTGAAGCATGAGTACATATGGTACTAATCATTACCCAATCAGTGTAACTCTTTTACAGACATTAGAACATTCAATTATCTATTAAGTTTCAAAGTCTTATTTAACTGCATTAAATGTTGTTTCAGCTATGTGTAACCATAGTAACTAGAGTAAGAATGGGCTTTTGAAGTATATTGAATATTTTTGTCATTTCTGTTTGATTTCATGTTAATGACTCAGCACACTTGTTGGATCTATAAAATGCTTATCCAATCATTGTCAAAGAACACTCACTTGTCCCTTTGTATGCTGGTGAGTTCTTAATACAGCAGCCCATTGTGTCATAACATCCCAATAAAATGTTTATAGAAAAGTGAGTCAAAGAGAGTCGGAAAGTGAGTCAGAATTTAAGATTCACACACATCCAAGAATTGTCCCCTTTACAACAAAATGAAGTTAAAAAAGAATTGTTATCATATAATTGGTAGCAACTGGAGACACAAGTCAGACTATTGTCAGGAAAATCAAAGACACATATGGAGACAAGGCCATGTCAAGGCAAACTATTTAGAGATGGTACATATACAAGCACTGCAGTGGAGGAAGCGAGAGGGTCCTGGATTTTCAGTGATCTGGAAAACCACAGACTGGCCACCCTGATAACAATATCAATTCTTGTAGAAGCTTAAATGTGGTCAGTAGATCATGATGGACACTGAAGGAAATATAAGTGCCATTACAGATGATACATAAAGATGGATGATCAGGATGATCAGGAATGATGTGGATTATAGTTTAACATAAATGGTCTACCATCATCAAATATTGAAATATGTATTTCACTGGCTACCTGTTCATAATAATATTATGATATCAATATGCTTAAAAAGTCAATTCGGTGTATATGCACCCTAATGCGGGAGATTTGTCATATCTTGAAATGAATTTCGATCTATGTAACACAGTTTTAAAACCTTATAGATAATTGATTGATCTTCCTTTGTACCAAATTTCATACAAATTGGATGAGAGTAAGCATGCCTATTAAATTTTGACTATTACTTTTGAATCACTCCTCGTATATACTCAAGTTGCACCATATACACTCAAATTGTACCATATGTACTCAAGCTGCACAAAATGTACTCAAGTTGGAACATAAATACTCAAGTTGCACCATATACACTCAAATTGTACCACATGTACTCAAGCTGCACAAAATGTACTCAAGTTGAAACATATATACTCAAGTTGCACCACATATACTCAAGTTCCACCATATGTTCTCTCAAGTTGTGCATTGTCTACTCAACATAAAAGTACTCAAGTAATGTCGCTAATGTTATTTTGATTTAACAATGGAATAAGTATGTACATGTAAAAATATTCAAGAAATCTTGTAAATTGACTTAATTTTAAGAAAAATATACTCACAAGTTGCACTTTATGTTTTCAAATTACAATCACAGTTTCTATTTTTACAACTACTGTAGCTGACTTTGTGCAGCTGATTTACCTATTTTCCTATTAACACTACAGACTCCAAAACTTTCAAGGGCAAATGTATGAATCTTACAAAGTCAATAAAGGGCAAACTATTGGAAAAAGTCATTGAAATAAAATTATTAATAAGAATGTTACTGCATAGTTTTTAATTATTGAGATCTATTTATTATGAAACAGTAGCTAATCAATGTGAATAGTGCGATATGGGTAATTATAAATCATTTAAAACTGGCAAGTATGTGTACAGGCTGAACCCCAAAATGGGTAGAGATTAAAAGGTGGATTGGATCGAGTGGATTGGATTCATGTAAAAGGTGGATTGGATCGGGAATCTTCAAAATGTCGAATTTCTTATAAAAATAATTCTGTTGATCTCCCTCTTAACAATTTCCCTCTACAGTATTACAGGTCCCTTTTGAGAAATCAGAACAAAGCAATGACAAATACATACTCCAATTAGTTCATGGACACTCTTAAAGGAATATTCCTTGCCAAACCATCTCTCTCCTCATATGGTAGCTATAACCATATATATGCTTGCCATGTTTAGCAAAACACGCAAAAATATTTTGATATGGTCAAATTTGATCACTTAGAAATGTGATGCTCAATTCCAGTAAGCTGCCATCTTTTAAAATTTCACACAGGAAGTGATGTAATCGACTCTCAACTTTGCATATAGCATTAGGTGAGGAGCTATTAAGAATTACAAAACCAGCTAAATATTCTTTTTCAACTTTGTATCTTATTTAATCCTTCTGAAAATCTCTTCTTTTATTCTAAGTTGACAAGCCCTGATAATATCTTCGGACAGAAAGTAATGATCACTTGTCTAGAAGTGATTTTGTGCTACTTTCCTATACTGTTATGGGCAAGGTTATAGAAGTTGAGAGTTGATGACATCACTTCCTGCAAGAAATCTTAAAAGATGGCAGCTCACTGTAAATAAGCATTAGATTTTTAAATGATCAATATTGACCATATTAAAACATTTTCCCATGTTTTGCTAAATATGGAAACTATATATATATGATTATAGCTACCATATCAAGAGAGAAAGGGTATGGCAAGGAATATTCCTTTAAGAATTTAACTGCTTTCCTTGTAAATCAACTTTTGTAAGACATAGATCTTTAGAAAAAGAAAACCTGTCATTCAAATTGATGTGTGAATGTTCACAAAGCATTTCTGGCACGTTCAGTTTGGATTGAAAACGGATGATATGGATCTTCAAACCAGTCTGACTTATGATTTATGAAATGTCTCAAATTACACTTGGAATGAATAAGATCGTATATCAGAAAGCGGGAACCAGGTCATCCTTCTAGCCCACCCAAGCAAAATAATATTACATCTATTATTTGACATTGTGCAAGTGAAGAGAGCACCAATCTTCCTAGAGGGAGATCAATAGAATTTTTTTAAAGGAAAATCCATATTTTGAAGATAGCCAATCCAATCCACCTTTTACATGAATCCAATCCACTCGATCCAATCCACCTTTTAATCTTTACCCCAAAATGCACCACTCTAATCTTTGAATATCAATGTTAAAGTCAGTGATCTCCTTAGGATTTTTTTCAGGTGGGTGCAATTTTCAGTGTGCAATTATTTCTGCACACTTGCCTTGCAATATAATAAAGCAATGTCACGGTCATATCAATCTTTAACCAACCACGGACTGGTCACGAGTCCTTGCAATATAATATAGCATTGTCACGGTTATACCAGGTTTTCACGATAACACAACCATAGTCATGGCAGGATCATTATGAAACTAAAAACACTAATAACATGGTGAAGGTTGTGCCTGGCATAAGTCTTGCATTATAGATATTAATCTCCATGAGCGTGTGAAAGCTGAGGGGAATTTACTATTTTGACCATGTAATGGAATATTAACTTGATGGTAGAAATGTCGGTCAGCCACAGAACTATGATCAAAACATAATCTGTATATAACATCACAGGCACCAGTATCGCCACCTTTTAACAGTCGGATTAGAACGTTCTAAAGCCCTTAAGCCCTTTAAAATATTTCTGAACGACTAATAAGAAGATCTGCTTTCCTTTGCTTTCAGTGTTGGGATACTGGGGCCTGTGTATAACATAAGGGGGGGGGGGGGGGCTTCTTTTATGAGAGAAATCTATTTCGGTGCATTGATTGCGTGAATTGTGAACATATGTAGAGTGATGCAGTCCGAACCGTGGAACTGAATACAAACGACAACTAGTTCTAGTTATTACCAACGAATTTTACTTACCATATATGAAGCACAAAGTTGAAATAACATAAAAATAGAAGACAACTTACCAAACTTTTTAAATTTTTGTTTTTCAGATTTCCGGGTGTGTGTTTCCGGTGCGAAGTACGTCACAAGTTTTTGTGTAGTCTACTCACGGAAGTGAAAAACGTGTGAACACATAATCTTAAAGTCGAAATATTGAAGACGTAGACGTTATCTCAACGAAATGTAAGTAATAATTATTATAAATAACATGTGAAATTCAAAATGAAGGCCCAATTTGTAAGGTATTGATATATTATATCTTCAAATCTTCATTTTAGTAAATATATCCCTATTATCGCCCATAAATGTAATATTTAATTTAGATATTTTTTCAGAACGTTATGACCATAGATACCTAAGATTTTCGACATCTAAAAAGTCACTCGACTTTTTTGCAAAAAACCTTCCAAAAAGTAACAGTCGCGTGGATTCACGTTGTCGTACTTAGAATTTTTTTCATGGCCTGAGTTCGTCGCTCACATGCTAAATATAAGAGTTAGCTGACGTTTGGGAGTCTGACTTACCTTCTAAAGGTGAGAACCCGAATCTTAATGAAACCATATCACCTTTGTTGCGTCGATGATGATGCATAAACACAGCATTTGATAGAAATTAGTGTAAATGCTTTTCCGACTTTTTCATTTTTCATCAATGTTGACTTCCGGGGAGGCGTTGTAGTTATCACGAAATAACGCATTGACCCTTGAACTTTACTTTGTTGACGTGTCAACCAAGCATGTGTGGTGTGAAAATTAAAAGAATATTAAGCAATGTTCTACATCCGCCAAGCTAAGTGAAGTAGCCAATATTTAAAATTACCAATTTCAAGTGAAGTACGCAATGAACGAAACTGCGTGATCTACACTCCCACTATTGGTCTGAACGAAATGCTATGTAGAAATATGAGCCATCTGCTGTATTAGTCGATTAATAGAGTAAGACCTGTTGGTGATGCTTTATAATTTAGACCAAAACATTAGAGAACAAACGAACCTGTAAATCGTGAAAACAACGAACAAATATTCGGTTTTCACATATGTTCGGTAATTTTTCGTATTGAAACTTCCGGAACTTACGAGGAAATCATTCATTTTTACCTCTTGGATGTTGTGACAAATGCTCCATGGTTGACGGAACAAAGGCAAAAGGTGATATGGTTTCATTAAGATTCGGGTTCTAACCTTTAGAAGGTAAGTCAGACTCCCAAACGTCAGCTAACTCTTATATTTAGCATGTTAGCGACGAACTCAGGACATGAAAACAATTTTACAAAATGATCCACCGCCTAACTTATGCACCATCGAACTCGGTAATATTGTACAAGTAACTATTAATTACCATATATTCCTATAGAAAACTGGGCTTGCTTTTCAACATTTCAAGTGAAAATTCTCTAGGGAGCTTTTGTTTTTCTGACGTAATTTCTTCTAAGAAATCGGTGACGTGATAGGTTCAGTTCATCTTATTTCGAAAGGGGTGTCATCTATTGAGAATATTTATTTTCATCTTGTCCAGTCCTATATACAACCTGCCCTTATCCTTTTCGCTTGTAAAACCGCGTAGTAATGTTGAAATTATGGAATAGATTCTCTGAGAGTGGCAACATGTCTGCATCTCTACCATCTTGCATTTGACACCCCTCGTTTTGGGCGAGTCCAAGTAAACCGCACATCCGGGTGATTAGAAAAGGGACATTTTTTTTAAAAATCGAGCGGCAACAAAGATACTTCTGGTCAAACTGGGTTTATGACGAAACTTATGAAAGAATCAATGAAAGGTAAGTGGTATACATTAGGCGGATGCAAAAAATTAAACGTGGCGCCAATTTGAAACTTCAGAATGCTTTCTGTGATTCAAAATCACAAAAAAAGTCGAGTGACATTTTAGATGTCGAAAATCTTAGTATGTATCCAACAGACAGAATATAATATTCGGTCTGTTATGATTGATACCCTTTGCATGGAAATCTCGGCAATATTTTGTGCACATAAATTTCTGTTTATTACAAGGATGTTCACCTGGAACAAACAAACAAAAAAACCTTGAAACCCAGGGAAGGGGTCTTTAACCTGTAATAAGCACCAACTGTTAAATCAAATAAAAAATTCCTTGTCATCTCAAAACAACAATGAAGTACATCATTTGATAGATAATTGGTACAGCAATACATACATGCCGATGCGATCAGAGTCATACAAGTCAAGAGTTCATGAGTAGGTCAAGGACGTTTGAGTTCACAAGATCCAAATAAGATATGCAAATTTTTGAACTTTGACTTTTAACTTCAAACACAATGAAAAGCTGAGGTAATTGCCAGTTGGCTGTCACAAAATAACCAGATATTCTGGCTAGTGCTAGCTGCTTGTAAAAATTCCAACCCAAGTAGCAGAGCATAGACTTTGGCTAAGAAGTTATTACCCTTTGCTGATACAGGTTTGTTCAGACGAATTGGATCTGTTAATAGACCTTCCAGGTATATTATGGCTGCTGAACCCACAGGCCCTGGGTTGCCTAATGCCGATCTGTCTGTTAATACCACTGTATCCTTCTTTGGAATGTTTTTGAGGATTTGTTACAAATTATGATACAAATACCTTATTCAAGTGTCTCATTATTTTTACCTTTCTGATCACTAATCAACAATATGCAAGCAATCCTGTGGTGGCAAGAGGCCAAAATGATGAATTTTACATGGCGGGAGTGTATCTGTCCAAATCTGCATGTGCTTCCGTGATTTCATAAATGTGACGTCAGCACTACAATGATATTTGGAAACACTTCAACCAAAAACAAGATTCAATGTCTCATCTTGAGGAATATTTATTGAACTTCTGACCCTTACCTCAAAGTAAAGATCAAGACACGAAAGAGGTCATAAAAATATTTTTAGAAAAAATATTAAATATTCTATTGATATTTTTCAACAATACATTTCCATCATGATTATCCAGAATTGGCAGTCGTGCGGCACATATAACTGACGCTAAATGATACTGACTTATCCCATACCAAGACTATAGTCCTGTAACGAGTGCATTCTTTTGCCTGTACGATTACAACTTGGGAGAATTATCTACACCCCTTACACTTAAGATACCTACTTCAATAGATTCCTGGGTATTTTAGCATTCTTTTCGTGTAGTTGAATCCACAATTGTTTGGGTATATCGGCAGAATGGGAACATTTTCTTTTTCATCGAGAGATATTCCATCACTTTCCAAGATGGCGGTTGGATTTAAAAGGGGATTCCCCGTTTGACTGACCCAGAAGTGGCCCGGATAACCAATAAATGGAAGAATTCGACGGTTGAAATAAGTTAAATATTACACGCAAATATTGCGATCAAAAACGAAAATTTCTTTGTTCTGCCGATAAACCCAGACAACTACACGAAAAGAATGCTAAAATACCAAGGAATCTATTGAAATAGGTATCTTAAAGCGGCTCTAAGGTCTGTGGAGAGAAAAATGGAGAAATTTTACCTTTTCTGAGCTATCGGGGTGAAGTTTGGTCCAACATCTTCTTCCTTATTCCTATTTTATAAAAATGTATGCATATGGCAATATTCATCAACCAGTAGAACTGGCAAATCGTTTAGAATCTACAATTCCATACAAGGAGTCCCACTCATAGATTTTTCAAATTCTTTCCAAGTCGACGGACGTCGAAACACCTAGCGGGTGAAATTGAAACTAATTTTTCTGGCTGCTCGAATCGATAAAATCTCTGATAGTGTGAGTCTTTTTATGAAATCTTTCTGATAGAAAACACTTAATTAATATTAGAAAGCATTAAATGTTGAATCCAAAGCGTAATCTGAAATAAAAGTGAAAAAACATTGCGCGGACGTCAGAGAACAAACTTCCGGTTTAATAAAAAATGGCGGACGTCGAAGGAGAAATTATGACGAAGAATTAGAGGATTTTCCTTTGCCATTATCGATCGTTATAAGGTATGTGCACAAATTCTAGTAGCATACATGGAAAATAGATACATTTTTAAAGGCAACAACATATTCAAAGCTTTCATTTTACGATAGGCCGAGGATCATTGGATACGACTCGGCAATCGATATTCCCACTTTAAGTGTAAGAAGCGTAGAAAATTCTCCCATGTTGTAATCGTACAGGTAAAAGAATAAGACGTTCGCAGGACTATAGTCCTGGCACGGGATAAATATTGACTAGCGTTTCTTTTTATATACTTACAGAGATCATGGCAAAGAGTCTAAGGAGCAAGCACAGGAGGAAAATGCGTGCTGTGAAGAGGAAGAAGAATGAGCCAAAAGAACTGGCCAAACTGAAGAAAGTGTTGGGTTTGGGAGAGAAGAACCAGGATGTGGAAATGAAGGAACTGTATACAGGTCAGAGAATGAAATAGAAAATAACATTGAATAATTAAGATTTAAATTGTATTTGCCATTTTCTCGTATCAAAAAACCTGTACATCAAATCACCTCTCTAATATGAAGACCTCCCAATATGAACACTTATCTGGTCCCAATGTTAAAAACTCAAAATGTCAACAGCTGCCATTGTGAAGAATCACAATTAAAATCACAAATCACATTAATTTGTTTTTATTTATTCATAGTTGTGGATGCTGAGAAAGTTAAAGAAGACCAAAAGAAAAGACAAGGTAATTAAATATGCTTGATTTTATTTTCACTGTCTGATTGAAACCTCGTGTAGGTCATTATGTTTGAGTTTTCAATCTCTCACTTGGCTTCCTCATTGATAAGAGATAAAAGATCTTTATTAAACATTATTTTAAGCAGGGGTCAAACAGTTTCAAAATTTGGTTTGGTTTTTGACTCCCTCAGTTCAGTTATTTTCGGTTCTTATCGCATATTGGATTCTGCTATGATAAAGAATAAAAAATGAGCATGATCGCTTTTGCATTTTTATTTACCACCAGTGATGTTAACGTCAGGCATCTTTTTCAATCTTTTTGCACCTAATACTCCCTCTTGGGGGTCATAGCCACTACAACCTGTAAATATGTTACATTGATTTTAATAAAAAAAAAAAAAATCTACATTATCTACATTTACGAACAGTAAATATTGTTTGGTTAAAGCCTGAACCAAACGATTTTTCCAAACGGAATGAACTGTCAATGTTCCTATCAACTGTCTGACCCCTAATTTTGAAATGGTAAAATTCCACCAGTATTTAAAAACATTGAATACCCTTTCTATTCATCCCCATTTAATTGAGCTGTATATTCACTTTTTCAGAAGCCATTGAAGCTAACAAAGGACCAGCCAAGTTTCATCCAAAAACTCTCAAAGACGAACATGGAAACTATCCTAACTGGATGAATCAAAGACAAATCAAAAAAATGAAAGGAAAATCTAAAAAGAAAACTAAAAAGAGTAAAGCCTGGTGATGTGGATGGTCAAGTGGAAATTATGTCAATCACTGCAAAACATTTTGTGTACAAACACGTAGCAGATGTAAAACAGAGACTTACAATATATGATGTACACTATGAGAAAGTATATATAATACAAAATGTCTTATCCCATACTTGGAGGTGTTTTTGTTTATAAAGCAGGATTGTAAAATGTAATTTCAAATGGGGGTAGCCAGAGTAGGCAGATTGTATCATATCTCACTATGGGAAAATTTAAAAATGATTTTAATGAAAAAATGTTGTTATGATTAGTATGTATAAAAGAAAAGATTGCTGAAAGAATATGAAATCTTTTAGACACTATCAGCTCTATTTAATGAAGAAACTATCTGAATTCAGAAAGTTATAGGAGGATTTTCAAACAACCCAATCAACTACAATCTATTCTATAGTGCAAACAGCAAATAGGATAACCTATATTTAGTTTGTTCTTCATATTGGGATTATCCTAAGGCCAATATAATGTATCTGTCTCGGGACTAGAGGTTCCTGAACCTCTAATACGATAATATCTACTGTACTCCCAGTGTTTTTCGTGTGCGATTTAGTTTCGCGCTTTCCGCGATTGTGGTAAAATTAATATTTGCGAAATTGTAAAATAAATCCCTGGGGATTTGTGAATTTTTTGATTACCTGGGACTTCATTGCATTTCGTGTTTTTTTTAAATTTTTGTCGAGTGTTTTTAGGCGATAAATGGGATAACTAAGTAACAATGTCAGTTACAGTTGCTTATTAGATCAAATAAACAAAAAAATTACGATGTAATAGAGGTTAATGCATGTTGTTGACCAAGATGACATAGTAGTAGGTGTACTTTGTGAAATTTGCGAAATTTGATAGCTGTAAAATCGTGTTTTCTCAAAATTCGCAAAATTGAAACTTGCGAAATTAATCGGGAGTATAGTATGTACATGTCCATTAATTGCCCATCAAATTGCAGATACATTATAGAATGCATCATTGCTTTAGAACTTGTCCTATTACATCATGATTCAAAACTACAGTAAAACCTGTGTAATCCGAATGCCATTGGGACCGGCTTAAAGCGTTAAGATTAGGTGTTCACCTTTCGAGGTTTTTGCATTTGCGAGATTTGAGATTATTGAGAAATGTGAACACATTCTAGGTACATATTTATAGTTCATTTGACACAAGCCACATAGCTTTACGGCAGTTCAGAAATTTGAAAATTCGATTCAAATGAACCTAGTCATGCTGGAAAGCCCTATTATAATGAAGACCATTCAAGTTTTTCTCAAAGTTTTGATGTCAGAAAGTTTGAGCAATTTTGTATGAAACATGTGAAATTTTGTGAAACGCGTTCAGATTAGACAGGTTAATTTTTCAAATATGACTGTTCATGTGAGTGGTGATTCACATTTCAAGTTTCAAATTCACATTTTAACATGGGGGTCAATGGGAAGAAAAAATGGGGCCAAAAGTGTTCAGATTGGGAGATGTTGGGATTAGACAGGTGTTCAGATATACAGGTTCTACTGGATGTAATTGTCCACACACAAGAAACAAGGTGTCCACACTCAATAATCAATAGACCTTCCCAATAAATTCTGCCACCTTGGTAGATCAAAGAGGCAATGATATATTGACGCGATTGATCGGAGATGTCATTGGTTGTAGGTCTCAATTTGTCAAATTAAAAATAGGAAACACTTTGGCATACTTGATGCCATACTTGATGCACTTGTTGCTTATTTTGAAAAAAACATAACATTTGACATCATCGAGTTAGCCAATATATCACAGATTCTTTGATGTACCAAAAGGGTTTATTTGAGAAAATGACAACATAACAAAACACAAATTTGCATATTTAGATAAATGTATTTTAGAATTAGACTTAACAATAGACTTAACAATAATTTAATATCACATTTCTTATGTGGAATGATTTCATTTTGCCTGTACAATAACAATTATTAATATATACCAAAAATCATCACTGAAAATATGTTTCCTTTATCATTATAATAATGACCTTGACTATCAATTATAATGATAGATCCTAATAAAACAATTTCATATTTCTGAAATGCATTAATATCAATAACATGCATTTAACTAATCCGTGCCTCTTAAACTCTACCATTTAAACCCTGTGCACAATATTTTCCATAAAAACAACTGCACCTAAAAGATGTACTACATCTTTGGTAATACCCTAATTAACTTAAATTACAACATTTCATGCAGCACAGTATAACTTCTAATAAATTGCCCAATGACAATACAGTGCATTTGTTATTTTCATTTCTTGAGATGTATCCCAATGTGATAAAAAAAAAAAATTAACTACTTAATATTTAGTAAAGATGTCTCTCTTATTTATTCCAAAATACACTGTGTCAACTATCATATGATAATGGATTCAAGCTGAACACCTTCCTAAATTTTTACACAAAATATAGAATTTAACAGCAAATTATATTCATAAAAATATAATATCTTCTTTGGTTAAGTTAACCAATAACTAATCCTCACCTATTTTTGGATTCTAGCTTTCTAGCTACACCCCCAACATGTTGTTTCCTCATCAAAAATAAATTTACTAGATAATGATTACACAACACAAAATGTTCAATTATGTTCCATATCATAAGCAACCCAACTGACTAAACATTTATGACATTGATTGTAGTCGCATGTTTTAACTTATCATTGGTTTACTGGATGATAGTGTCAGACACATGTAATGAAACATAGTGAACAACCACATATGGCCATGATAGCTCATGTGTTCCAAGTGTACTATGTACACTTATGTTAGTTTGATAATTCATACATTCTGGTGATATTTGGTTTTTACAAACTGAAGTACTCCATATATCACACGACTTTCTCATAAAAGAGCATTGCTGGGCAAGAATTTTCTCAATTTCATTCTCATGCAGAATCATATTTTAAGTACAACTGTATAATACAATATACTAATATAACAATAATTTCTCATATTTGATTTAATATGTTTAGTTATTCGTGCTCATAAAATTTCGGAAATCATAATAGCTTAGCCCAATAAGTTAATAAAAGGCAGGTTAAGCTACACATTATAAGAGAACTTGTACGTGAATTTATAAAATTATGGTCATCCAGGAATTTAGTTCTCCCCTTCGTAGTATTTAGTTGCCCAATTGAGTATAAGTATTGTATAAGGAAAATGTCTGTAATTAGGTCCCTGGAAAAACTATTGCAAGGGGCAAAGTAATCAATAGGGGACATCATATTTCATATTCATGTACAAGTTCTCTCAAAATCTTGTAGCTTAATTTCCTTAATTTATCTCTGGCAAAGCTTATAATTGCACGAAGACTTTGATCTACAGATCTAGCATATACAAAAATATTAGTCCATGTGCGTTTTGTACAAGTTTATAATTTGACTAATATTATGGATAAACATTCCAAGTTTACCTCTCTAAAAGTGTATAATCTATATAAACAATATTACAAACCCAACCATCTATCAACAATATTTGATTGGACTTCGTTCACCTAGTTGTCTATAAAAAATTCCTATTGAGGGGCAAGGTCAGTATATTGGTATTCACCCAAAAATGTAATAAATCACAACTGGGGGGGGGGGAGTAGAAAGTCCATTCTTTTTATGAGGCCAACATTCAGCTTTAATGAATCAAAAAGTCAATTTATGTTCAATTTCCTTTTCGGGGATGGGTCTATCAAGTCAATATGGAATGTAATTACTAATTACTGTAGTTATGTTTTTGGACTATTTCAAGAGGGGCAATAACCCAGAATTCAAAAACAAATCTATCTTTATTATGTAAAGATGACTCTCTAGAGACAAGAATTCTAGGTAATCACCCTTTCTGGTAACATCAAAATAATGACCTGGCCCCTTGCTAAAATTCCTCCATATAATATGTCCCCATAGTATGAAATAAAGTTCTGTATATTCCTAGTGGTGATTATGCGGCTGATTCTTCGTTCATCAGAGCTTCCTTGTCGCTACCATTCCCTGAGCTGACAGACTCATTAGGAGAACTTTTCTGTTTTAAGGACAGACTGAAAAACACAAATTACAAAATTTACATTTAAATTACTACACTGATGTATTCATTAAAATTTTCAGACAAATGTCTATTTCATCGATAAATGCTTGAAAACTAAAGATATTGATATTATTTATACATCACAAATCATTTAACATGTAAGAAATTAGGATGTATTTTTTCCAGCTAAGGATCAGGCAGAATTTTTATACCAGTTATTTGCATTATTGCCAAGACAGATAGACAGAGAAGTTATTTAAATCCATTCAAAACTTATTAAATGAGATATATTTGACTAGCTAATCAGTCACAGCAACCATCACTTCAAAGCCTAAAGTTAAATAATTATGTACATGTTTATTCAATTGACTTGACAAAACACATTATGAAAAAAATACACCATGTAACTGCATTATTTTGATATAAATCAAAGTAATCCTTCTACATGTGGTTATAATTCAAAAAATTATGAAAAACCAAAAATGTACACAAATGTAAAAAAATAAACACTTGACACTCCCTGCATTAGGCATATAATTACTCTATGCTCCCTGGTTTAGGAATTTGATTACCATGGAAACAGCCAGGCATGAGGCAAGTGAGGCAATTGCCTCACCAACATTTTACAGAGAAATTATGATGCAGATGAAACTGTGAAAATGAAGTTTTATTTATGAATATTATAGTATTATTTCCAATTAAACTCAAATCTGCCTCTCCAAATAAAATGTGCCTCCCATATTTGTAGTTGCTATAGATACAACCCTAAATACTCAATTTTACTAATCCTAAGAACAAGCAAACAAGCATTGTCATATCAGTCTTTATCATGTTAGTCTTAGGATTATAAATCCACTTAATGTAATCCAAAATGGCTAAAAAGGCTGTTATAGATCACAACGTAAACCAGAATGCTGTACCAATCATGTTGAGGTGTTTCATTTGAATGGTACAGCATTAACAGCACATACACGTATGTGTTAATAAGCATATGTTTCAATGTCATTGGAGTCACCATTTTGGAAACACTAACTGGAGTTATGGTCAAGCATGCAGCACACACTAAGACAGGCATATAGGGGGCTCTCTTCCTGTTGAAGTATCACTCTAATTAGATTACATCATGAGAATTAGCATCCCTTAACATGCTTGTCAATGTTGAATATCACAAAGTGGAACCATTTATCAATTACTGGAGATTTCAACAGGGGTCCATTTTTATAATTACATGTATGATTTTTTACTCAGAAAAGTATGAATCCATTTACTGAATAAAAAGAGTTGTAATATTAAAAAAATTGAGTGTGAACAAGTGAAAAAGTCAAGTGAATTAAAACTAAGTCTAAAGTGTGTATATATTGAGTAATAGAATTTTTATTTGTAAAATCTTTTGTAACCCTGTTAAGGAATACAACAATAGCCTAACAGCTCTGTAAACAATGCTAAAGGAGTTAAAATATATGTAGGAGTACTTGTACTAAGTTTTCCACATATCAAAATGAGTGGTACTTTAACAGGAGGAAATGGCTTAACTGGAGCTCATCTAAAAAGTTTCTTAAGCATTACAAGCCAGGTTAAACACTTACAACATGCTACTGTTAATTGAGGTGTAAATCATTGCTATATTTACTGCCATACCTGGATAGAAAATAATAATACAACAAAACAATAAAGCAATTACATTATAATATTAGTACATGTACATGCAATATAGGGCAGCAGTGACGAATAGACAACCAATAGCAAGGAGGATTGGCACGTAGCTTTCTTCTTTTGACTCACATGGACCAATTTGGAAATTTTACTGTAATGTCCATCTTCAGACCAAGTCTTTAGGCGTGAGATGTATATTATGGTTATATTTTTACTAAATTGGTCCACGCCAGTTGAAAGAATATTGCATTAGAATGCTGGGAGCAAACCCTCTTTGACCAGTTGAATAGACCAGAAACACTGTCTTGGATTTAAGGGGTCTCAATCTAAAGCGTATTTGTTGAACCCTTGACACGCTTAGCTGGAGTTGCCTCATTTTCAATTGTTCAGTTAATTTGCTCCAAGGGTGCCAACGGTTAGTTCATGCATACATGAGAATCTCTCTTTTAATGTAGCAAATCAAACAATTGGTTGTTTGTAAAGGGTGGTCAGTTTGGTAACCATGGCAATATATCTAAGCAAAAGAGGATGTCAACATATGAGACTTAAGTTTAATCCCAGGAATACATCCACCAATGAAAACTTAAGAAATTGATCCACAAATAAGCTACCACCAAAAAACATTTTAAACCTATTTGATAAAATTGATATATCGATAGGCTGTATGATAAAATTGAAATATCAAAAGACTGTATGTAAAATCATCTATTGTTTTTAAAACAATACATATTGACCCGCAAAATCATAAATTGATGGTGTTCTAAGTGCAACCAGAACAACGGCAACGCCAAAGCGTAGCGAATCCCATCGAACAGAAATGGCTGGCATTTTTACAAACGAAATATATAGCAAACATTATAAAACAACACACCAAAAAGGCCACCATTTTCAAAATGGTTGCTCACTAGCCAAGTTGTCATCAGAAGAAATAATATGCTTTTAAGTAGCCACCTATAAAATCTTTGAAAAATCGCATACATGTACTTGTAAAATAACGCACATAAAAATGGTGGCCATTTTTCAAAATGGCTGACTACTCCCCAAAGTTTTATTAGACAATGTGCCATGCTTAAAGTATTCACATATCAAATATGAACAAAATTGCTCCACTACTTTTCGAGTTATAGTAAAAAATGTAAAAATGACAGCCATTTTTATAAAATGGCTGCCTACTATCTGAAGTGTCATGAGACAACCCAAAGTGTCATTAGACAGTGTGCCATGCTTATAGTATTCACATATGAAATATGAAACATACCAAATATGAACAAAATCGCTTCACTACTTTTCGAGTTATAGTAAAATATGTTAAAATGGCGGCGATTTTTCATATTTTTTTTCAAAATGGCCGCATTCTACCAAAAGTGTCATAGGACGGTGTGCCATGCTTATAGTATTCACAGACCAAATATGAACAAAATCGCTCCACTACTTTTAGAGTTATAGTAATATACGTTAAAATGGCGGCCATTTTGAACAAGACACACAGTGATAAATATCGCACTTTGAAGAGCAAACTGGCCACCATGCAATTTACCCAGCATGGCCAAAACCTAATCAGACCTTGGCACTAGTCTGCTCTTCCATCTGTAAACATTTCAAGTTGACAAGGTTAGCGGTTTACCTGCAATTTTGATGACAAGAATTTATTTGTAGTCTTGAACTTTGGGAAAATTTAGATAACATTGTTTGTGACCTAATTTGATGACCTTCGACCTTGAAAATTTCACTTTTTCAGACCTCAGTAGGTCTTTTGTAATTAGCTGACCTAAATTTAAATCCAAAATATCAATTTAGAAAATCAAATTTTGACCTTTTCAAGGCCACTGAAGGTCAACGAAAGGTCAAATCTGAAATCTAAGGTCAGATTTGAACTTCTGAGAACTTGTAGATGTTTTTAAAAAAAAAAATTGGTCAATTTGGAGCAAGTTGAAAAATTCAAAATGGCCGCCAAATTGAAAAATTCAAAATGGCCACCATGTAATTCAGCCAGCATACCCAAAACCTAATCAGATCTTTGCAATAGTCTGTTCTTGCATCTGTAAAAATTTCAAGTTGAACGGATAAGTGGTTTTCCTGGAATTTTGATGACAAGATTTGTTGAAAAATTCAAAATGGCCACCACGTAGTTTACCCAGCATGCCCTTAACCTAATCAGATCTTGGCACTAGTCTGTTATTGCATGTGTAAAAATTTAAAGTTGAACAGGTTAGCGGTTTACTTGGAATTTTGATGACAAGAATTGATTTGTAGTCTCAAACTTTGAGAAACTTGGATAACATCATTTGTGACCTAGTTTAATGACCTTGACTTTCGACCTTTAAAATTTCACTTTTTCAGACCTCAGTAGGTGTTTTGTAATTAAGCTGACCTAAATTTAAATCCAAAATATCAATTTAGAAAATCAACTTTTTTGACCTTTTCAAGGTCACTGAAGGTGAATGAAAGGTCAAATCTGAAATCTAAGGTCAGATTTGAACTTCTGAGAACTTGTAGATGTTTTTAAAAAAAAAATTTGGTCAATTTGGAGCAAGTTGAAAAATTCAAAATGGCCGCCAAATTCAAAAATTCAAAATGGCCACCATGTAATTAAGCCAGCATACCCAAAACCTAATCAGATCTTGGCAATTGTCTGCTCTTGCATCTGTAAAAATTTCAAGTTGAACGGATAAGTGGTTTTCCTGGAATTTTGATGACAAGATTTGTTGAAAAATTCAAAATGGCCACCACATAGTTTACCCAGCATGTCCTTAACCTAATCAGATCTTGGTACTAGTCTGCTCTTGCATCTGTAAAAATTTCAAGTTGAACAGGTAAGCAGTTATCCTGGAAATTTGATGACAAGATTTAGTTTATGTCCCGCCCGCCCGCACGCCCAAACGCCCGCTCTTGCATCTGTAAAAATTTCAAGTTGAACGGATAAGTGGTTTTCCTGGAATTTTGATGACAAGATTTGTTGAAAAATTCAAAATGGCCGCCACATAGTTTACCCAGCATGTCCTTAACCTAATCAGATCTTGGTACTAGTCTGCTCTTGCATCTGTAAAAATTTCAAGTTGAACAGGTAAGCAGTTATCCTGGAAATTTGATGACAAGATTTAGTTTATGTCCCGCCCGCCCGCACGCCAGCACAAGACGACGACAATATAGCACTTTTTCAAAGTGCGATAAAAATGGCTGCCTTCTACCAAAAGTGTCTTTAGGCAGTGTGCAATGCTTATAGTATTCACATACCAAATATGAACAAAATCGCTCCACTACTTTTCGAGTTATAACAAAAATCGTAAAATAACGAGTAAAGGCCGCCATTTTTCAAGATGGCTGCCATGTGCTTCTTTAATGTCTACATTTATAGCTTTATTAATGTCCTTCATAATCTTTTTACATTTACAACATATTGCTATTACAGTTTTACATATTGCACATAAATCACTGTAAAATCGGCACTAAAATGGCCACCATTTTGAATTGAGCGGCCATTTTGAAAATCGGCTTTCGAGCAGAACTTCTACCCCCATAGGGTATATGTGTACAAAATATGAACAAAATCGGGCCAACGGTATTTGAGTTATCGCCCGGACGTACGGACGGACGGACGTACGTACGTACGTACGGACGGACGGAGGCGTTCCCTATATCCCTCCGAACTTTGTTCGATGGGGTAATAATTCAGGTAAGGAGGGGTTTAATACTAAAGGCACAAAGGTATGTAGTGCTTATGTATACAAGTATATGTAAATATAGGGGTGCCATATGCCAAAGGGTGGGGTTGTCAAATAAATAAGTGGACGAAAATTATTTCCATTCCACAATAAATTGAACACCCCGTGTATTCTTATCAAAAGTCAGGAAAAATTACATAACACATTCAACTTATATCATCACATATAGTCTGATATACGAACAATGTACGTTTAACAATGATACTCATGCACGAGTCCTAAATAGTCTAAAAGATTAATAGCAATGAATAGAAAATAGTTTACAGATAACATGTTATTTAAGCTTTGCATCACTTTAATTATATGGTATTAAAGTTTAGCTATGATATTTTATTTTATAAACTGAAGTCTCAATTCATAGGCATGTTTACAGTCATTCAGAAATAACACAAGCTCACTGGTTAAGGGGCAAAGGAAAAGAAGTGGCTTGGGTTTTCATCTTGTTTTGCAAGGCTCCAGTTGTTCCTACCTTGAATTGATAACAGTTTGTCATTATGGGTTTGAAGAACTGTTATCAACTCAATGATATTCCAACTCTAGTGTAAAACAACGCACGCTTGATTTAATCCTGATCTTCAACCATATATTTAAGTGACCTTTAACCATATACCTTAATTATCTCAGGGTTTAATTCTGTTTTCAAATAGCTATGAAAGCCTAATACTATAGTTTTAACGTTAAAATGCCTCCACCTCAATTACAACATTAACTTAAATACAAACGCACTACATACCTAAAACCTCCATACATTACTATGATCATGGTCATAAAGTTTCTGATGCAGAATTTAATTTTCGACTATGTAAGTCCATACTGAAATATAACATATTCAATCTTTCACCAATTGAAATAAAATGAAGCCATCTCCATGATCACTGGTGATCCACTCGATTACGCTGGTTACCAAAACGATTCGTTTTGGTAACAAAATGTCGGAACATCCGGAAGGTATGATTTTTCTCGTTTCCTTATTTTACACGTTGTAGGCAGAATTTCCACGACATTTTTTAACACAAACGTGTATCAGTATCATATGTTTAAGAAATTGTACATATTTGCGAACAAATAGTTCAGAAGACAACAGAATCGTCGATTTACTTCCTCACTTAAGTTACATAAACGGTTTGGGTTAAAAGTGCAGATCTTAACTGTTTTTCGAAAAACCGTTTATGTAACTTAAGTGAGGAAGTAAATCGACGATTCTGTTGTCCTCTGAGCTATTTTTCGCAAACATGTACATTTTCTAAAACATATGATACTGATGCACGTTGTGAGAAAAAACGTCGTGGGGATTCTGCTTACAACGCGTGAAATAAGGAAAAAAAGAAAAATCGTGCCTTCGACGTTCCGACATTTTGTTACCAAAACGGTTCGTTTTGGTAACCAGCGTAATCGAGTGGATCACCAGTGATGATGATAATATTGTATTGTAAATTGGGTTAACTTGGTGATACTGAATTTAGTGAATTCACAATTTTTAGAGAAATGACAGCCATTCATATTAATTAGTCAGTAGCATATTTTGCCATTAATTTTCAATTGAATTTGTTTTATTCCAATTTTTAGTTTGTTATAATAGAGGTGATTTTCTGCGTTTTCTGTGCAACATAATTCATAACTTTTATAAAGTTTAAACTTTCCATGATCATGTTGCCTAAACTACATCATATTGACACCTGCTCTCCTTTCTTTGATAGCTTAGAGTTTTTCTCAAAAATTTCTTTTTATATTTACCCTCAACTGAAAGTAACTGTAAGATTCCAATTTAAATATTGTTTCATTTTATTTTATTGAATTCATTATTCAATTGCACAGTACTGCAAGTTAACCAAACTTAGAATAATCATATCATCACCAACATTTTAGGAGTTGTAAGTACATAAACACAGATAAATAAAACCTGTACATAAGTACATAACTAAGCAAAATAAAAAAACTAAGACTTTGTCTTTAAAAATGCATTAAATTAACCATATCATGCCTAAATGATCTGGTTAATCATTGTTGACTGATAGGTATACAATTCCTTCAAAGAGCACCATGAACTCAGGTTAGGAGTATAACAATGCAAAATGTCACCACCTGCCATTTGTTATAGGCACCAAACTCCAAACGCTGGACACTGTCACAAAAAATTGGAGAGAGTATGTCAACATGCATGCAACCAGCAAATTCCTCAGAAGAAAAGAACATGAAAAAGTGCTTATTGATGTTGGCTCATTCTGATGGGGGAGAGTTGTGCACGTGAGCATCACAACAAACCTATTAAGAGAGCACAAGGCTTTGGTAACAGGGTTTCTTGAACCACCCATCTGCACACACGCTAACACCAAACAGTACAAGACAAATACAATATAGCACTTTTCAAATGAAAAAATGTATACAAAAACAATGGTATAATAAATTACTTAACAGGCCCTCACCCACCAAACAAAGGTGACAATAGTCATACAGGGAATGATGGGAATCTTTTAGGACAATAAAATATTTAGGACAATGAAGGTAAACTGATGCATTCATCAATATGCTCAAGGCCATATCATTATGCAGTTACTATAGCAACTGATAATTACATCATGATGCAGTTACCATGCCAACTTACCACAGAATATTGACGGCTGACAGAGAAAAAATCAATTAAATTTGTTTCGACAAAAAAGGAAAACACTTACACATTAGAAAGACATTTTAAAATGACAAAACTGTTATCTGTTTACTAATATACAAAATCTAGAACTAAAACACAAAAACATACACAAACATGATTTTTAAAGGTATACCAAACAAGCAATCTAAGCTTATTCAAATGGTGTGATTCAAGTATGATAGAAAATGTCCAATAAGAGAAATCAATACATATTCAAAATTAAATCCTGATTTCAAATGTGGTGCAACATGCAAATAATTTTGTATTGGTTCTCCCCCCCCTCCATCTTCTCTCAAACAAAATGTGGATAGATTTAAAATCAGTTTGCTAGATTTCACGTTTCACCCCCCCCCCCCATTCTCCAAATGCAATAAATTACATTTTCTCATGTGTCAATATATTGACATACTAGATAGCCTGTTAATAATCATCAGATATAACAAAGCTGAATTCATTGATTTATACACATCAGAAATAACCACATGTGTTTTTCAATTAAAATAATTGATTAAATTATCCAACAAATTGAACAATAGGGGCACAATGTATAATATAATATAGAGAAATATTGAAATGAATAGTTTTGGACAAGAAACATGATGCTTTTAAAAGCTGCACATCAATTATATATCATCAAATCAAAATACCAATTCCTTTTATATGCTCAACTTCATTTTTCATTGGAATGCATAACTTACAAGGAGAATTGACCCAGCATTCATCTTCAAAATGTTCATCTCAAGATCAAGTATTTTGACCGGAGATGAACATTATGGTATTATTACCAAATTGGTCCATGTTAGATAAAAGAGGAATGCCAGGAGTCAATCCTCATTGACTGACTTATGATGTGTGGTTCAGGATAAACTGAGACAACCAAAACATGTTACTTTTTATCAAATAAGTTCTCCAAAAAACCCCTCACACCCAAATGACCCAATAAAAACATGCAGTTTTAAAAAATAAATACTGAAGTCATAATACTGTTTAGTCATACATTCCCATTCATATTTGTGCATAAATGGATGGAGAGGAACTCGCTATATTACTCGTAAAACATTTCAAATAGTAAAGAAATTGGAATTCGGGTTCTCAATAGTAATATGGATTGTGTAAAGACTAATCTCAAATATATCAATTTAATGCACCGAATCTTTTACATTGTAAGTCAGTTATTAGTTAAGGATTGTACAATTCACAACTGTGTTTGTGTTCAATCTGGACTTCAGTATGAATAAAACAAGTCCCATAGTTTTGTTTTATTTATTGTATAAACAATATCTGACTCCCCAACATGTCGATATGGTGACTGTGGATGATTGCCAAAAGCTTTTTTATTTCTTTTATTTATTGGGAATTGTATAAAAGCATAATATCTAGAGGCATTTAAAAGCTTGGAAAACAGCTACACTGTGCTACACTGTCAATCTGTCATTCAGACAGTTTTAAATTAACTGTGCTCAATTATTAACCATAACCTTTAACTGAAACATTAAAGCATGCAGTGTATTTCAAACTTAAGTCCAAATTGAACATCACGTTAAGAGTTCATACCCATTTCACTGTACCATATTAGGAATGGAAATCATGACAGTTCATATACATGTAAATTGTCTATGTACATGTAATATATAGTTACCTGTGAAGCCATTGTTGACAAACTGTTGCTATCAAAAGGAATGTTGTGCAGCATTTGAATATAAGATCAATTCGGAGATTCTGAAATGGAAATAAGATCAATTTGAATAAAATTAAACCCATGTCAGTTTAAGATCAAATTGTGATTGAGAAATGATAAGATACAACATGATTTTCTATTTGTCTATTTAGTACTGATGTGCCCTCTTATTGGCAACTGTCAACTAGTGTTCACAATGTATTTGTAAACCTAGTTGGAATTACATAACAAGGCACGGGACGTGAACGAGATCACACCATCAAATAGGCAGACACTATGAACCAGGAAAACTGTTCTCCTATTATGTTTACAAATTTCAAGAACAAGAAAAAAATGTTGGCTGTGGTCATATTAATCAATAGCTCACATCTTGAGCTAAAATTTTAAGGCAATATGACAAAGTGGATTGTTTTCGATGAGAAGATTTATTGAAAAACCTTCAAAATGGCCGCCAGAAAACAAAATGGCCACCCAAAATTCAATAACTTCTAGAACTTGATATATCCTATCATGTACAGGAAATCCGATGAGCAGTTTTCCTGAAATGGCAATGACAAGATTTTTCGAAAACCTTAAAAATGGCCACCAGAAAACAAGATGGCCGCCAAAAAGTTAATCAGCTCTAGTACTTGATATCCTCTATCATCTGTGCGAATTTGAAGGAAATCCGATGAGCGATTTTCCTAAATTGGCGATGACAAGATTTTTTCTAAAAAACTTCAACTGGCCACCAGAAAACAAGATGGCTGCCACAAAGTTAATCAGCTCTAGTACTTGATATCCTCTATCATGTTCCGTAAATTTGAAGGAAATCCTATGAGCGGTTTTCCTGAAATGGAGATGACAAGATTTCTCGAAAAACCTTTAAAATGGCCACCAGAAAACAAGATGGCCGCCCAAAAGTTAATCAGCTCTAGTACTTGATATCCTCTATCATGTGTGTGAATTTGAAGGAAATCCGATGAGCGGATTCTCTGAAATGGCGATGACAAGATTTTTCGAAAAATCTTCAAAATGGCTGCCAGAAAACAAGATGGCCGCCCAAAAGCTAATCAGCTCTAGTACTTGATATCCTCTATCATTTGTGTAAATTTGAAGGAAATCCAATGAGCGGTTTTCCTAAATTGCAATGACAAGATTTTTCGAAAAACTTTCAAAATGGCCACCAGAAAACAAGATGGCCGCTCAAAAGTTAATCAGCTCTAGTACTTCATATGCTCTATCATCTCTGCGAATTTGGAGAAAATCTGATGAGCAGTTTTCCTTAAACGGCGCGCGATGACAAAAAGCGGGATGATCACGATCACGACCACGACCAGTATGACGACTATATCCCACCGATGGTGTGATAAAAAGTGGTGTTATGAAGGGATCAAGCCTGTAAAATGAGGTGTCTACTTAAAATATCAAAAATAAGTAAGAGAGCCTTGCACCAGATATTATGTCATTTTGAGTAATGACATATCAAAAAAAGCCTCATTTTATGAAATAAACATTGTCTCAATGCCATCCTCAGCTGGTATAACTGATAATTCCATCACACAAAAAATCAAATGAAACCCTGAACTTGTGAAGACTTGGGAATTCTCAGAAATTCTTTCACAAAACAGTCCTGCAAAACACTGCAAAATCCCCTTTTCAGACAAAAATAATCATGATTAAAACCTCTTACTTAAACTGATATTAGATACTCAAAAATGGTTAGGAAGGTAAATTTTTCTATAAATATGTTTTGACTGAGAAATATAAAGATGAAATTGATCAATTTCTATGAAAAATCTGTTTCTAAATTGCCTTAAAGAGTGACCAGATCAGCTTGACCTTGGAGTTTTAACACAGGCCATCAATTTCATGTTCCAAATATGGAAGGTACAAAAATAGAGCTGCCAATCAAAATCTTGAACAGTGTGGAGGAGCAAAGGTTCATTTTAGTTTGATTGATGTGGATGATCTTCATCTTGAATTGTTCTCAGAAACAGAATTTAAGTTTTGTAACAATGCACAAAATTCAATTTGCCAGCATTTACACCCTATGCAGACAGAGCCTGTGGGAAATATTGGGTGTGGAGCAAATGTGCGGAGGGTGCGGAGCTAACGGTCATTTTTTAATTTAAATTTGGGATATTTCTGAAACTAAGCCGTTTTGGGACTTCAAATATACCAAGATATGTGTATTTGACACCAAATATCAATACAATTGTAAAAATAGTAGCGCAATTCATTCTATAGCGACGCAGTGTGCCTTAAACCTTTCCCAGACCTATATATTTTGAAATTATCCTTTTATCCCCAGCATTCATAAAAAATTGTGTTCAAGGTACACTATCTATACAAATTATTTTTGCATCTTGGAAGCCAGGCAGTATCTGTGTGATTTTATAAAAATTCGGAAATGTTTTTCAGATATGAGCCCCCTCTAAATATTGGGTGCGGAGGAGCTCCATAAACGTACCTCCGCACCCAATATTTAGAGGGGGCTCATATCTGAAGAACATTTCCGAATTTTTATAAAATCACACAGATACTGCCTGGCTTCCAAGATGAAAAAATAATTTGCATGGGTAGTGTATCTTGAACACCATTTTTATGAATGCTGGGGACGCAGTATTAAAAGGATAGTCTCAAAATATATAGGTCTGGGAAATGTTTAAGGCATACTGCGTCGCTATTAAATGAATTGCACTACTATTTTCACAATTTTATTGATATTTGGTGTCAAATACACATATCTTGGTATATTTGAAGTCCCAAAACGGCTTAGTTTCAGAAATATCCCAATTTTAAATTCAAAAATGACCGTTAGCTCCGCACCCTCCGCTCATTTGCGCCGCACCCAATATTTCCCACAGGCTCTGTCTGCATAGGGTGATTTAGAAAATAATTTTTGATAAATATATACAGGTCATGGTGACCTACTTGTAACAGATGTTGAACTTTCTTCTTTTTTAGCACAATCAAATAAATCAATAATAATCTATTAATTGTAGATATGCAAGAAACAAAATGATTAGAATAAAATATTCTGTAACTGATATTAAGGTTAATATAAAAGATCAATTTGAAGATTATTACATGGATATAAGATCTACCATATTCTCACTAATGAGCGCATGGTGCAGTTCCCTAATTGAAATTTAAAAGGGTTACTAAGTAAGATATTGAGAAGCAAATAAGCGCACATACCAAATACTGTAGTTAGAAAAATATTTCCGAAAAGCTTTTTTAGTTGTTATCACTAAGGTTTATATTTACATACTCTACTGTATTTCTTTCTCTTGCATTAAATATAATCATCAATTGATATCTTCTTGAGTAAACAATCAAAACTAATGCATTGTTTTCTTGTGACCATATTTATCATATAAAAAGGCCCTCATGTGCACACATTGGAACTGTGCACTCATTAGAGTTTACCATACAATGAAGTAATAACGAATAGTCATTTCCTTAGATGTAGTAAGTATAGTTGTAGATGTGGTACATGCAGTTTTAATGAATAAATTAAACCTAGTAAAACCCATTTTGTGAGCTTATAGGCCATCCAACATTCCTTCTTAACAAAACAACCTTTTTAGCATAATTGTTTAAGTTGAACAGAAAATGGTATACTTAAAATTGATTTATGCACTTTTTATTTATCGACTTAACTTCCCCCCTTACTACCAAACCTCAAACTGAATACTTGTAACATTAAGTGCCTAACACCTAAGGTCACCCTACACTTACCTGTGTTAGAATGAGAACGACTATGAGATTCAATGGGATTCTAAAACAATTCATGATTGTTGCACGAGCTGAAAATAAACATTTTAGAACATCAATAAAGTTCAAAAATAGTAAGTTTTTATTAGGAGGCCCTTCAAGGGGCCTCCTATCATTTTTGTAGTTATTCTTCTTTATTTATTTATTTATTATTCTTTTTAGCATTTTTTCTCCAACTTCCAGCTAGCTTTGACTTATCTCATATATAGTCCTATTAGGGACCTGGGCTGGACTTGTCGGGAAATTAGTTCATATCTAGGTCAAGGTCAAAGGTCAAAATCTAGGTCAAATCTAAGTTTTTGTCAAGTTTCTCAAATCCTGACACTACACTTCAATATTTTTGGCTGAATTTTTGCATACAGATAGCTATTAGTATTCTTTTAGTCTAAGCTTTTTGCCGTCTAGGGAAATTTTGCCTAGATTTTGAGATATTGAAGGTCAAAAAAAGGTCAAAAAAGCTCTTTTTTCAGCTTGCTTCAAATTGACCAAACTTTTTTTTAAAACTCATCTACGAATTCTCAGGATTCCAAATCTGACCTTACTTTTGACCTTTGACCTTTGGTTGACCTTCAGTGACCTCCGAAAGGTCAAAAAAGTTGATTTTTCAAATCAATTTTCTGGATTCAAATTTAGGTGCATTTAATCACAAAAGACCCCAAGAGATCCAAAAAAGTAAAATTTGCAAGGTCAAAGGTCAAGGTCATCAAACGAAATCACAAACTGTGTTTTCTAAGTTTCTCAAAATTGGAGACTACAAATCAATTTTTTTTACTGAAAGTCAGAATATATATTCCTCTTAAGGTTCTACACATATTAGCAATTGACTATTTATTAAAATTGTGTACCAGTTTTGAGGTATTGGAACTCAAAAACTGAAAAAAGGTCAAATTTCGAAATTTTTCAAGGTCAAATTTCAACTTGCTTCAAATTGACCAATTTTTTTAAAAACTCATCTACAAGTTCTCAGGATTCCAAATCTAACCTTACTTTTGACCTTTGACCTTTGGTTGACCTTCAGTGACCTCCGAAAGGTCAAAAAAGTTGATTTTTCAAATCGATTTTCTGGATTCAAATTTAGGTATATTTATTCACAAAAGACCTTCTGAGGTCTAAAAAAGTAAAATTTGCAAGGTCAAAGGTCAAGGTCATCAAACGAAATCACAAACTGTGTTTTCTAAGTTTCTCAAAATTGGAGACTACAAATCAATATTTTGAAATGAAAGTCAAAATATATATTCCTTTACTAAAGGTTCTACACATATTAGCAATTGATTATCTATTAAAATTTGGCTCCAGTTTTGAGATATTATAGCTCAAAAACTGAAAAAAGGTCAAAGTTCGGAATTTTTCAAGGTCAAATTTCAACTTGCATTAATTCGACCAAACCTTTTTTAAAAATCATCTACAAGTTGTCTGGAGTTCATATATGACCTTGTATTAGAGATTTGACCTTTGGCTGGCCTTAGAATGTTCAGAAACGAATATAGGGCCTCCGTAAGATTGCTTGCAATCTTAGATCGTTCGATCTCTAGTTATCAATGTTAATTGTCCATCACAGATGAATAAATATTTACTCAAAAAAACAATTTTGGCATTTTTGTAAAAGTAGTTCAAATTACCTTTGACCAAACTCAAATAAGTAATAATTAAAACATTAAACAAATATAATGCTGTATTCTTCAGACTTGTTTAGACAAAAAGAATGATTTCTCCAAAATTAGACAAGTAGGAGCCAGTGAAAATTACCAGAATTGGCACCCATGGCACTTTTCATTTGACAAAAATTGACGGAAAGACAAGTGGGCCATTCCATAAGCTCAGCACATAAGTAAAATTGACACAGCAGTATCGACTAAAAATTACTCTTTCTTTCTTAAAAAGAAGAATTGCCTTGGATTATACACTTACTTGATTCTGGTACATATTTGCTACGCATGGTACTGAGTGATGGCCAGAATATCCCAACACACACTTCAAATACAAGGAACCCAATAAAGATAATGAGTTGATTCTGGAAACAAGACACAAAATTAATATCACACTTTGAAGCTCAAAATGGCTGCCATGTAATTTACTCAGCATGCGTGTATACTAGTTATACGTGTATACTAGTTAAGAAATATAGACCGAAGAGCAGGGGTAATATCATCGAATACACCCCGCAGGGCCAGGCACAAACAAAGGGAGTGATTCGAACATGAAAACTCACAAAATGTTTCGAATTTTCATTATGGTCTGCCATTACTACGACCCGCCGTTATGACATCACACATTACACCAGGGGTATTCTTTGCGAATATACCCCGGGTGAAATGTTGACTTTGTTTATAGTTTATAGAAGGCGTGAATACAGTCATGTTCGAATCAGTCTTAAGTCCCAAGCCTCAGGAGAAAATGAAATGGATTAAGTTGTGTTAAGTAGATTGTTAGGAGTTTAAAACCTTACAATTTGCAATCTAAACATTAATGCTCCAGTGGAATGTGCTAGGTATATGACGAGAAACTGACTGAAACAAACATATTCGATATGTAAAAATTTGCAACAGAAATAACATAAACATCCTTAAAGGGATGCAATATTAAATATTTCAAAAATACTTAGTCTAGTAATACATGCTGACATTCACAGTCAACATAAATCCTAGTATCCTACATCGCATGCTTTTGTTTCTAGATTTTATTGTCTGGATCTATAAATTCATTTGACAGTTCTCTTTGTTGGTGAGATTTATGTCATAATTCTTCTCATAAATATATTTCTTGCTATCATGAGCTTTCTCTTTTATCAAGGTGAGTTCAATTACGTTTTTTAAGGTTAATTAATTGTAATCGATGTTATTCTCTTATTAAAGGAGTCAACATGACAAAAAATCACCACTTGCTAAGTTTTTGCAAATTGCTACAAATATGTAACAATTTGTTACAGAACCATGAATATTGAAGCTGAATGCTGAACAGTGGTCACAAAAAATTGTGACTTTAAGAGTATGTCTACACTTTTTGGCAAGTAGAGTGTAAGAAAATTCATTAATGTCCATGATTGTCAATTTCAGAGCTGTATGCCAATTTTGCAAAAAGTCACTCAAACGCTTGGAAATTGTTTTCAAAACCTTGACAAGAACATACTCGTATATGTATTTTTATTGATAATTCGAACATGACTGTATTCACACCTTGTATAAACTGTGAACAAAGTCAACATTTCACCCGGGGTATATTCGGCAACACTACGTGTGACATCATAACGGCGGGCCGTAGTGATTCAGTCTTCGGTGCACAGAAAACATTTGTGCCTAGCCCTACGGGATGTATTCAACGATATTACACCTGCTCTGAGGTCTATATTTCTTGATTAAAGCTCATTTGAGTAAACAATATTGAAATATTTAGCTTAACAAAAATAATCTTGGAAGATGTTTTAATACTTACTCCTGGGAACAGTACAGGTGTAATGAGAGATATGGCTGATATGAATAGCACTGGCCTGGAAATAGAGAGGAATGTGTTTGTAGATGGTAATGATAAATAATACCCTGAATATTCTCAATAACTAGTATCAATACTACTCTCTGATTAAAATACATGATTTTACACATTTGATCTTAAACATAAATACAGCTTTTAGAAGTTTGAATTTGAAATGATTGTTTGCAATGGCAGAATATGTAGTGTCCATATTTTCAGGGTAAGAAAATAATGATTCTCTGAAGTTGTTTTCATCAAAATATCAATTTTCCAGTTCATCATGAAAGTCTTAACTTAAGCCTAATGTACGGCTGGACAAGTCATCCCCTGGACAAATCACTTGTCTTGCCTTGTCTCAGGGATGAGTTGTCCATAAGCCTAGTGTAGATTGGCATATTGACAGTTTACTGCTTGTATCAAGTTAAGCTGTTGCCTGCATTTTGGATCAATGCACCAAAATAAAACAAACAAATAATTTTTGAATGGACCTACCTCATGAAAGACTCAGGAGTTGAAAACTTGAGCAGGATTTTAAAAAGAGAAGATCCTATCATACAAGCAACCTGCAAATATAGTATACAGTGATCCTATCATACAAGCAATCTGCAAATATAGTATACAGTGATCCTATCATACAAGCAATCTGCAAATATAGTATACAGTGATCCTATCATACAAGCAACCTGCAAATATAGTATACAGTGATCCTATCATACAAGCAACCTGCAAATATAGTATACAGTGATCCTATCATACAAGCAATCTGCAAATATAGTATACAGTGATCCTATCATACAAGCAACCTGCAAATATAGTATACAGTGATCCTATCATACAAGCAACCTGCAAATATAGTATACAGTGATCCTATCATAAAAGCAACCTGCAAATATAGTATACAGTGATCCTATCATACAAGCAACCTGCTAATATAGTATACAGTGATCCTATCATACAAGCAACCTGCAAATATAGTATACAGTGATCCTATCATACAAGCAACCTGAAAATATAGTATACAGTGATCCTATCATACAAGCAACCTGCAAATATAGTATACAGTGATCCTATCATACAAGCAACCTGCAAATATAGTATACAGTGATCCTATCATACAAGCAACCTGCAAATATAGTATACAGTGATCCTATCATACAAGCAACCTGCAAATATAGTATACAGTGATCCTATCATACAAGCAACCTGAAAATATAGTATACAGTGATCCTATCATACAAGCAACCTGCTAATATAGTATACAGTGATCCTATCATACAAGCAACCTGAAAATATAGTATACAGTGATCCTATCATACAAGCAACCTGCAAATATAGTATACAGTGATCCTATCATACAAGCAACCTGCAAATATAGTATACAGTGATCCTATCATACAAGCAACCTGCAAATATAGTATACAGTGATCCTATCATACAAGCAACCTGCAAATATAGTATACAGTGATCCTATCATACAAGCAACCTGCAAATATAGTATACAGTGATCCTATCATACAAGCAACCTGCAAATATAGTATACAGTGTATGTACATATAGTTTTAAGGCATACTTATGGCATATATTACATCCTTCAATTAGATTAACTGCCATTTAAAGGTTATTTGGTGTTGCTTTTATTATGCGACTAAACTGAGATGCCATTTATTGCAGGAAACACATCTGCTGATCCTTAATAGACACACACACTAAATGCATAAAGAATTCAATTTCAATATGGATAGAAAGGGAAAGATCAAAATCATATAAAGAGTATAACACCATCCCTCTCATGGATGTCATATGGAATAAAGCATTATCCCCCTTATTGATGTCATATGGAATGAAGCATTATGTCCCTTATTGATGTCTTGATGTCATATGGAATGAAGCATTATCACAAGACAAAATCGTGTTTAATAAATTGCAATAAACTGCTTATTACCATCTTACTCGGTGCTTAGTTGTCGCTATCCTTGATTATTGATACACTTATTTGGAAGGTTACTTCTGCTTACCCCTAGGTATTGATACACGTATCCGTGGTTTTTAGGCCCGAATACCGAGGTTTATCTTTTTAATTATCGTGTCTTATTCTATTGCATATTAGATTAAATACATTTGAATATGCTACATGTGTATGCTTGGTTTTTGGACTGATAACGAGTAGTAAGTATCGATGTGTTCAGCTAAATAGAAGCGTGATAATCCATAAAGCTAGATAAGGACAATTCGTTTAAAAGAAAGCTACACTTTATAAATCTATTAATAAAAATGTAATATTTTAAGAAAAACAGGTTTTTAGATTTACCAGACGCCAGCAAGGTGTTGTGGTTTACGATATTAATTGAAGTTGCAGATTAAATATTCTTATTTAAAGACGTCTTTATGCAAAAAGTCTGATCTATTTAAGACATCAGTATTCTCAGAAATTGGTTATCCGAAGCGGATACCAAGTTCTGACCAGCAGACGAACAATTGGAGACATAGGTTATGTTTGTTTATTTAACGGTCAGACTTGTTGACTTGCCGATCCGTATTTTCAACTTTGTGCGAACACGTTCTGTTTATTATTCCTTTATACTTTGTATTTGCTGAGCAATGACTGATTTGATAGTTTTATTCAAAAATTTTATTGTCCATTTTTTATATTTTTAATAAGTGATGTTTGATAAGTAAAAAAATTAAGAAATGGTGTAATTCTTTGTGGTAAATCATAAGATTGATTATGTCTAACCATGAGATAATGAAATGACTGAGGTAAGATATATATAAGCATTTGTTATGGAAGACATATTATCAATATATCAGGTATTTTACATATAAAAATAAATACAGCGTTGTTGCAAATTGAGCAATTGTTTTAATAATATAATAAACGGGGCCGTTGGAAGAAACATTACACCATATTGATATTGAGCGTCATGTGTTGTTTGAACTGTCTTGTCGCTCATAATTACATCAGCCAGTTGTCCATGATCCGGCGTTTCTCAGTCTGGTATGCTTTACTGATTTTAGGAATGGTTGCAAAACGGCAAGATTTCCCATGTTATGTCCTTTTAATGGCCATTTTGTATGCCTTTTATTTCCACACCATGTTTTGATTTTGCCTTGATGCTATTGTGTCATAGTGTTTTTGCTTTAAAAAAGCAAGAAATATCAACTTTTTAATTAAAGAAATGTTGGTTAATCTCTTGTTGTAAATCACATTGTTGATGATGTTAACGGACCATGAGATAACATATTGTCAGGGGAAAGATATCAATAATATAAAATAAATATTATAGATATTAATTGTTTGCACTGAAGTAATGTGACTATTCTAGCGAATCAGGTAGATATTTCTACGGTTTTCCGGTTTTTTCCGTAATGAAAGCATTTATTTTTCGTTTCCATTAATTTGACTAGTAGGGTCGTTGATAAACACATTAAAACTGTAAAAGTATTTATTGGAAGTACTTGTTTTAACTGTCTTGTCGCCTCTCTTTTTGACTCTCAAAGTCAAATGGCATAGCCGTAGCCAGGGGGGGGGGGTGCGATGTATAACCAATAAAATAGAACCATGAAATAGAAGAAGAGAAAGAAGCTTCTAGCTCAATTTTGAAGGAAGTTGCATCTTTTGGCCTGCTTTTGCCACGATTGCACCCCTCTCCCGAATGAAAACCGAGATTGTTTTTCTTGGCGATCGTATCCCCCCCCCCTGACTGAAAGTTGGCTATGCCCCTGAACATGGATAATAGGGGCACTATTACCATGCGTACAGAGTCTAGTTATAAACTATAAGAAGACGAAACTCTCTTTTTCATACACATGCCTGCATAACAATCGGAGACAGAAGTTTTAACATTGTCCATCAAAAATAATAAGAATCTAACATTTAATGATAACAAAAGGATTAATTGCTATATAGTCTTTGTTTTTTAACTGCGGACGTATACCAACATCACCTTGATTACAGAAAAGATTATCTAACAGTCTAGAATTGCTCCTGGGTTTTAATTACAGTTTATGAATAGAGTTATTTTTGCCTCTATTCTCATTTTTAAACCGGTCTCTGTTTGCTTATCCATTGTTTGTGATAAATTATTTCAGTTAGAGTCGAAATCAAACACCAAATAAACCGGATTAAAATAAGCCAGTCTGATTGCGAATTTGCAAATCCTGTAAAAGTAACTTAAAGCCGCCTTTTAATTAGAGAAAACAATAAGCTTATCCATCTGATTAAGAAGAAATCAATGCTATTTGATTCGTGCATTATCTTCAAGCAAGCCAGTAAGACAATCAACGATCTGGCGTTTTGTTTAATCCCCGCCAGTTTAAATTCAATATTGACCAATGCATGACTTAATATTTTCATTCTACAAACATTGCAGTGTTTTAATGATTGTATAAACCACATTGTTACCATCCCCGATGCACCATCAGGCCTGTCTCTCAACCCAAAGTTGTATATCTGTAATTTGGGGGGGGGGCGACGTTCATGTAGAAATATACAATAATTATGTCCGTGTAAAAGCTAAAATTATAAAAAATCTAATTTCAAAGTCATTCTATTCATGGAAGCGTCAAGTTATGAAAAACAATGCTAAACACTAAAATAAACAAATCGACTAGATTACTTTTGAAAACTTCCTGAGAGGAAATGGACAAATGTATTTTCCTAACTCATTAGAACGTCTGTCTGATTGAAATACTATTTTTCTAAATACAATATAAATGAATAAATCTTGGTTGCAAAATAATGCTGAGCCTAATAAAAAATTCAAATACTTTCTTTTGCAAATTCCTGAAGAAACTAAAGGATTATAGGTTTGGTTAGAATATACTGCTTAAATTGTACATTTTAAAACTATTAGTGTGATTTGAAACCCGGGATTTGAAACAAGTTTGTATTGAAGGTCTGTTACAGAGGGGGCATACAATGTCCCATTTACTCACCCCTCATCTCCCATACCCGATCTTATTTATGTCTCCAGTTTGTTTCTTGTATATTAATATTTGAAATCAAGTCATTAAGAATGCCAGGGGCCAGTTTGGGGGTTTGATTCTAGTTATTTTCCTTTAGTCATAGTCTGACTTATTTGAAAATATGGAAATTCGGAAGATACCAATTACCTATTTCAAATGGCAACATAGTGAAATTTTAGCACAAGAGCACGAATCAATAGTTTAAAGCAAAAGCATTTGAATATTGTAATTTAAAGCGTTTAAACTTTCATGAGATTATACTTTTGGTTCCCATGATTTGACATCTTTGATCACCTGCAGTTAAGTATCTAGAAAAACATTGCTACTGTAATTAATTGTTAGACGCAGACGATCTTTTTTCCTTCACACAATATACATGTACATATTCACAAAAGGCATTCCCAGCTAAATCACACGAATTGGTGTGATTGTGTAATTGATGTGTTATAATCTCTTTTTTATTGAATAAACCTTAAACTTTTCTTCAAACTTAACACATTGCCCTTGGTATATAACCAATATCCCCCGGAACCCCTCTCAATAAATACCCTGTATGATTAAATCGAGTTACAAGCCCTCCTGACAGTTGTTAAAGTGG